TACCCAACTCCCGAACCCCGAAATTGTGGACTGCCGGGTGTCGGGTTTCGGGGTTCGGGGGTCCCGGAACTCGGAACTCGGTATGTGAGACAAACATATATTTCATACACGGGTAAGTCAATGTGTCAGTCAATCAACTCGATTGTAAAGTATATTTTATTGATCTCCCCAAATTTCCCAAGTTCCGAGTTCCGAGTTCCGGGACCCCCGAACCCCGAAACCCGGCAGTCCACAATTTCGAGGTTCGGGAGTTGGTAAAATTTGTATGGATAGATGAAAGGTTGATTTAAACATTTTTGAAAGATGTCCCATATGAAATGTCAAGTCCCAAGTTTTGATTTCCGGCTTTCTGGAGTCCCGAGTCCCGAAGCCCGAAGTCCCGACACCCGGAGTCCCGAAACCCGGAGTTCAAAATTCGGGACTTAACATTTCATATGGGACATCTTTCAAAAATGTTTAGATCAACCTTTCATCTGTCCATACACATTTTACCAACTCCCGAACCTCGAAATTGTGGACTGCCGGGTTTCGGGGTTCGGGGGTCCCGGAACTCGGAACTTGGGAAATTTGGGGAGATCAATAAAATATACTTTACAATCGAGTTGATTGACGGACACATTGACTTACCCGTGTATGAAATATATTTTTGTCTCACATACCGAGTTCCGAGTTCCGGGACCCCCGAACCCCGAAACCCGACACCCGGCAGTCCACAATTTCGGGTTTCGGGGGTTGGTAAATCTCGGTTTGGGGTTTTGCACTGAAAAGTTGACATTTATACGTATCCAGGCTCACCCATATATGTACCCATCTATGTACAATTCCCCCACGTCAGCCCACCCATCTATGTATTATCCCCCACGTCGGCCCACCCGTCTATGTAATACATCCTATGTTGGCCCACCCGTCTATATAATACATACTACGTCGGCCCACCCGTCTATATAATTATACCCCACCTCGGCCCACCTGTCTATGTAATAAATATTTTATCACACCCTCGGCCCACCCGTCTATATAATACATACTACGTCGGCCCACCCGTCTATATAATTATACCCCACCTTGGCCCACCTGTCTATGTAATAAATATTTTATCACACCCTCGGCCCACCCGTCTATTTGATATCCCTTTCGTCGGCCCACCCGTATATGTAATACTTTTTATGTCGGCCCACCTGTATATGTAATACACCCCGCGTCAGCCCACCCATCTATGTAATATTCCCCTACCTCGGCCCACCCATATATGTAATACACCCCCGTCGGCCCACCCGTCTATATAACAATATTTGCCTTACATCTCTCTTCAGCCCAGCTGTCTATAATATCCTACTCTACATATTACCCTGATGGGCCCACCCATCTCCATGAATGATCATATTCCCCCGGCCCATCCGTCAACATCAAGGATATATATATCATTGGCATACATGGGCCCACCCGTCTCCATCGGAAATAATATGTGTCCCGGCCCATCCGTCATCATCGAGAATATACACAACATGGGCCCATAATCCGCTGGCCCGTCTCATACGGGATATTATGTAGGTCGGGTGGCCCGTATAATACGGAATTTGTCACTGAAGGGGCTCGAATAACGGTCCTGCAAGTCGAGAAGGATCAATATTATACATTAAATTGAAATTTTATGACTTACCTTGATGGGTGACAATCCAGTATTGTCGGAGCACCTGGCTAGGCTGTGATAAAATTCGTAGGCCGAAATCTTAGACTCGAATGACAGCAGTTGATAGTGCTCGAGTACGTTGAACGTTGCAGCTGTTTGCGGATCCGTCGTTGTTGCCGGATACCATCGGACTCGTAATAGTTGCTTGTAGCGCAGTTGGGCAGTGTGACAGCCGCAAAAATCTAATGCGACATCATGGATCCCATTGATGTCAACAACGATGAAGTCATTGCCTGTTGAGGGACGCGGATTGTAACAGTGGTCACTGGGAGGATGACCCAGTTGCACACGTAAACCAAGGGACTTGAGGTGTGTGCGCTGGAAAAAAGAGCCGTTCCACTCCTGTGTTTGTAGGTTAGTACTGTAGACCATGTATCTAGCAGGAAACACTTACTTCAATAACATGCAGTGGACTGGATTGATGGCGCTCAACAGTGCAATGTCGACAGTACATTTCCATGCCGAAACAGTCCCTGCAACGGTACTTGGGTTCTTCAATTTCACTGCCACAGCGGCAGACTGTGCGCTGGCCTTCGTGACCACGACCCTCCAGAAATATGGTCTCGTCAAGGAAAAATTGGCGGTCGAGGAGCCAAACAAGAAGCGGATTGTCCTAAAATAATCATGAGTGTAGTAAATATCATTGATGTTTTCACTTACTGCAGCATATTCTTTGCGCTTATCCTGCAGAACGTCACCCGCGATGATCGGAGGATCACAAAATGGAGAGACTTCGTCCCAATCATTGTAGTCCGGCCAATCCTGGATGGCGTGAGGTTCGTATAGTGAACCATCTGGTTCACTCTCAAGTGCGGCCTTGCCAAGTGAAACATGCCCTGTTTGTAGAGTAGTGCGTCCATTAGAAAACGCATATTCCCGTATCAACTTAACTGCTGGTGTAGAGCTTGGCTGAATGAAACGCTCAACTTGCAGCTTCGGTTTCTTTGCAGCCCGCGTCATGGCAGGATACTAGAATGGTGGCCAAGCATGCGAATTGTCGACATGGCGGATCATTCTGAAAATTTACATGTTAGGCTTCCGTGACTTCAAATATATCTACACTTACCTTGTACTACATTATTGCCAGGACCACGTTGAAGGGCTTCACCAGTAGATTGATTAAACAGCGGGTATTGTTCTGGCCTGATGGTATGGTGTAAGTTTCAGTATATTCATATGAGGTGTACACGATACTAACCATAGACGCGTACAACACGTGACCAAAATGACCTCACATGACTTTGTTTATCAACACACGGTGCCTCGCGTTCTGGACCTTAGTACTAGTATATTAGACACAGCGCAAGAAAAACTTGTATGGACTACACGCTACGTGCGCAAAATCTACGTTACATGAGTACATGGAAGAAATCAAATTCTGAGGCCTTTCTGATACATCATCTCCCCCATCGAGTGAGCAAGTGTGAGCTCGCAAACTTCTCCAAGAAAAATCAGACCCTCAATGTCCTCTAGATATGCGAGCACGGTCCTTAAGAAACGGGTGACCGAGTCAGCAGCATGCCACTCAGAGCCAGGTGAGACTCCGCAAAAATTCAAGATTTGATCTTGTGCAGGAATGGCCCGGTTGAGTATCTTTTGGACCTTCGCAATCGAGGATTCAATGATGGAAATATCACCGGGGGAAGAGTCTTCGGGGAAACTCTTCACGTAGTCGCAAAAGACTCCCTCAGCAAATTTGCAGGGGTCATCGCCGATCATCGCCAGCATTTCGTCCTTGATGTCCTTGATAACGCGTAAGCATTCTGGAAGATTGTCACTGTTGAAATTGAGTTTAATGTTTCATTTCATTTCTATTTATAAAATTGAACATATGCACATACAGCTTGATATTTTCGTCATCTTCTGATTCCGAGTCATCATCTGAATCGGACTCAGACTCCGACTCCGACTCATCATCATCCCTACGACGCAAGGCTTTTGTGACAGCCTTCAAGAGCTCTTTGGATAATTTCTTCGCTTCTTTCGATTCCTTTGTCTTCGAGCTACGAAGCACTCTCCGCCTCTTCAAAATATCATCTCTATGTCTTTAATGTAATTGGTCAGGAACGGATGTAAATAATTAATGAATGTATGACATACTTTGCATAATGACGGCGGTGCCTTTCACGCGAAGCTTGTAGCTTCGCCTCGGCTGTTTTATGAACAACTGGACAAGCCATTTTGACTAGCTGTAGTAGAGAGTGGTGGTAGTCTTCAAGAAAAAGAACCAAGGATCCTCCATTGCGACACTGAGTCTTGGTAGGACGAAAACTCATTCGCTCAATATCATATTTCAATGGGCCAAACTTATCACAATGCTAAGCTAGGCCAGTTGCAACTTGCAAGCATTGAATCAAGGCCCGTCTCATGTCAGCGTGTGTTATAGCATTGTAAATGTAACTTGAAATCATCAACAGAGATAAAGTCCGACTGCCATTGCACTGAATTGGTCCCTAATTACATCGAGTCTCAGTAGGATCACACCAAGTCTTGGTAGGACGAAAACTCATCCAACCAATATCATATTTCAAACGCAGGCAGGATCATTGCGCTAGCGCCGCGAGGCCAGTCAAGCATGAATTAAGGCCTGTCTCATAATCTTCAACATAAATAAAAGCTCTACGTACATACTACCATTGCACTGAATGGGTCCATCTCTAGCAGTCGGACGAAAACACACGTGGTTCACAATCGTACGCTCGAAGTGAATTTTTCATCTCATTGCCACACTAACTAATAGCTATTACCTGCAACGTACATCTAATCTTACCAATGGCACCACCCACCAAATATTCTGCCGAGCAGATCGAGTTTATGGCGACATTCCACAATCAATTCCTTGAATGTAAGGCCAACAGAAATTACGAACCTTTCTGGAATCCCTTTTTTGAGGCATGGGGAGCAAGATTTCCAGAGCGTGCTGTTGTCTTTAAAGACATTCCGCTCGATGTGGACTTAACCGAGGAACAGTCTACTGTGCTGGCAGAAGCCTGGGCATTGCGTCAACGGGTACGTATATGCTGTCCGAATATTAATTTCAATAACGTGTTCCTCACCATGTTAACAGCGCCTCATGGAGAAATTCCGTAATGATTTGGGCACGTCAAAAGCGGGTTGGCGGGCGAATGGACAGCACACTGCCACAGTCAATAAAATGATGAAAAATATCATGAAGGGCTCGACGGACAAACCTACTCGTGTCTTGCAACCATGGGAAATGTACTCGAAAACTCACTATATGAAAGTCAAAGATGCGGTAAAGACTGAGCAGGAAGAGCTAAAAAAAGTGCCCTTCGCTGAGCCGGCTAAGAAGACTACCCTGGGTATCGTTAAGCGGCATGTCAAAGCCGCTTTCAACAATGAATCCGAGGAAGTAAAGGCAGAGGTCCTTGCTGCTATCGAGGCAATGAAGGAGGCAAAAAGTGCGGAAATAGAGGAAGCAAAGAAGCAGGATCACGATAAGGATGTGTAAGTTACATTCCTTGCTTTCTATGAACAATGTTTTCTTACAGCATGTGCAGCTACATATCCAAAATCGCTGCGATTTTGACCCAGTTCTTTGAGGAGTTGCATGAAATGACAGATTGGGTATTCATGGTACTCATGGGCGGGCCACATCCTGCTGCAGGTGGGACACTTGATGTCAGTAGTTTCCATGTTGGTACAACAAAACTGGGCAACCGGTTCAGTCAAGCCTATCCCCAATTCTCGCAGAACATTATGGTGCCTTACACGCAGTTTGTAGAACGTGTTTTTTGTCAGTCACCCTTACTCAGTACAAGATATCAGACTAATGCCTCTTTCTAAACAGCCGACGCAGCCGCACTGTCGAAGGGACAAAGCTTGCTGCATCCGGTCAATACACCATCCACTCCGGTCATCGCTTCTGGATCTTCATCTACTGTCCAATTACCCTCTGATATATCACCACCTACCACTCTCAATACCACAACTGCCACGTCTGATGCATTGTTTGACTCACAGTTTTCTTCTCTCATGGACACCATCGACATTCCATTCTTCTCCCAGCCTTACGCATCTCCGCCACAAATGGACATGGACGACACATCGCAGCCATCACTTCCCATTCTTCCAATGCCTCCGCAACCTCCTCAAGACTCGGAGATGATGCACAGTTTGAATCCGTTTCTGCAGGACCCATCCATTCTCAAACACGACCCACCTATTCTCGAACAATACCTTGCCCCGCAACACTCACTACCGATTATCGTGTCACCACCACGAATTCATCAAACACAAAACACATGGACCCCCACAGACGAACCTGCTACTACCCCAAATGAAGCTGGACCGCAGCCTTATCACACTACAAATTCCACCTTCACCTTCCCTATCTCCACTCCACCACCCTCCCAGGCGCCTTCATTGACAACCCGCACTCTATCAACGCCACCTGCCGGTGCACCCCCCACCCAAACTCTGACAACTCTGTCTGATGCCGCCCCAAGAGGACCCCCTTCTGACACAGGCAAGAAGCGTGCATGTGAATCTGAAGGAGAGCGGTTGAATAAAGGTAATGCTCGCAGGGCTGGTTCCAGCGCCTCCGCCATGGTTGATGAGAGAGTGACGGAATCAACGGATCAGCAGGATGGCCGAGGCAAACGTCAACGGTTCCAATCCAGGCGTGCTGCAGAAGCCAACAATATTGGTGGCTCATCCACGACTCGGAAGACTGGACGCAAATGAGTGCGTATGCGCGTCTCCGACCATTGTATCATTTATACCATTGTTGCATATACGTAGTTGCTTGCGTGTGTCGTGTGTTTGTTAATGCAATAATATTTGTTAGTTCTTGACATATTGGAACTTGTGGAATTGGGTGACACAGATAGGTATTTGGCTTTCAAACAATTTTCAAACCTGTTTCTAGGCAGCTACACATTTGCGGGACTTGGAGGAATTTCGGTTTGAATTGTGCCGAATTCGGCTAATGCAGAGTAGTGATACATCAATGTCTTATGGTTGTAGGTAGTGATACATCAATGACTTATAGTTGTAGGTAGCGATGTGATACATCAGTCCTACAGGTACAGGCAGCCCATGCCATGTCCTGGGCTGTCGCATGTCACATGACCCAGAAAACGTGGCACTTTTTCCTCGAGTGGTGACGTAACTCAAGGAAAAAGTGCCACGTTCTGGGTCATGTGACAGTTGACCAAATTTTTGTGTCATGTGTTAAATGTTTGATCGCTCACCAGCTGAGGAGTAGGACATGTAGGACACGTCATGCCGTCCAAGCGGCATTGGCAATATGAACGCCACGGGCGCAATCCGAATATAATTTTACTGAGAAATGACACTCACTAACACGCCATCGGCACCAGAAGGAGTAGGAAACCTGGTGATCCTGGAGGGTCACAACGCACACAGAACGTGGCGTAGCCTCACATTCAAGCGGGAATCTCCAGCGGGGGACTTGTCACTTGGACCTTGGTGCTATTTTTGATAATCAACCTACCGATCAGACTCGTCCATCAGATGTGCATCTCATGATCCAGGCCCAGTCATCACGTGGAAGTAATGTTACCTATAGATAGACTGAAGAACCACAATGCCATCAAACGAAGGCCAGGTACCAGGTCCAGAGAACCGTGGATTGAGTACCAGACCAGGATCCTCCACTGATACATTAGCCCTTATAGATTATAAACAGCTGTGGGTCTTAGGTATACATGTATCAGTATTGCCCTCTAATTGTAAGTACTTGATGTATTATTCTTACAGTATGGCCTGATTTCATGAAGAGACTAATGGGTATTACTATATGGGTGGCGTTCGTGGAGGACTTGGACTAGATGATGGTCATCATTGATTACTCGATGACCTTACTCACGAAGACGAACCAGATGTCTCTCATGAGGCTGACAATCATGATGCCGGTCTCGTCGTTTGGGAATTTTCGGACGAAGAAGTGGGTGCAATGGACGAGTGGTGATTATTTTCATACTAGTATCTATTACCAAGGAGCCGTAGTAGAATCTAGGCTCTGGGGATCTTGTACAATGTCTTACGAAAATCATGATAACACTATTTAATTTTCGGAAAGGGTGTCCAAGGTCCTATAGAAGCTAACTGCCTTATATGGTGTCTCGAGAGAAGCATGCACGTGAGAAATTGAGCGCGGTTGTCTGGCTTTCCATACGAAACAATGTCGGGCTCGAGAGAGTCCATTCAAGGAAAAAAAAGGGGTTGCGATTCCGAACCATTTTCTTGCTGCTGAGCATCCATTATGCATATGCTGATGTCGAGGAGCTATTCAAACCATGATGCGTCCCGTCATCACAACTGACTTTTCAGCATGTTCTGACTGAATCTACTAGTGGGAATGGAGATTACTATCGCGCTGTTACAGCGGTGGGGGACGCTTTGGCAGGTTATGTCTCGATAGCATACCTCTTGGTGATGGGTCCAGGCCTGTAAATTCATTACCAAAAGTTACAACGTGAATGTGCAAGAATCAAGATACGACCGGTCTGAGACAACCCGAAATTGAGATAAGCATCATGTTATTAAAACTCAGCCAAGGCGCCCATCTAAATCTGATTCTGATCAGTGATAACGCGCCCTCGGTTGCATTAAAGATGTTAGCATTTTGATCCCGCTAGGGAATTTCCAACAACAACACCAGACTCAACCCGGAGAGGTTGGGAGTAGTACTATAGCAAAAGATGTTGCAGTCCTGAAATGCACCATGCACCATAGGCTCGTGTTTTCATATACTACCTACTTGCGACCGTAACCGTGACTCACAATCAGAAGGTATGAAGGACAGCCAACGGCAGCCACGAACTTCTCAGAACCCAACTCGAACGCCCAGGTAAATCGGTTCGCGCATAAGCCGGTGCATCAGACGACTGGTAAGCCACAGATATTGTCATATATGCTGATATATGATCATATATAGAAAAGGTTTTCGTTCCATTGGAATATAAAGCCATGTATACCGTCGGAAAACCACTGCAATCAACGTAAAGCACCTTGGGGAGACCCACGAGTTCTTTGATGGTTGTCTAGCAAGTCCGATTCAAGAGCCATCATGTGTTCTCAGTACGCCACTTGAACGCCCAGGGAACGGCTTCGTGGAGAAGCCGGCTGTCTATTAGCAAGTTTGATTCAAGGGCCATCATCATGTGCTTGAACTTGAAGTACAAACAAGTTCCAACAGCAGCTAAGAACTTCTCGAACGCCCAGGTAAATCAGTTTACGCAGAAGAAGTCCGAAACATATAAAAGCCTCCTTGCTGAAACTCTAACTGCAGAACTCAAGCTCTTCAATCCACGCTCAATCTCAGCTACCAAGTACACTTTGTATTTCACAATCCAAAACAATGTTCGTCAAGAATTTGACCTTCCAGTCGTGAGTGTTCGCAATCTCGCTCTGCACAAATTTTTCACCCAACGTTTCACAGCAATAACCTCGGCAAGCAGGTCACGCTCATGCTCACTTTGAGTCCCGACGTGGATCACCTCTACGAGGACGTCTTCCCGGTAGTTTGGAAGTAAGTGGGTCTACTCGCGTCTTGGACGATTTAAAACCTTGCAATTTTTTCAGAGTCTTCAAGTTCGGCAAGTCAGGTGGGTGTTCCTATTCTCTTGCTGCCAAGTTGCCGACTTACATATGAGCCGTCTTTCCAGGTCCATATAAGGCTAGCACGACCTACACGACCCAGTAAGATGATCGACAAGATCAATAGTCTTGGAAGTCGCTTATATATCGTATAGGTTTGTTTTCTCCAGAGCCCAGGTCGAGGATGGGAAGGCCGTCGGCGCTGAGACCTTCATCAATATCAATGTGAGCGGCTCTCATCTACTCCGAAATTGCTAGCACCAACGCAAGCCATGATGCAGAACGGCGAGAAAACAATTCTGACAGAAGCCAACGATGTCTATCATTTCTCTGTAAGTCTGGCTTCCGTTGATTTTCATCTCGACCACCGACGAATACCTCGTGCAGACCCCTCAGGCGGGAACCTCTGGTATCCTGCAGGCCCAGAACCACACTGGGACTACTCAAGAAATGGCAGTCGGTTTGTGACCATCATCATCTCCTCTTCTTTCACCTGAGCGTATTGTCCACCTCCAGGCTTCGTAAACAAAGGAGATTTTATGCCCACACCCGTACTCTTCTTCAGCGATGTTGCGTATGTCATCTTGCCTGTAATACTTTCTCCTTCAGAGCGTTCACAATATCAAATGCAGAGATGGCAGTCACGTCACGGCAAAGTTCACTCCCGTCTTGCGGGCCTATATCACGTCGGACTATGAAGCGACCTCAATCTTGCGAGGCCCAGTCGAAACTCAGGCGATCTTGTCGCAGGACCTCACTGGGCTTGCTCAGAACACGACTTGGAACCTCTCGCACGACGCGTCCACTGGACGTTACACGCTCACCCATGCTTGATTAAGGAATGTGACATTGGTGCGCCTAGATATCCGTTCTGTGATATCTGCATCTCAATGTTTACTGTGCTTTCACAGTATCTTCGTTCAAACCAATAGCCTCACTAAGTTGCCGTGGGCAATGTGAGCATTCGTGCATTTGTGGAGCGCCATTGCGGTAGAACAAACACCACTGCTGAGAATTAGTAAAATATACGAGAAGGAGTCGCGTGCGCCTATGTGGTTCCAGAATTGAGAAATGAGAATGTCTTTTTTTAGTCGATATCGCCTCTTCCATCCCATGTAGCAATGCATTGTGATATACACTTTTGATGACCTGTTCACCACGGAGACCAGAAACAAGTTGGAAGGGGCTAGGTAGCACACTACGCTTCGCAGGTCCTCCCGTAGACTTGCCAGACTTGCGGACAGTACGAACCATGACGACCAGGGCGAAAGAATTTCCGCTAAGACGGGATCTGTGTAGCAGCAGATTATTTGTTTGAACCAGGAGAGGAAGGCTGTACATACATACTGTCAAAAATTAAACGCGCATAGTCCACGGAGTTGTATTCTGACTGGCAAAGTGTAGAGACTTAAGATCGACGTTGGAGAAGAGATATGATTCAGAGTACTCAGAATTGATCAGAACTTATTAATGCAATCTCGCGACCTTTGCCCATCTTCCTCTCAACCAGAGACCATGAATCCAGCATTCAATAGAGCAATCTCAATTCATTCGGATCGTGCATCTTCCATAAGGTTGGATTAAGATTCGTGAGCAATCATACCTCAGTGGTGATTTGCATCGATGTGAACTTTCGCGACTGACAGGCAGCATGATCTTATACCTTCAGGGAACTAACACCTTGTGTCATCCCTCTCTCTAGTAGTTGCTCCGCGCCACGCAGTCTATTCCAAATGCTGATGTAATGTGAGCTTGGTGTTTCCCATCAAAGATGGGCGCTTACAATATTTCTAGACCATCGTCCAGTTTTCATTCTCGTAGACTTAGTAAGCATGATGACTTCCAGGCTGCGAGCGCTCAGAAGGCCTGTCAACCTCTCGTGAGAAAATAAATGCCCAGTGCATTCGAGCAGGTCGAGTACACCTGGCACGTTCAAGAACATGAAACTAAAAAGTCTAGAATCAATACTAGGATCAAGCACGATGAACAGTGCGGGACAAATCAAACAATGTCCACACCATCAACCATTAATGAGAATAAGCTTCCGCTTCTCGTCGTATTTGAGCTGCACAAGCAACTCAAAGCTCCGCCGCAAGCCAATCTCGTGTGCTGTGTAACAAGATACTGAGCAGATAATAAATTCGGTGGTCTTCCAGCGCATGGAGAGATGCAAAGTCGATGGAAGCTATGGACCTGAGTCCAACGATGCTGAACATCAAGACAAAATGCCCCGAGAACTAGCATTGGAACAATGATAGGTGATATCAAGTCTAACTCGTTCAGCGCCTCGCAGAGAAGAGGGAAGAGGTCCATACGAGCGTCGGGAATGAGTGTCTGGCAAACCTTCTTGTTAATTTTGAACTTCGGATCTGTTCGACTAGATGGTCGAGAGTACGAGAGTGAAGTTGCGACAAAAGGGATAAACAGGGTGTTAATGAGGCGGGATATCGTGGTGTTGCTGGGAATGCCGATACCTCAGTAGAAGAGGGTGTGAGAGCAACGCGCAAAATGTACACCAGGAGTGAAGAGGTCACTGCGATTCTTGATACATTGAGTTCTGAAGATGTCGAGATATTTGGGAGCCTGGAAGACTGCCGATGGTATCTATTAAGCGTAAGTCAAGAGAAACGGATACGAGGTTCGCACCATTTTGCAACCCAGTTCGTTGTCCTGAAGCTGAAACCTGTCAGAGTCGCGTGCGATTGCAAACCCAAGCTCTACGTTCATTGGCTCACAAGTTCACTTACTTATTCGTCGAGCGTCCAATTATTTGAATGGTCTGATCAAGTCAAGCTACAAGATCAAACAACACTGTAGATGGTTATCTAAGCCGGCCGAGGAACGAGGCCAGCAAAGATTTTAGTCTACGCGGAAGTTAGCGAGGTGGCGCAGCTCTTCTTGCTCCTGCCCACCTCGCAGCCTTGCCTTATTCTGAGTTTTGGCTACTCGTTTATACGTTTTTGCATCTATTTCGTCAGTTATAATGCTCACGCAGAACCCTAACGAAGCCATAAGGCCAGACTTCACGACTCAAGAGCACGAAGATGCACGTCAGAAGCTCATTGACGAAGGTTTCAACGCCGACCAAGCAGCTCGCTCTCTCTCAGCCCTGTGGACCCTGACCAACAACGCTGATAAAGAACGTTGGGCCCTCGAACAACGGCGCCGGCACGAGGCTGAACGGAGAGAAGAGGAAGAAGAAGAAGAACGCAGGCAACTAATCAAAGACGAACAAGAGGCCGCTCGCTTAGAGGATAGAAAGAAGAACAAAAACAAATATGCGCCTCTAGTGCGAGGGAAGGTACCTTCTGACCCAACAATCATCCCCGCACAGTACGCTCTAAGGAAAATGAAAGCGGGAGATTATTGCGAGTTGCACTACTTCACCAACAAGGGTCTAGAAGACGCAAAAGTTTCGAACCTCTTAGCAGAACCGGATGCCTTAGTGATGCTACCAGCCGCAGATGGGCTACACTCATGGGTTCCTGCGGCGGCAGTCAAGGATCCAAAGTCTGCCCCCATCGTCAAAGACGAAAATCTTTCGTGGGAAGACTTCAACGAGGCGGCACCGCGCATGATCGCTTCAATGAAACTACATGACTGGCCCGACGATCGAGTTGACATGCATATTCGATTCTGGTGCGCACTACAATCGCATCGTTGGCGTCATGCCCCAGATATGCTCAAACAAAGAGCACTGCTACTCTACCAATTGCAACAACGTCGTCGCTGGCACATGACTATCGGTACGGCTCAGAGCTGGAGTCTAGAAGAGCTCAATCAGGATCTCATCCTCGAAGCTCGGGAAGAATTTTTCAACGAGAAAAGAGATAAAGATACAGCGTTAGCAATCCGTCAGTACCTTTTTCATTTACTTTCACTCAAAGGTCAAATACTCAATCAACTTCTTGGCTTCTTCGTCCCTTTCATAACAACTTTGCGAACGTTTCATATAATTTAAAACTCTCACCCACTGTCGGCCAATCGCGCGCCGACATGGTAACCACCGACCTTTGTGTTGCAACGCGCTCACTCTGGCACCACCCACCGGGATTTCATCACGAAAATCCATGACCATCATGTGTCATCCCTCACTGGGAACCTCTCGCATCAACTACGTGATCGCCACGTACATACCTCGTATCACACGATCGGTAACTTGCTATCTGTAACGTTGGAACTCCTCCTACAGAGCAAGCAGCAGCTACTTTCACAGCCAACAACCAGCACCTCTCGCGAATGCCATTGCAGCAGGTCGCGACGTCACAGAAGCGCCCGCACCCCCCTGCGGAAGAAGCCGCATATAGCAACAAGAAGGTACGACATCCTCGTCCTCCTGGTGCCGCAGGTACATTACCTTGCTGTGCAGTGTGCTTGGGAAGAAACCCGCATCGCACCGTGGAATGCGCCGCCTCTCATACGTGGGACAACCAATTCGAGACATTTGCCGAGCGCATCCGCAAGGGTCTTTGGACCAAAGACGGAAAACAAATCTGTACAGCTTGGCAACGCGAGGAAGGTTGCACCACCCCCAAACATGATGCACGTCACGTATGTTCGGGATGCGGAGCAGCCACTCACGGCGCTCAAAGATGCCCTAGAGCTCAGAAAGCTGAGACCATTGACACCGTACAAGGTTGATGTGTGGAAACGAGAGCTTCGAAGAGCCGGTTTACTTGACCGCTTCGCTAAGATACCAGAAGGTCTTCTTTTAGGTTTCAAAATAGATTTTCCTTCTATCAGAACTGTACAAGCGCCTCCAAACAGAGATTCTATTTCTGAATACTCGATTGAGTTTGATACCATCATTCAGAAAGAATTGCGCAAAGGCAGGTACATAGGGCCTTTCCCAGCATCGGTCTTGGAAAGTCTTATAGGGCCTTATCAATCGTCACCGCTATCAATCATCCCAAAACCGGGCAAACCAGGAAAATTCAGGATCATCCAGAATTTTTCGTATCCGCATTCACCCAACGCTTCTTTCCCAAATCCGTCAGTGAATTCCGCCATCGAGACCAACAATTTCCCGACCACATGGGGAAAATTCTCCATCATTTACCAAATCATCGCGAACCTTCCTCCTGGCTCCGAAGCAGCGACAAGAGATGTCGCAGAAGCTTACCGAACAGTACCACTCCATCCATCGCAATGGCCTGCTGGTGTCGTACGAATCTCAGACTCTCTTTTCTGCGTAGACACTTGCATAGCGTTCGGGGCAGCTCCATCTGCAGGGGCTTATGGCCACGTAGCAGATGCGGGAGCCGAGATTTTCCGATACAATGGAATCGGCCCTTTAGACAAATGGGTCGACGATTATATCTTCTTCAGGATCAAGCTCGAATTCTTAGACCAATACAACAATTTCCGAAAGAATTGGAACCAATCCTTCGCACAGGAAGGTATGCGCCAAACAGGAAGCCGTCTTTGGTTTGGCGGCATGTGCACGGACACAGGAAAACTCGAGGAACTGAGCGAAGACTGCTCGAAACCGCTGCAAGATTTTTCAAAACGATCTGCTAGATCTGACCACGACAAACATTTTAATTGCAACCTGCAAGACATAGATGCCTTGTCAGAGGAGCTAGGTATCATCTGGGAACCGTTGAAAGACCAGCCTTTTCAAATGACTACGGTACACTTAGGTTTTGTATGGAACATTGAGAACAGATCAGTATCATTAAATTCGGCAAAAATCGACAAATATCTTGCGGCAATACACAGATGGCGCAAGCGGCGAGCGCACACGCTCCAAGATGTTCAGGAACTTTACGGAAAGTTATTACATACATGCGAAGTGGTACCTCGAGGCAGAGCGTATTTAACGAGCCTTGAAGCAATGCTCTCACACTGCAGTGGGAAGCCGTTTCTCCCACATCGAGCAGGAGACAGAGTAGCAGACGACCTCGACTGGTGGTCCCATTTAATCCAATCCGGAGGCGCAACGTGTCCCATCCTCCCCACAACGAAGCTAGAGAACCCACTAGCGTTCTCGGACGCGAGTTCAGGCATAGGAATAGGTCTAGTAGTCGGCAAGCACTGGAGAGCGTGGAGATTGATACCCGGTTGGAAGACGCACAATGGCAAACGTGACATCGGATGGGCAGAAGCTGTGGCTTTCGAACTACTCGTATACACTGTCGCCGCTATCCCTAACATTAGCAACCGTGTCCTCATCCAGGGAGACAACACGGGCGTTGTCGAAGGATGGTGGAGACGGAGGCACAGGAATCACGAAGTTAATGGAGTTTTCAGGAGAATCAGTGAATTTACTCACTCCCTATCCTGCCCTTTCGAGATTGTCACTTCCTACGTCGCCAGTGCCTCTAACCCAGCAGATAAACCCTCCAGAGGGATCTACGGACCGCGAAGCCTTCTTCTTCCTCCAGTCAAGCTTCCAGCCGAGCTTGAAGGCTTCCTTATCGACGCCACTGAACCGCTCTCTCCCACCGAGCTTAGACTCTTACGGAACGGGAGCTACTCCGCTCCCGCTGCCAAGCTCATCAACAGAGAACTCCTCAAACAACAAGCGATCGTTAGAGCAGGTGCAGACAGAAAAGAGGAGGAAGACTTCATTAGCAAAGCACTCAGCGAGAGACAGTAGCACGGAAAACGCACGTTTCGGTGCCCCCTTGCCCAGTACCTTGCACATTAGCGCTCCCTCTATCCCTCTACGCTATAAATCAAACTTAACCCCACAGCTATCCACACTGCGTCCACATTGTCTAGCAAGAGACAGGTTAAGGTTATGGGTACCAGCGGGAAGCAGCGCAAGACAAACAACAAACGCAACAAGCAATCCGACGAACCAGGAAATGTCCGATCGGCAATTAGAACGCATCCTGGATGTCATGGGATCAGTGTGGGCTCAATCCACAAAAGAAACATACGGAGCAGGCTTACTCGTATTTCATGTGTTCTGCGACACAAATGGTATTGAGGAAGACAAGCGGTGCCCTATCGATCGCACCCTGCTACTTAATTTCTTGTGCAGCTGCGCTGGGTCGTACTCAGGCTCCGTGCTAAGCAATTATGCAGCGGGCCTCAGAGCGTGGCACCTCTTACACGGAAGAGACTGGTTGATCCCGCCTAGAGAACTCAAAGCGGTCCTAGATGGTGCCGCCGCATCAGCACCAACAGAGTCCAAAAAGCCCAAACGACACCCATACACACCAGATTCTCTGGCCGCTATCTGCAATCAACTGGACCTCACCACACCCTTAGATGCAGCGGTGTTCACGTGTCTGACCACGACATTTTACTCCATAGCGAGACTTGGAGAGTTCACAGTCAGCGCCATCAGAGACTTTGACCCCAGAAAACACGTTACCAGAGCTAACGTGTCAGAAACCACCGACCGCAACGGACTTCCCGTCACCAAGATACATCTTCCTAGCACAAAATGCTCCACAGTCGAAGGAGAAGATGCGTATTGGGCCGCGCAAGAAGGACCAACAAACCCTAAAGAAGCCTTAGAGAATCATTTTCGCGTGAACCCAGCGTCCAATGCTGAACAAACGCACCTGTTTGCGTGGAAACACGCGAAATGAATGTGTCCGTTGTCAAAAAGACAACTCCTCAAAAGGACAGCAGCAGCTGCGGAAGCAGCAAAACTACCAGACCTAAAAGGGCATGGCTTGCGCATCGGGGGGACCTTGGAGTATTTGCTGCGCGGAGTGCCTTTCGATGTCGTGAAAGCTATGGGAAGGTGGTCCAGTGACACCTTCGCGAGTTATCTGCGAGAACATGCGACAGTACTCGCACCTTATATCCAAGCCTCTCCAGCACTCGAGCCGTTCACACGCCATACCATGCCTCCAATCAGGTAACAAACTGGAGTAAGTCCATCTCCTAGAACATAAGGGCATCAAGCTTCGCTGCATGCGTCGCTGAACTCCTAAAATTCGGGAACACAGCTCACCTTGCGCCACAGGTACAGACACGTGTTTTGGACCGGAAAGCCCTGCGGGCTTTCGCCCAAATACCCAATGAAATATTTCTTCTATCAGCCATTAGCTTCTAGCAGTCCCTTCTGTAAATACCACGCACCGTTGAAAACCGAGTTTGCTAGCTTGTCTTCTAACGTATCGCAGACATTCGCATTCGAAATGCATAGATGGTTATCTAAGCCGGCCGAGGAACGAGGCCGGCAAAGATTTTAGTCTACGCGGAAGTTAGCGAGGTGGCGCAGCTCTTCTTGCTCCTGCCCACTTCAGTCACCCCTCCCAAAGTACCTCTTAGGTACATATATTCTCTCCTAAAATCCCACCTAAAGGGTATGTTTTTGCATGGTATTCCCATTCAATATGGTCATCAGCCCGGGCCTTCCAAATACTTTCCCCAGGGGGGCTGGGCCAACTGGGCCAATATATTTAGTCTGTCCCATGACCCATGTAGGCTATCCCAAGCAGCAATTTCTAAGGGTTATCCCATTATCAGCCAGGGTGTCAGGGGTCTATCTCTACAAAAACTCATCTGTATTTTCACCATTGGGCAACTTCCCACAGGCAAAAATAATACAGTATAAAATATAATTTTATGCTTTAGTACTGCGTGTTGTCTGAAATTTTAGCTGGAGGAAATGTGACAGAAAACTAATCTGGACCTCATGTTTCTGCCAAATTTCGTGTGACCCAGCATCAGGACACATCCTCACCTTACCACAGTTATGTGCCCGGTTCATAAGACATCTATTTGCTTCTAGAGCACCCCCCATCCTCACCTAACCGTAATTGTGCACCCGGTTCATCACACATCTATTTGCTTCTAGAGCACCCCCCATCCTCACCTAACCGTAATTGTGCACCCGGTTCATTACACATCTATTTGCTTCTAGAGCACCCCCCATCCTCACCTAATAATAATTGTGCACCCGGTTCATTACACATCTATTTGCTTCTAGAGCACCCCCCATCCTCACCTAATAATAATTGTGCACCCGGTTCATCACACATCTATTTGCTTCTAGAGCACCCCCCATCCTCACCTAATAATAATTGTGCACCCGGTTCATCACACATCTATTTGCTTCTAGAGCACCCCCCATCCTCACCTAATAATAATTGTGCACCCGGTTCATTACACATCTATTTGCTTCTAGAGCACCCCCCATCCTCACCTAACCATAATTGTGCACCCAGTTCATAACTCATCTATACCCCAAGTAAAGCCGGGTAAGGTTAGAGTGCTGAAACTGCATAATGTGTCCTATCAAGACAATCCCAAAGGCCTCGAGAAATAGGCATCAGTGCTGCTTAGTGAGCCTGATGTAGTCGCTGGGACGGCCCAGTGCTCTCATACACATGATGCGGGATAGCCCACCGCTGGTTCATATAGTCGCTGGGACGGCCCAGTGCTCTCATACACATGATGCGGGATAGCCCACCGCTGGTTCATATAGTCGCTGGGACGGCCCAGTGCTCTCATACACATGATGCGGGATAGCCCACCGCTGGTTCATATAGTCACTGGGACGGCCCAGTCCAAATGTTATTACTTGTTTGTCTTTATTTTTTATCCACAATTTATAACATTCTGCACTGCTTTTCTTCTTTCTTACTCCTACATTCTATTGTGCAGCATCCTTTCTGAATATTAGTCCTGCAATGTTCTCTCTCCTTTCTATACTACTTCACTGGGTTGCTTATCTGGGTAGCTACTCACTGCTAAGATTCTATACTCCAACTGATCTAGCTTTTTATTCAACATTTCTAGTGGTGACTTGCTCCTGCAAATCTGAGACTAGCCAAGCAGTCCATTCTGTAACACACCGACGATCTCTCACTTTCCTAACCACTGACTTCATCAATCTCTGGCTTCTAATCGCTGCTACCGTCCTTGCCTTCATTGTTGTTGTCAATGCACTCTACCTCAATTATCTTGAACGCACAACTGCCAATACACTAAATGCCATTGAGCTTCAACACACCACTACTCCTCATGGATCCCCTGCCTAGACCCAAACCTATTATTTCATCTAGAATCACCAGTGTTAGTACTGTGCTATTCCTTCTTGCCCAGCTCTCTGACATGCATCATATGGGCTAGCCCAATACTAGCTCATTAGTCATGGGGACAGTCTACTAAACAGCAGGATAGCCCATCGCAACTTTCATAATTACTGGGTCATCATTACATAGACACTGGGCTGACCCACTATATATATATATACATTCCTTACATACTACTTGGGATGACCCAGCTACCCAATATATCAGCTGGGATAGCCATGATGACCCTACTTTACATATAATAAAACTCGTAGATGCTGGCATTGTTTTTTGAGTGAAAATCATGCAGCACAGTTTGGAACCACAAGACAGATGTATATTCAAGCTATGATACACAATTACATACAAAAATCATTCAAAGCATATGAAACATTAGTCACGGTAATCAAAATCACGATCATATGAATGGCCACCATAATCAGGAGACGGAGTGTTCCGGCCATAAGCATATTTCTCACGTCCCCTTGCAACCACTCTTGAAGGGCCTGCAGCCGAAAAATCATGGCGAGAATGGGCCACATTATGCCCATAAGCTTGAACATGCTGTGGAGACATCTGCCGTACCTCATTACGCCAGTGTTGAGGTGGCTCATAGCCAGGGGTAGGTGCGCGAGGTCGAGGAAGAGGAAGAGGATGAGCTGGGACAATGCGCGGAGCACCATCGTAACGTACAACCTGGAAACCAACTTGAATGAAAATAACGATAGAAGATGTCAGTCTTCAGCTTACCTTCGACTTTTTCCTGATGCGAGAGTCTGGTGCATTCAAGCTATCAGCCTCAGATTCAAATGTTTGATCTATCAGACACTCAATTAGAACGGTATCTGTAAGCGATTCATGGACTTACCATAATCCTCTACATGCAGTCGCTTGCGAGGCTGCATCCTCTGCGGCTGAAGCACCGCTGAGTGGTGTTCTGTACGGGGCGGATCATTGTTGCTGTGGTGGTCCTCGTGAACAACAGAAAATCCACGAGCAGCATGGTGAGTCTGTTGTTGAGGCCGGCAATCACGAGTAGTATCTTCACGCTGCCTTTCTCCAGAAGGGGGGCCAACATTCAAACCACTGGTTGATGTTGCTTCCTTGTACTGTTCCAGCAACGTTTTTGGGACGGAGTACTTGAATTTCTCGGAGTCTGCTAGTTTGCGGAGCACGATGTGGGAAGCACTGGTGACCAAAGGAATATCGAACATCCTAGGGTCGTCATTTTCACATTGGTCAATGTGATCTGAAGCAACAGCATTAGATATGAAAATGAACACGGGCAATAAGTACCTTGCGGCCAAGGAACAATATCAATCTCGGACACAGTGACATCCAACTCGTCAATGATATCATCAAGAGTCTTATCACTGCGTCCTTGCTTGCGCCGAAGTTCGAGTAGATTAGTAGCTTCTGTCTTCAGTTCGGCGTCATAATACGGTGTTGCCCTGCGCTTGATGTAAGGCACGACGAGTAGCTTCAGATGTTGAGCGCTGAGGGTGTGGTAGTTGAAGTCTGGGCCAACCGGATGAACACCATCAGGCCAGAGTTCAAATTGAAACTTGTTCTGGTATGCAACATCGAGTAGCTTCTGCCACTGGACAGACTTGGTTTTATAGCCGAATTGTTCTGTTTTATCGAAATAAATTCGAGATACGCACGGGGAATTTAGATCGAGCTTACCTAGCTTCTCAAGCACCATGACTGACCAGATACGTCGGTAACGATCCCGTGGGGCTTCACCAGGCTTCGAAAACAAAATATCATAAGCCCCACTGAACCGCGGCAGTACTAGCTGGTAGTTTTTTGCTCTGGACACATGGTAAGATAAAACTCAGGGTAGTTCCAAGCTATGTACTTCGCTGCAGTGATAATCCAATCTAAGGCGAGGCAGGCGTCCACTTGGCGTTCATTGATGAGATCCATAAAGGTGGAAGAGCCTGCGACAAAACCAGAGGCCTGTCGGGCCGCCTCATCAGGAGTCGAATCGAAGACACAGCCAATGACCTCAATGCCTTCTAGACGAGAATAAGCTGCAAACTTTGTGGCAGTGAGTCATGATAAAAATGAGTGGTCTTAATACTTACACGCTTAGCGAGTGCGTCCCTTGTAGACATAACGATGCTGGCACGCGACTGATTGTTATTGGCACCGCCTAAGTGAAAGTCGTAGTATGCTTGTACATCATCCCACAGCGGGTCATCATCTGGGAGGCTGTAGTAGTGGTCGCGCTGCCTCTTTCTCCAATCACTGAGTTCTACCAGGGTATGTGGTTATTACCAGCGCCAATGTGTAAAAGAAGAAAAAACTCACGTTCATCTTTTTCTCGAGGATATTTACCCTTGTACCATCCTTGGTGCATGTTCCATGGGGTCTCGGCCCTGGAGTGCTTCACAGACAACCCGGCCTCAATGAGTATTGTACGTGCAGATTTTCCATACTTGTCCCCAATTGCCTTGGCAGCCTCAAGTGTCTTGCGCCCGAGCTCCTGCGCATCATCTACACCTTCCTGGCACAGCCGCCCAGGTCTAGAAGCAATGGGAAGGTCTTCACCGACATCATCAAATGAATAAAGTTGCGGGGTGGGCGAGGCAGTCTCCATTGCCATGGAGTTTTTTGGCAGAGCGCTTGGGGGAAGAGTGTTGGAGAGCGCGCTCTTCTTGAACAACATCGCCTTTGATGGAGGCGCGGGTGCTTCTTCGTCAGAGGCTTCTTCATCTTCTTTATATTCATCGTCATCCCCGTCAGACTCCTCTTCCGGAGGAGAAAGATCACGCCCAGCAAGCTTTGCACGGCGTTGTACCGGGGCGGTCAAGGAAGTCTCTATAACTGTGGAGTTTTTGGGGGGAGCGTTGGAGAGCGCACGCTTCTTGAACAACTTCGCCTTCGACGGAGGCACAGGAACTTCTTCGTCCTCGTCTTCTTCATCTTCTTGATATTCATCGTCACCTTTGTCAGACTCCTCGTCTGGAGGAAAAAGATCACGTGCAGCAAGCTTTGCACGATGTTCAGCTCGTAACCTTGCTCGTCGATTTGCATATGGGTAGTTGTTGTCTGTGGAAGGGGTGCCATCCGAGGAAGCGTCTTCATCCTCTGGAGTATCAGAGACGGGTAAGGATTCTGGGAGACGAAAAAAGGACTGTCAGTGTACATTATTGATGGGAGACAGTGCTACATACCACAGACCTTGGGATCATCTACAGGATCGCCCTTGTGAGCCTCCACTTCTCCTTCACCGTTGCTCTCATCTTCTGTGACAGGGTCGTCGATCTTGGGGTGGTCTTTGGAACAGTCATATCAACAAGTAGTTACTCAGTTTGTAGGGTTGCCGCCCATACCTTGGGTTTCAGACTCAGTGTCAATGCGCGGATCTGTGGTAGCAGTGGAAATTTTTGCGCGCCGGGAAAGGAGGGCGCTGTAGTCATCGAAGTTCGTGACCGAGGTCCTCCTCGGCAAGGGGATAGGTTTGATTTTTTTAGTGGGTGGTAGTGACTGGGGTATCATGATCTCATCAGTAAATAGACGGGAGGGTGATGAATGCCTACCGTTTTAGCGTTGTTCTGTCCAAGACAATAATTATTAATATCTATGATAAATAAAATTGAATTAAAGAATAGACGTACCATGCGCTGGTTGATGGGCAAACCACTGCGGGTACGCATCACGAAGTCCGTAGATGCAGTTTCCGTCCGCTGGTTAGCGCGCTTTTGGGTGGAAGAAGTCCATTTGGGAGGCATGGTAGAGGGAGGTTGATAAATTCTTGACTCAAGGCAGAGAACTATGGACACGAATGTCGACAGCAAGGAGTATGAAGAACACGAAGTCCTTTTTAACGGCGAAGGAGACACGAAGTCTCACGAACGGCGAATGCAAGTAAACACTAGTGAGAGAGCAAGTTAGAACGATAGAAAATCGTAATGGAGAAATTCTAGCCTACCTGGCTTTTCAAGTAAATCTCAGGATGAGAAGAAAAATACTGCGGTGAGAGTGACTTTGAGCGACAGGAAGTCGATGGACAGAAATTTCAGCATACCTGGTTTTAAAAGGTGAAAGCAGGGCGCCTATGGAATATCAGGCAAGATATGAATCAAATCGTCGGCTGGACAACGAATAAACTTCGCCACAAGACTCCAATATTCTAATGGCTTCTCAGATGGCAGAGATGACACATGGACCGCATTTGGGACGGGCGAGGTCATCGATGGACGCTGTGGGTGGACACTAATTAATGAATTATGAACAGAAACCGCAGACTGGACTAACCTGATTGAGCCAGATCGTTGGTTGGGACCGCAAACGAGTGCCGCCTATATAGGAGGGAAGAGCGTAGATGGACAGTGCATCATCATCTGTTTGAACTTGGTCTGGCGGCCAGAGCAGCGCGTAGAGTACCCAAAGCGATTACGAGTTGCTGGCAATGTCTAGTTCGATTGATAGTTGTTGGAAGAGATCTATCAGAAACAATCAACGGCCGCGCTAGGAAAAGCTGGAACACAGGTCGAGTTCAGGAAGACGCATGGAAAACTGACCTGGCCACCAGACAGCATCCACGAACACACCCAACGATATCTGCTACCACCAAGGCAGGAGCTCCAAGAGACTGAGTTGAAAGAATTGAGGTGAATTGAGATGACAGGGCGGTGACGGTCCTGAAGACATAGGAAAAGCTGTAACACAAGTCGAGTTCAGGAAGACGCAAGGAAAACTGACCTGGCCACCAGACAGCATCCACGAACACACCCGACGATATCTGCTACCACAAAGGCAGGAGCTCCAAGAGACTGCGTTGAAAGAAGTGAGGCGAATTGAGATGGCAGGGCGGTGACGGTCCTGAAGACATGGAAGATAGCGGCAGATTGACTCGGACTAGTAACAGTGCTAACACGAAGTCAGACTGTATTTGATGGCACGAAGTCACTGCGTTGGAAGAGTGGAGGCGAATTGAGATGGCAGGGCGGTGATGGTCCTGAAGACGTCGGAAGATAGTGGCAGATTGAGTAGTAACACTGGCAGTGCTAACACGAAGTCAGACTGTATAATACATTTGATGACACGAAGTCATCAGATAGTGTTAGCTACCGCGAAGGCAGCTTCAGAACAGTCATGATGCGGATTAGTGCTAGAATAGAGAGGAGGAAGGTAAATAATGTAGCCTTAGACTTTGGCGAATGTCAGTTTGTTACAAACCAATTTGGGTTACCCCTGGGCGTAAAGTTTGACTCTTGTCAGCATGTCTCTTTCCCGATTTTCTCTTTCTCAGCCTTTTCGTTCTTGCCTCTAACTCTTCTTTCTCCCCTCTTCTTTCTCCTCCCACCTCCCATCGACGGTGCCGATCCTTCTGCCTTCGTGGTAGAAAATACTATTCCAGTGACTTCGTGTTACTGTGCGATAGTACTCGCTACTTTAACTTCGGGTTGGAGTACTGGACGACATTTCCCTCCTGCCTGCATAATCGATCCTTCCGCCAACTTTGAGTCTGCTTTGCATTTGTGAGTGATTCGTATTGCCGTGGGTCATCGGATCTGCACGCTCACTGTATTCCTACAGTAGTGACTTGGTATCATTGTGTGCTATCCGGCACTGAAATCGATCTACTTCAATGTATGTACCTTTCGTCGTCTTCATATTCCTATTAGCTTACACTAACTGTGCCTTTGTTGGTTCCACCACTCAATCACTCACTGTCATCAGATAGTTACCGTTATTCGCAGTCCCTCTGACAATGCCTCTGACAATCCCTCGTGAATTCCAGCCATTCTTGCGTGATGGTGACAGTAAGTGCCCTTAGTAATTGTCCTGTGATTCTCTAACATTGGATATAGATGCTATCACAGCTACAGACGCACGCTCTCTCGCCTATGACGGTCAATTCGTTTTCACTTCGCCCAACATGACTTTCGTCCCCCAACTATACGACAATCCTTCCAATATCGTGCAAGCGAGGGCGGATGGGAAGTTTTGGGCGATGGATCCTTTCCAGTGGCCTCAAATGTACGCAGACGCTTACACCTGGAGCTTTACCATTCCGCGACGCGAATTCCACGAGCCTGGCACTGACCTGTGGTATGCTTGGTGGTCGCCAGTTTTTTCTGACGATTTTGAGCCGTTATCTCCCGGTCATGTCTTTGGCAAGCTAAAGTCCACCCACTGTGAACACCTATTTCGACTCTACGAGCGGGCTAATAAACGTGTCGGCTCCTACAAGCTATTCCGAGAACACAAGCAAGACGCGGTTGTTGGGTGGGTCACCGGGTTGCGCTCTGTTTATGAGCGCTTCAAAGAGACGCTGGCTTGGCGAGATATTGTGATGATCTTGGCTGAATTTCAGAGGAGATTCCTGGAGATATGGAGCATGGTGGATTACCTCGAGATTTTTGAGCCGCGGTTGAAATTCGAGGACAAGGAGCATGGGGTCAACAAGACTTGGATGGGTTGCTTCACCAAAGACTCCGCTATTGCGTTGAGGCTCCACAAGGCTGGTGTACCTGTGTGGTTGATACGAGATGTTAGGCTTGTCGATAATAAGATCAACATCCGCCAAGTCGTTCCCTTCACTCCTGCCGACCTCGTGTTTGGGATGTATCTCCACCCCATTAAGAATTTCGCTCAACCTTTCGATATCCGGTACAAGGGTCCAAGCGATCATCAACGCCAGGCTGCGGTTCGTCAACCGTACCTTACTTTTGAAGAGATCCCCGTAGATCAAACCGAAGTCAATTGCCTTGCAGTTTCTAGAGAGCCATCATCGGGTAAAGCGCCTGCCAAGAAAATGAACAAGTCCACAACATGTGAGTGCAATGTCTGATTTTAGTTCACCACTCTTATCTAGCAATCGTCTAGATGAACCAACTGCTCTGCGCCAGAACCAATCTCAAGTTGGACGTGACAAATGGGCCGACGTGGTTCACCCATCCATGCCCAGTATCAACACCTTTTTCGCATCGGCCATGAGTCAAGCAGAGAAAGATTCGAGTCGGGTCAAACCAACCCACGCAAGAATGGATGAGGGATACAGGCTCCCCAATCCTGGTTTATTTGTCAACATCCTTTCCTCGCAATCTCTGAAGAAATATCTCGCGAACTGGCTGGCATGCCGTGAGTCGTGGCTGAAGCATGTTTACGTGTCGCCTCCATCTCCGCTTCCTCGGTCCCAAAACTGGCGTGATCTATTGATCATGCAGCCTACACCACAGCCCTCGTCGTCAAGTGGTCAGATGCCATCAGGCAAGACTGGCAAGTCCAAAGCCAAGCTTGGCTCGTTCTTCGGAGATGAATTGTCGCTTCTACGCCAGTTTTGGGCTGGCTCCCAGATATTGCAATGGAGGGGTCAAAAAATCGAAGCTGCAACGCTTGAGAACCCGCCGCATCGTCTCGTTCAAGAGATCATTTACGAGATTTGTGAGCAAAGCTTCCGATATGACCTTCTAGAACTTGATGAACGTCTTGCTCGTCACATGCGACGGGATCGAGAGGCGAGGAAGTGTCGCATGGATTTGCTCCGTGGAATCTTTCCTCAGCATTCCCTCACTATGTGGGACAAGGATTTCTCGACTCGGAATGATGGACTTAACGCTGAATCTTTCCAAGATGCTCTAGCATTTTTCGAGAAATTTCGTCAAGTGTTGATCGCATGGGAAGGTGCTCCTCAAGATCTCAAACAGCCTTTCACCGAGTCGATGCCCGAGGGAGAGAAGTGGCAACGCATGAAGCAATGTGCTCTTTTTTACGTACAATCATTTTACGATAACACAGGTCGTCCCCCGGTGGTCCCTCATATGCTTTATGTGGGTGCATAGCCGCCGATTTTCGCTCAGTCCTGTTCGCGTCTGATTTGTCCATCAAATTTAGTTGCTATGTTGGGTGGTTCTTTCATGTACAATTTACGTTTGCAAATTTGAATGACTTGTTGCTACGGCGCTATTCACTGTTTGTTGATCACCGTCGATTGACCATTATCCTCCTCGCGGTTCAGTATTTACTAATTGTCGCTACATAGGTTACCTGAACTGGGACTTTGTGTTCCTCTCTGTGCTTGTTGACTGACTTCGAGTCAGTGACAGTATTCTTGCAGGCTTCATGCCCTCCCAGAAGCATCTACCATGAATGGAGGACCATATCCATTGAATGTCGCCTCGACGTCTACTCCCGCAACTCCTGTCCGTCGTCACTCGCAGCAAATATTAGTTACACCGTCCATGGTCAGGAAGCGGCGGAAACCGCGAGGAAGCGGGGCATTTCATCTTCCAGGCCCTCCTCCACTTCTAGTACTTCCGGGAAGGCAGCATTTCGCCCAACAACAGATCACTGCCAATACCAATCCTCAGCACAATGTTCTTCCCCCTTCTGATCCGATTGACCAGAACAGGTCTTCGTTTTATGACGATATCCACTTCTTCTCCGATCCTGATGCTCCTCGACCCCTCCGCTCCAACGGACGACAGAAAAAATTCAATCAGTGGCAACGCTGGTCAAACAAAGTGATTCCTTCCCTAATTGGTCCATACCTCAAATATCAACGCGAATCCTCCTCGCTCCGTCATCGGCCTGGACTTCAAAGTGGTGATGTCCAGTGTAGAGCTTCATGCCACAGGAGGACTTTAGAAGTGACTTGTGTTTTCTTCGATTGTACGAACTCACTATATCGTTCTGTGGCTCGAATTGACCGTAATCCAGATCTAGAGGTCTTGAACATTGACTGCTGCCCCTGCACACCCGCACCCCTTCAACTTCTTAGGTTGGGGCTATTTGCCTGTGCACCCATAGCTCCATCGCTTGCGGTCGACCTATGTGTACTAGAACTTGTTAGGACTCTTTTTGTACGGGTCACCCCTAATACGACAGCCTGGTGTGAAGCGTTGGAAGTCTTTTTAACAGGTCGAGGTTACAAACTTTCTACGAAGGTCTGTTTACATGATTCTTTGTTGCATTATGCTAACTCTCCGGCATCTTCAGGACAATCTTCGCCGCCGCTTCAGCAACGCTTATCATTGGTACTCTGTCCTTGTGACGAATGCTGGAGACCACATATATGGCCTCATCTCACAACATCTTCCTTCGCGTTCTTCAGCAGACGAAGTCTTGCCTATACAACCAAGCGACTATCTACGTTCACGTTGTCCAGTCTGTTTTGGCATGCAGGACTGGCAAAATGATCATAGTTCTCGTCTTAAGTAAGTCATTCCTACTGTGTTTTTCACCGTGCTGATGTTCTTGCAGACTAGATTGCCATGTATGCATAGATGCATGCTTCACACAGAAACGGTCAGCCAGTCCACGTGGGGCCAATGGCCTAGATCCACCAAACCCAACTCGTTCGGTCTTTATTTCAGACGAAGAGGTCGCACGGATGGAAGCTCACGTACTTGCCTGTCGAGGCTCCCTACCTGGTCGTGGAACGAAACGCAAGAAGCCCGAAGGCGACGAAGATGGGTATGAAGATGGTATGCGCATCCCTGTATCGACATTGGATGCCTGCAGGGAATCTTTTCTTGCTGCAGACGAAAAACGGGAGAAGGCTAGCACACGTTTTTTTGCCGATACGGGAGTCATGGCCTTGCTTTGTCGTCATGATTGCGTGTTATGGTTAGTCAATATGACATCAGCAGGTGAAAAGCAATATTACGCCCTTGCGCTTATAAAAAAACTCTTCAAACATCTTCCGCCGTCCATGACCGTCGGTATCTTGTATGATATTGCATGTCAGCTCGAGCGTAGCTGTCTCAAATATCAACTTCTCGAGGATGCTATTCTCTCTCGTATCACATTCTCTATATCTGTGTTTCACGCGTACGGTCATCAGTGGCCTTGTCAACTGGTTTATCACCCTCGCAAATGCGAAGGGTTCGGACTCTCTGATGGAGAGGGCTGCGAGCGCTTGTGGAGCGCTCTCAAGCTCTTGATTCCCCCCTTGCGTGTGTCTGGGGTAAGTTTCTTACTTCGTTGGGATACCTTTACTGACTAACATTATGACAGTACCACCAACGTCTTTTCGTCCTCAATGCGCAAGTTCGGCACCTCGACGAAAAAAATCTCGATACCTTTGGCGAGTGGCTGAGTCGCAGATGGACTCGTTGCCAGACAAAGAAGAGCGATGCGGAAGATGTGCTACGACAACTATCCGTGGATGAGGCCAATATGCGCCTGGAATGGAGGGCTCAGGTCGAGCACCAAACGAAACCATTGTCCAGTGCGTGCTTTACTTTATATTTTCGTATTTGACTAACATTTATACAAGAGAGATCAAAAACCAACAACGACGAGCAAATATCGAAGATCTTGGCCCTCGAGCGAACACTCAGCAATCTGGACGAATCCCTCCGTGCTCTCGAGACGCACCTTTGCGCTGGCAACGTTCCGAACATTTTGGACTTCGACATTCGACTTTCCGATGAACGAGCCCACCGGTCCAAAGTCGCCGATACCCTGCGACGATGGAAAGCGGCCCTCGGCATTGGACAATTTGCCGACCTTCAACAACTCCGACGTAGTATATTCCTTCAAGTTCGTCTCGATGCACAAGCTGTCAAGACGCGTATTCGTGAACGTCTTCGTCAGCGCAAATTCGAAATCGAGAGGTTCGAACGGTCGTACCGTCAGATGGTAAATGGTATGTAGCTTGGTCTTTCGTGTCAACTTATCTGATTATATTTTATTATATTTTATTTAGAGCACAAGCTTCATGCACATGCCGAAGCTTCAATTCAACGGCGCAACCCTACAATACGCAAGCTCGTCACGACTTACAACAGCCTCTGTGGTAAACTCGTCGACTTGATTCGACGAGGCGAAGCTCCTGCCGGCGCTATACCACCTCATTCCATCTCTCCGACTGGTATCTTTCAGCTCGACGTAGATGACGATATCTGGCAAGATGCTGGACTTGATGGCTATACTTTGGCTCCGCCTGGCTGGCTAGCGGATGAAAACACACGTGCAGCCATTAAGTTTCAACTCGAGGTGGACCGGTGCAATGAGGAAGGGGCTCGTATCATGCGAGAGCGTTGTGCTCTCCAGGAGTGGATGATGGCTGAGTGGGATGCCTTACAAGAGGCTCGCACTCATGCAGGTAAGTTTGTATAACAATAACATTCTGCTTTCATGACACTGACAGCTAAGACGAGAACGAAGATCTCTGCTTTCATTTTGACCTCCGTGCTCGCTTTTTGAGTGGTCTTGTTGTGCATTGGCAATCTCAAGTTCGTCCTATCCCTTGTGCTTGGCCATTGCCTGACTCATGGGGTCCCATCGAAAATGACCTTGCCGATGCTGCTAATACATACTATCAACCAAGCCGTCTTGATGGCACAGCTATTATGGATGATTCTGAGAATGACTGGGAGTCTGATAATGAGAGGGAGAATGACGAATTGATAGATCAATTGGAGGAAGCTGCATTGGCTGAGACATATAGGGATCATGAATTGGACTAGCATAGTATATAGTCTTTTTGTAATTATATTCGAAATTCTTGAGTGATTACTACACAACAACACATTGAAGGTGCAAGTATATCATGGGCTATCCCATATTAAAATATATAGTTAGTGGGTCAGCCCAGGGGATAGATATAGCCCTCGGTGCACAGTATATAGGGTGGTTGGGCTATCCCATGTCATAATATATAGAGTGCTGAGCTGGTCCAACAGCTATTTAAATGTGGTGTGTTATCCCAGGGGGTATATAGGGCCATCCCAGATGGTGTATACATGACTGTTGGGCTATCCCACATCACAATATATACAGTGCTGGGCTGCCCCATGGAATTAATCAGGTGATGTATATAGGGAAGACGGGCTATCCCACAGCACAATTTAGTGATGGGGGCTACCCCACTGAATTGTTGTGGCATCCCAGGTGATGTATATAGGGAGTTTCTGGTATCCTGTTATCTCACGCTTACTGATGCACTTCAACCAGAAATCTGAGGAGTACCTGAGCCCTGTCAGTGGCTGCAGCATCCTGCGCACAATAAATATTCTGGGCTCGTATCAGGGAGCGCAGTGTGGTCGACATTCAGCACACTTGAGGGCGCACTTGATGAGTTGTAGCGGCATCATCATCACCCGTTATTCCAAAACACAAGCCAATGCCAGTACCACCGCCATCAAAACACAAGATGTTCGTGTTTGCATCGCCGGCTGTTTAGTGATGGCGACTGATAGGGTGCATCATGGTCATTGTTGCGTTTTTCCTATTGCAACCTTCCTAAAGCATGACATTATATTATATACTGTATTATTTTTGCCTGTGGGAAGTTGCCCAATGGTGAAAATACAGATGAGTTTTTGTAGAGATAGACCCCTGACACCCTGGCTGATAATGGGATAACCCTGAGAAATTGCTGCTTGGGATAGCCTACATGGGTCATGGGACAGACTAAATATATTGGCCCAGTTGGCCCAGCCCCCCTGGGGAAAGTATTGGGAAGGCCCGGGCTGATGACCATATTGAATGGGAATACCATGCAAAAACATACCCCTTAGGTGGGATTTTAGGAGAGAATATATGTACCTAAGAGGTACTTTGGGAGGGGTGACTGAAGTGTCCTGCCCACCTCGCAGCCTTGCCTTATTCTGAGTTTTGGCTACTCGTTTATACGTTTTTGCACCCGCCCGCCACTCCCCGATCAGCGTGCGAACAAGTTTTCACCAATAATAACACACTAACATAGCGACAAAACAGTCTGGAACAGACTAACAACGAGGTCATCCTCATTTGTTCGACGCATAGTGTATGCTACCTGTCATCGCTCCCACAAGTCAATGATCTGATCGGGCCCAACCCGCCCTCACAGCTCACCTTGCGCCACAGGTACAGACACGTGTTTTGGACCGGAAAGCCCTGCGGGCTTTTGCCCAAATACCCAATGAAATATTTCTTCTATCAGCCATTAGCTTCTAGCAGTCCCTTCTGTAAATACCACGCACCGTTGAAAACCGAGTTTGCTAGCTTGTCTTCTAACGTATCGCAGACATTCGCATTCGAAACGCATAGAGTTACGACCATAACTTCGTCACACGTCCCACTCCGTCACGGTTAGAATGAATGTGACAATTCGCGGTTGTGACAACACGCGCTTTTCTCAGTGTCCCCTGACTCCCTGAGGCTGCCAGTGCGATAACAGAAACAACAGAAACCATCATCCACCGCAGCTCTATCTTCATCCAAAGGCTCGAGTGTTTCTTTCAAGCACAAAACCCGTACTCAAAGCAGAACAGTCATTGAACTCGTTGTAAATGGCGAGTCTCGACAAGCTTGCAATCCGGGGCATTCGTTCCTTCGACGACAAGCAAATATCTGTCATTGAGTTTTTCTCGCCAGTCACTGTCATAGTCGGACACAATGGAAGTGGAAAAACGACTGTCATTGAGTGTCTGAAGTACGCAACAACGGGCGACCAGCCCCCAAACACTCGAGGTGGCGCGTTCATCCATGACCCGAAGATGGCAAATGAAAAGGAAGTCAAAGCTCAGGTCAAGTTACGATTTCATGCTGCCAATGGAACACGTATGCTTGTCGTTAGGAATCTCTCAGTGACAGTCAAGAAGACTGGCTTAACTATGAAGACCCTTGAAAACATCCTTGCACTTGCGGATAGCAATACCGAAAGGGGCGGGAAGGTGAGTGAGAGGCACTTGGATCTTAGACTAGTCTGAACATTCCTGCCTACACCAGAGGGGAGCTATTTCCACGAAGTGCGCTGAGATAGACACAGAAATCCCCCATCTCCTTGGGGTATCGAAGTCTGTTCTGGAGAATGTAATTTTCTGTCATCAAGAAGATTCGTACTGGCCCCTTGCCGAACCTTCTGCGCTCAAGAAGAAATTTGATGATATCTTCGAGGCCACGCGGTGAGTTTTTCTATTCTTGAGTGGTATGACCTTTCAGCTAAGATATGAACTAGTTATAGCAAGGCGCTCGACTCCATAAAATCGTTGCGCAAAGATCGCGTTGCAGACCTCAAAGCGGACAAAGAACGTTTAGAATCTATTGCTAAAGAGAAGTCGCATGCCGATAAACTCCGCAGCCGTATTAACGACCTGAACGCGACCATTACCGGAAAGCAATTACAGTACGAAGAGACTAAGAAGCGGTACGAAGAACTTGTCAAGAACAATGCTCGCTTCTACGAGTCCGCTACCCAATTTCGCGAGTTGTACGTCAAGGTTGAAAATCTGCAACAAAAGAAGGAACATTATCGACAGGAGCTTTCGGAGGCGAAAGAGAGCGTGCAGGAAGTTGGAGGTAACTTTTCTTTCCTGTTTACGCACTGTGGCTGACATGGAGTGCATATAGGCACTGATGAGGAGCTGCAAGAGCGCTTGAGCAACTTTGGTCAGAACATTGAAAAGGAGAAAATAGCTCGCAATAGACGCGAGGTAGAACGCCAAGACCTCGAAGATGAGCTTGCGAAAACACGAAGGTCGCATGTGGAGCTTATTAATGAACATGGAGAACTTGCTGCAGAGGCCAAGGTGCTCATTCAATTTGCTTTTGCATTGCGTTTTTTGACACGATCGTTAGGCACACGACCGTCGCATCTCCGAACGCGAAGAACTCATCCGTGACATCAGCGACAAGAACAACATCAAGGGTTACAACCACACTCCTCTTGAACGCGAGAAAGTAGTTGAATTTGTCTCTCGGCTCGGGGATCTCCAGCGTCGACAGAGGTCCGAATTTGATAAGCTGCAGGTGCACTAGCCTGGCAACCCTGGCACCCTTCGGTGTACTAACAATCATACAGACTGGAAGGAACAGTAAAAATGATGAACATAGTCGCAAGTTACGACTGCTTCACACCGAGCTGGAAAGTCTTCGTATGCAACGAGGAAATACACGCGAACAGATCGTATGTTCACATCCTATTTGATTTTCACAAGCTGTTTTACACTCTTCCCATGATAGAAAGAGCGCCAAGCTGCTATTACCAAAGCTGAATCATCGGTCGACACGATGCAGGGTCTCGCATCTGAACTACGCACTCTTGCTGGTGATATCGAGGAGAAGAAACTGCGTCTCGAGAAGATCAAGGCGGATATGCAATCTGGCAACTTCGATGAACGACTGAGTGCGAAGGCCGTGAAGGCACGTAGTATGGAAGATCAACGCGATACTTTGAACACGGAACTTCGCGGCCTGAGCCTGCAGGCTGAATCGAGGGCTCGGTTGGATCTCAAGCGTGCAGAGATGCGGAGTAAGACATCAGATACCAAGAACATGTGAGTTCCTTGTACAACTTCTTTTGAATTCTGACAGTTTTTTCTTAGCCTTGAGTTGTGCAATGTAAAATTCCGGAAGTTGATAGGCAGAGATGCAAGAGCGGAAACGATGGAGCGTGATATTGACCGTGTCTCAAGGTAACTCTGCCTTTGATTATCAGGACTCGCTTAACCATAATGATAATAGAGAGAAAGATGAGGAGCTTGTCGAGGCAGAGGAAGAGGCCGCTGTTGCTAACAAAGAGCTTCAACAAGCAGAAACAACGTTATCGCACGCAAAATCTGAGATGAAGAGCAAGCGGGATGAATTGAAAAGTAAGCACTCGCGCCTATTAAAGGGACATCTTGAACCAACTTGGCCATAGAACTGGAGAAGAAACTCAAGGACGAGATTGAAGGAGGAATTGCTTTCGACATCGCCCTCTCGCTCGCAGAGAAGGAGCTCGAAATTCGCAAGAAGTATGTGTTTCCACAGATTCTTTTCGACTGATTTCTGATTCCTACTACAGTGAATGCAAACCAGGCGTGAGTCAAGTGTATGAGCAAATTTTGAAAGCAGGACAGGCGAAGAAACGCTGTACTGCCTGTAATCGCGGTCTACATGACAATGAGATGGCCGGTTTTGAGAAATATGTATGTGTAATCCGAGTTCATTTTCGAACCATGATTTAATGATTACGCATACAGCTCAAGGAGCAAATCAAGAACCATTCTCCAGAGGCAGTCGAGCTTCAGAAGGCCGAAGTTACACAGTGGGAAACTGAATTGAAGGACCTCCGTGCTCTTATGCCTGTATTTACAACTAAGGAGCGCATCAGGACCCTCGAGCTTCCAGCACTGGAGAGGCAAATCAAGGCTTTGGATGAAGATCTTCCGTCCAATAGCGAGAAGGCAGAGCAGGCAAGATACCCTTGTGGATTTCTGAAACTTGAAATCTCATTTGTATACAGGCTGCTCAGAGATTAACCGATCTCAAGAAGGACATTAGAGAAGTTGCTTCCTTGAAGCAATCCGCCTCTACCGTGTCACGTAACCAGAATGAGGTCGAGCGACTCAAGAGCGATATCAAACAACTGGAAACGGAGCTTACTGCTACTGGTACCGCCAAGACTGGTGATGATGTGCAGAGGGAACTTGATGTCCTTTCTAATGAGATGTACGTTGCCTACCCGGCAAACAATCCTCTAGCTGATCTGTTCACAGCCGCTCAAATGAGAGAGAGAGACAAGCACTCATGACAGAGCGTGACCACCAGAACCAATTGCTGCGGACGAATGAGAATGACCTGCACGCGATGGAAAAGAAAGAGAACACCCTTTCCAATCAGATCCGTGACAAGGATATTATGGAGGAACGTATCGTCACAATGACCAACGAGATCGCGACCTTACATACAAAACTCAAGGTCAGTTCTTGAGTGTCTAGACTACTAGAGGCTGAACATTACTTGTGCCCTTATGAATCCAGGAACTGGACTCAAAGATTTCAGAGGCGCAAGCTCCCATTGATATGCTTGAGCAAGAGCACCAACAAGCCATAGTCGACCTTGATGCGAGGATTCGCGAGGCTCAACGTTCCGTACAAGAGCTCAACACGAACGTTGACAAACTTGACAACCTCAATAAAATCGTTGAGCGGTATGGCATCACACGTGTGTTGTAAGACTCTTCGTTGACATCTGCCAGGTATATTCGTGACAAGCGGGCCCGTCTTCTTGTTGAGTGTGCCGACAAGATAGAACAATTCGAGCAGGACATCAAGGATCTTGTGACCAATATCGAGAACGCCCGGGATGCCATAGCTAAGATTGACCGGGATATCAGCGAGAGCGGGAGTTTGGTGGCAAATCTGCACGGGAACATTCGTATCAGAAAGCTTTCCCGTGATATAGCAGCTACACAAGCTGAAATTGACTCGTGCGATATGGAGGGAGCTGCAAAGGCCAAGCGGAACTTCGACGATCGTTACCAGGTCGAGAAACAGAGGGAAACGGAAATGCAGAGCAAGGTAAGAGCTCGTTCACTTTCACACTTCAGTTTGCATCATCTCATGTTCTGCAGTATGCCCATATAGGAGGCGAAATCAGTTCCCACCAAGAGCAACTCAAGATGACAGAGAAGGATCTACGTGACTTCAAAGATATCAACAGGCGGTATACCGACCAATTGGTCAAGGTCAAGGTCTGAATACGGTTCCGATCTGCAAAATCGAGTAATCTGACGCTTGCTTAGATGTGCGACATGGCAAATAATGATCTGGAGAAGTATGCTAAGGCCCTGGACAAGTAAGCTGCACATCTCTGGCCCTATGGTCCTATATTTATGTCTCTCTTAGCGCCATTATGAAATACCACGGTCTGAAGATGGAGGAAGTCAACGATACCATGCGTCATCTCTGGAATAAAACGTATCAAGGAACTGGTGTGTACCCTTACGTCGTGTCGTGGTTAAGTGCTAATCGCTGTTAGATATTGATGGTATCAAAATCCGCTCCGATGTTGAAGGTGGCGCATCAAAGCGATCCTATAATTACCGAGTGAGTGCTTTCTCGTCACGGTAAATACTGTTTTGTTGACATCCTTTTAATAGGTTGTTATGACCAAAGATCAAGTCGAGATGGACATGCGTGGACGATGCTCCGCAGGTCAGAAGATGCTGGCCTCAATTATTATCCGTCTCGCTCTCTCTGATTCGTTTGGTCAAAACTGTGGCATTCTTGCGCTGGATGAACCAACAAACGCTCTTGATGTGGAAAACATCGATGCACTCGCCGAGAGCCTTGTCGAGTAAGTGATCTTCGATGGCCTTTTCACCGAGAAGTGCTAACTTTTTTTGAAGCATCATTAACGAGAGGAAGAATCATTCTAACTTTCAGTTGATCATCATCACACACGACGAAAATTTCCTTCGCAAGCTTGGTCAAGCTGAGGTGATGGAGTATTATTGGTAAGGTTGTATCTCTGTCGTTTTCACTTTGTTTATTTATATGCAACAGGCGTGTTTCGCGAGATTCAAGACAGAAGTCTACAATTGAACGCCAAAGGTTCCGGTGAAATTGCCGATCCAACATCTTGGCTCATGCCAATTGATTTGCTTGCTGCATCGTCATACCCTGTACAATCATCGAATTATCTTACAATCTGACGTTCTATAATACCACGAGGTGCTTATATATCTCGTGCAACATTCAGGCTGATTGATCATCATTTGTGTGTCCACTGCGCTACACGCTTGGGTCTGGCGAGGAATGCTTGGAACCCTTCTGCATGATCCTCCAGCCCGAAGGTCGCGTGGTAAAGTCTGCTTTCGAAATGAAGCCCATTCTTCAACCCCAGCTCTTCAGCTGTCAATGTTGATGTTCAATAATGCATAGTACGCTGTGAAAGGTACTTGAAGTCACTGACCTTCATTGACCGCTTCCTTTGCCATTGCTACGACGGGTGCGGAGAAACTCGCTATCTTGCTCGCTAAACGATTATTGCAATAGTGAGGTCACCCTTAGGGGAACTAAACGCTCTACGTACCTGTTGTCAGGGCCACACTAAAGACCTGCTCTGTAGGGAGAACCTTAGCCACAAGCCCTGCTGCTTCGGCCTCCTTTGCGCTAATCATCTCCCCCGTCAATATCATGTGCATTGCCTGACAAAGTAACCATTAGTGATGCTGTAGATACCTGATCTTGCGGCGATTACTTTTGATTTCCCAATAGCTCTGATTAAGCGCTGCGTCCCTCCAGCACCTGGGATAGTTCCCAGTGTGATTTCTGGCTGCCCGAACGTTGCACTCTCTGCTGCATACAAAATGTCACACATCATCGCCAGCTCACAGCCACCTCCCAGCTGGGTGCACGCTGTGTCAGTCGATCGAGGTGAACATCGAGTGATCGACTCACTGCGATACCATTGATGACTCCGATTATTGGCTTATGGATAGCAAAAAATCCATCATTTAGATTCTTTAGATAGTCTTGGTTGTATGCGTCGATAAAGGACAGTTCACTTTGCTCCTTGATATCCGCACCAGCTGTAAGACGATCAGATTGATTCGTGTAGAAAGATTTCGGAGCTGACCACAGAATCCTTTCTCATTGCCCGTCAAGATAATAGCGCCTATGCTGGAGTCGCTCTCGAACGACCTCAAAGCATCCAATAACTCGTTGATCAATGTTCCAGATAGTGCGTTATAAGCCCTAGGTCGATTGAGCTTGATGATCCCCACCCTTTCGGAGCGTTCAACGATTATCGTCGACTCTGACATACGTACCGTCGGCAAGTCTTGTGATCATCCACGTCCTTCACTTGAAGATTTGAAGCCAATTGGAAGAGTTATTATTGGCACAAAGCCTAATCACGCGCTCTGAACACGGCGCCGATGTATTCTTAATTAAGTCACTGTTGATGGACTCACTGCTATCCGAGCATTGCGAATGTATGCACACCGTCGCAGCTGATGACGATAGAGCTCTGCGAGAGCTATTCACCACCGGCGATGTTCCGGCATCCTAATAGTCGTGTGTGAGGTGTTGTTCAAGCAACATTTGAGCACAAAACACCGGACGTGTAACTAGCTAGCTAACTTATATGGTCCATGCATGCAGGGTTGGACGTCCAAAATAATTCCCACCTTATGTCAGAAAAGGAAATAAAGATTTGTAATCACATCAACTCTGTTATGTAAATCAAACTTTGATCTGTGGCACCTCCGCCGTGAGATCCAGACTCTCCTCAATCGTATCACTGTCAGCATTCTTTCGCCTTTTTTTCTTCTAGCATATCTAGCGAGTGTGGTCAGTCAGACGTGGCTTGGTGTGAGCAGTCCGCAAGTCTTCTGCAAGTCTTCAAATTTCCTTGATCTGTGGTCCGAGTTCGCTCGTTGTGAGGCTCCTGTTCAGAGATTGTGACTGAGTGCCAAGGGCGATCAACGGTACGATTATTTTCCGAAAGGTCCGTGTGATATTTCTGGAATGCGTCGATTTTATTATCACCAGTGACTGTTGCACTACAGTAATCATTGTCTTACAATAGTTGGTCCTGATGCCCTCGTCGTTGGACGAGCTTCCTGCATGTGTTCGCCTGGAGGCACACGCTACTGCTCGTGACAAAGCAGTTGCTGCAAGCGATATCAGCCCAGGTTCAGTTATTCTGGAAGTGCCATCTATGGTGGTTCTGTTACTCTCGTCGGACAAAGGTCGCCGATGTGATTTTTGTCTCTGTTCAGGAGCGCCTGAAATCAGGCTGGCCAAATGTACTGGCTGTGCTTCATACTGGTATTGCGGATCACAGTGTGCGTATCCTCTGTCGATAACGTGTGACAACAGCCTTGAAAACATCCTCAGGTCAAACCTTGCACTGGGGCTCGCACAAAAAGTTTTGCAAGAGACTTGCTTCCTTTATGGCTTCAGTCGATTTCCAATACCTGGACGCACACGAGCAACTAGATGCTTTACTTCACACCCATCTTATAGCAGAGATTGCATCTAATGCGTCTTCCGATATAACAGCGAAGCAGCTATCCACTTTCATGTCTCTGTTGCCTGGACCGCCGCATGACTCCCTCCCAATTGCTTGCCCCATGTCTGTAGGCGCTGATGTGCACCAAATACTTGAAGCTCTGTTTACACGTTCTGGGAATAACAATTTCGCGATTCACAGTCATCTCAATACTATCGCTCATGGCATATTCCCTCTTGCGAGTCGCCTTTTCAACCATTCGTGTCTTCCAAACGCCGCTGCAAGATACGTGATCCGCCGAGGTCAGTCAGTGCGAATGGAAATTGTAGCTTTGCGGGAGATCAAGGCTACGGAGGAGGTACGTTGTTCAACTATGTTAGATGGTCATTATAGAGTTAAACTGATCTCTTCTTGCAGATCTGTATTCCATATGTGGACCCTGCCTTAATAGAATCTCGTCAGCAGATCTTCGAGCTCACTTATGGCTTTTCCTGTACCTGCCCATCATGCAATTTCCTCAGCACGCTTGGCTCCATCCCTTCGTTGCCTGTCTCAGAGGCCGCACTTCAGAAATTGGACAATACTCTGCAAAAATATTGTTTTCCTTCTTCAGATATTGACGATCGCACGCAGTTTGTGGGATTAACTCTTCCAGACCTTCCAGAAAATCTCCACCCTGTGCTTTGCGAATCGTATCTATCGCGGCTCACGGACACCTTCAGCAGATCTTCTCACGAGGGTTCTTATCATGTCGCTCTTGATGTTGGGCTAACCGTACTTGCTGTGTATCTTTTAATATACCCAAAAAACTATCCACAGATCGGTGGGGAATTCTGCATCATGAAAAATATTATCTCCTCTGACACTGTCAATAGGTATGCATCTGCTAGAGATGGCGAAGACAGGGTGGAATGCTGTGATTGCAACTGAACATGACAATAAACACCAAGTTCCTGCGAAGACATCCTTACTTAAGCGGGCCCGAGTCTATCGCAATCTTGCTAGCAACATATTGGAGGTGTTCGGTCCGGAAGGCGATCCAGCAGGTCCTCTAGAAGAGCTTGCGGTTTTGAAAAAACTACTTGATGGGGAACCGTAAGTCGTCGTCATATCAGTCTTTCGAAATTCTCTGACGGTGCATTTTCAGGTAAAAGTCACCGCAGGATGATGATGAGTGATTGCAATCATCATAGGTGGTGATCAGAGCCGGAACAGTCGAGAACGGAACATTACTACGGCAAGAACCGCTCGCAAGCGCTTGATGTGTTCATTAGAGGACCGTGACGACATACAGCTGAATAAGCCTGTCTCATTCGATCAACACCTTTTCCCATAACTTCATATACCCTGACAGCATTGCGTACACTGGTTTGATGCATGTCGCATACAGAGTACCATGGGGTCCAGAGGTCGGCGACGGCTATCAAAAGAATTGCAGCAGGGTTAAGCACAGGAGCTCGATTGGTAGATCTACAATTTGCAAATAGACTCAAAATTGAGGACGTGGCGCAACTTAAGAGGGAACGCGTTTCCTCCGCATTCAAGATCATTGATGGAGGAAGTACTTCGACTGACGAGAGGGCTCGATCCACTTGGCGCCCTCCCACACTGACACACGTACAAACTCAAATGATGTTAAGTGCTCCGAGGCTCTGCTGCATACATGAAACTACAAGCTCAACGAGTAGACGGTAAGCAATTTGAACTTTTAGATTGTCTGCCTCAAGTCTGCCTGTCTATAGGATGAGCAGAACAGCTGTCAGATCCGGCACGGTTTTCACAAGTCACGTGCCTATATATGTACCAGTGAGAACTATGATGGCATTGTTAATGTAACTACTAGTACTTGTGTCCCACCATCATCTGGCAAGCTGCACTTCCTTGCTCTGAAGACGTCGTCCCTTTCTTCTTAAGATTGAACTCGATTTTACCCTGAATCGAGTCGTTGAAATGGTACTATCCTTCCGATATTCTGGAACGACGTAATACCATAAAGCAGTCTAGGCCGAATAGAGCCATGGCCCATCTGCTTGGCTTATTACGGGATTACGCAAGCTATCGAGAGAAATTTCCTTTGGACCTTTCGCAAGGGAATCAAGCGCTGGAAGGGCCTGAAGTGCCGTCCACTTTCTCTGGCGATTTTCCGACGCCCTTCCCAGTGAATCCCATCAAACGCGCTGTGGATCGAATCATAGTGCATCATCTAATACGTCGTACAGGCCTTTATGGGGGGCACAAGTCCCATTGGTCGATCCCGTGGTGATGCTGTTCATCTGCACACCGGCACTGGCGGAGTCGTTCCTTTGCAGAATGTGACAATCCTTATTTTTGCTCTCATATTTTCCCTGCTTTTTGTTCTCGCTCTGTCCTGTTCATTCCTCGGTGGCGATGAGGAAGATGATCCCCTTTTCAAGAGCATGCTGAATGACATTGCAACGAATGATCCAGGGGTAAGTGTTCCATACGTCTTTGATGCTTTATTGTTGAACTCGCGTACAGGTTGTCCTGTTAGGTGAAAACGTCGATGTCGATGTCAACGAGCCCTCCATCACTATCTCATGGTCCCTTGTTGCATGTGGAGACAGTTTTGAACTCGACGGAAGCTCTGGTGTCCACAAGAGTCAATGTGGGCTGCCCTCGATGGCCCTCTGGATTTATGCCGATAAGTAGGTGACCTTACTGAGCTCTATGAATCTGTGACTGATGAAATGCACTGATAGCTCACCTGAACCTATAGCTATATATGAACCTTCCGCAATTCCATACATTCGTAAAACGGGTCAGCGGCGCAGGTAAGTCCGGGGATGCGCTGGAATCGACTAATGCTCATCATTATATACACCAGTATCGAGAACCTCGTTCGATTCGACAGCGATCATACGCTGGATGTCCACAGGGCTCACTTGTACCCATTTGACACGTATCTTCTCCCCAGCACCTTGCGGGCTGTCGATGCTTCAAATACAACTGTTACCATTCAGAAAATCTCCACGATAGAACAAGTAACCAGTTTTCTTGTCGAAACTAGTGACTTCGAAAGCTACGAGATAATCAATGGGACTCAAATTCCCACTCGCGACTTTGATTTATATGTGACGAGGCCTGGACAATTGCGATTCTATGCTTTGTTACTCTTTGGCGTCAACTGGATGCTAACTCACGTCACCATTGCACATATTCTACTGGCACGCAGACTAGTCGATATCAAGTCCATGACCAAGCATCTGGTTTCTGCCTTTGCTATCGTTCTTATCATCCCGCAGCTGAGGAAATCGATGCCAGATTCTCCGGCTCTTGATGACGGTGAGTTTTTTTAATGGGCTGGGTCGAATAATTACTTATCCATACATGCAGGTGCTCTTATTGGTACGTTTTTTTTTCAACTTCTCGGCTTCTGAAAAAAAAATAACCCTTTTTTGACAGACTACATTGGTTTCATCCCACAGATGATAATTTCTGCCTCATGTGTCCTTGCCATACTACTCCTCATAATGCTACGCGAGTACGACGAAATGGAGGGCAAACAGACTCCCCGCCAGACCACGGTGCGGCCATTGCTGCTACCGCCCCCACGGCCGCCTCCGCCGCGCATTCCCAAGGCGTCTTCCAAACCCCCTCCACCTCCTATTCCACCACGGAAATCACCGTTGAAACCTTTCCTACTCGGAACAAAAGTGCACACCCGGTCGATTCCTATGGAACGTGGGGAGGCAGCCTGCGTGAAGGACGAGCTTAATGCAGGTTTCGTTTTTCCTTCGATACCACATGCAAATGGTGTCATTCACCATCGCTCTCGTTCTTCGCGGTCTCGCTTAGGCACCACAGGGCTAGAAGGACCGTCCGGAAGTGCTTCGGGGTCCAAGTCGTCCAGGTCAGCTACGCTTAAGTCTGTTAAGGAGTGATGGCTAGAACCTATCCCTGTGAGTGACTTCCACCTTGCTATGCCCTATTCTTGTTTTCTGAATCATCGTGTGTAGTACTTTCCATTGGACATCCTGGCGGTGTACTTAGGCAACTGGGATATGTAACCATATGTAGTACAAATGTAGGAAGTAAGGATGTTATACACTATGACACAGTGGCAGCCTTCTACTCGGCCTGTTCCCCACTGCTTCGTTAATGAGTTGCGTTAATCATATTCTGAATGTCACTGGCGCTCTGTGTTACGTTCTTTTCATGCTTTGTGGAGCCCCGATGCTGTGAAACATCATGAAATCGAATGTACTTGCAAATTGAATTTCAAGGCATGTACGAGAGTCAAAATATCGACAGTTAATTAAATGATAATTTTCCCACGTATTATCGTACGTATACGAGATGCTGGACAGTGGACACGCATTGGCTACACGTACGCCTGTACACAATAATGACAAGAATTCAGCGAAGTAGTGGTCAGAACTGCAGAAGTAAGTCGTATATATGATGGTTTGATCATGACAGTTGCAAGTCACTACATAGCATACGTAGTTACTTAAGCTGGCAGTGTAAATTTGAAATGCAATGATTATTGATGGACCACGTGGATCTTGCATTACTACTTCCCTTCTCACTCTCTCTTCACCACACAACCTTAGTTTCGCAGGTTTCGACGATTTCTTGAGGTTTAGTTGGCAACTTGAGGAATGCCCGTCGGAATTGAAGCTTGGTTGACCCAGATTCCACCGATAACGCGTGCATGGCTAGCGCTATCTGTCGCCACGAGTTTAGCAGTGGTATGAAGGCGAATGCTCAATTCACCGTGACAAAACTGACGTGTTCCTAAGCAATGTCAACTCGTGACACCTCTGCAACTGTATTTTAGCTTTAAATCCGCTTTTACCAATGCACAAGTGAGTGGTGTTTTGAACTAGGGCAACATCTTGTGTGCATGCTGATAGAGCGTACAGCCCTGGCGCATGGCCACGACATTCTTTTACTTTGGATCAATATCTCTGGACTTCGTTTTCCATCTTTTCTTTTTGTGAGCCCGGCTGTTGATTTCCATCGCTTAAAGTTTTGACTTCCATGGATTCTAGCATGCGATATAGTCGGATGTTAGAAGAATCCTCATTTGCCAACAGAAAAGCTGATTACTTCTGGCTGCTTCTGCTGTCATCTGTGATGCTATTGGTAAGTTGTATCGACTTCTCGTCGCCTATGCATCTTAATCATCGTGGTACAGGCCATGTCTCCCTTATTCAACCTTCCATTTCTCTCCTCCTCGCTTGCCTTCGTGCCCATATATATGTGGTCCCGTCGGCATCCATCCACGCCAATATCGCTCTTTGGGTTGTTCACAATCTCAGCACCGTACTTGCCATTAGCCCTCGTAATTTTCTCTTGGGTAATAAGTGGAACATGGAAGGCGGCGGCAGGGGATCTAATTGGGTGTGCGGTCGGTCACATTGGATGGTTCCTGCGGGATGTCTGGCCAAGAGAGATGGTCGGAGGGTACTCGGTACTGACCGAGGCGCCTGATGGGCTGTGAGTGTTTCTCGATAGATGAAATGTGTCATGCTTATAAAGTTACAGGAGGAGATTATTCGGAGACCTCTGAGTCGATAAAGAATCAGCGTACTTGGCATCTTTTATTCCTTCTTTGGGAAGAAAGAGCGGCATTGTTACTGGGAAATCATTATGATATCGTTACTTCTATGTTTGATGAAGGGATATCCTTACGTGCTACAGTCGGGGCCGTGGTACTACCGCCTCATGTTATCTAAACTCATATGTGTCATACGTGTCATTGTGCCAACATTAGCTTTGACTCTTTCCACACACTTCTCGTTGCTGTCCACGAACCTGTATTGTCTTGCCTCAGGGAGAGACTATGAAAGTCATGATGGATGGGTGTCCGAGGTCCGCACGGGAGCAGTATACGACCACGACAAGTCACAAGTGTCGTCTTGGGGAAAGGGCTGTCATTCCAGGTTATAGTTGGCGGTGAGCTCAAGGGTGTCCTTGTCTATCTTTCCTTTCTTTCTGGTCCGTTGCTTTTCCATTGCTCGTCACTGTTTCTTGTAGTTATTACTGGTCTGTCCGAGTTGCTGTAAGGGAATAACTATACCCACACGTTCAAGTCTATGTCCTCACAATCCCCATCCCCTGCCAATCCCATCGAGTTCTACGACCCTCCTCATGAACACGAACATCATGGACCTCATTCCTCGAACAGGATGCAGCCTGTTGCATCGCCCTCAGCCAGGTTGACGCGAACTGTCGCGATAATCAAGACACACGCATTGGAGCAGCGTCTAGACATCGAACAGCGTCTTGTGAAGGCAAATTTCGAGGTGTGTGGACTGGTTTCATGAGTTTATATGCTTTGCCCTTGTATCGCACATCAGTCTCTGTCTTTCGAATATGACACGTGAAATATGTCTGGAGTCGCGTTCAAAGAATTTCCAAACTTCTCGATTTGAGATGCAAAAACTGATTCACCATGCCTTATAGATAATCAAAGAACGCCAAATGGAGTTTGATACGGAGACGGATCCCGACACATTTTTCGAGCTTTTCGGCGATGATGCTCGGTTCCTTGACTAGTGAGTATCTTGATGGCTATTTAGTAACAGTATGATTCATCCCCACACCCTTTCTATTGTATCTCTCATCACTGACACCCATTCAGCGGTCCAGTCTGGATCTATATTCTTGAGCGCAGACGCGCCGTCCAAGTTCTCCTCACATTAATGCCTTCACTTAATGATGCAATAATAGGCGCAAAGCACGAAGAGCAAGCAGAAATCCAAATAGCGTCTTTATTTGCCTCCAGCCCTCCCTTTCCCACCAGCGATCTCCCTGCAAGTGATGACGAACTGGTTTCAAATGATGAATTCGACCCTGGTTCTGTGCGCTCGATCGACTCTGCGATCCTGGAAGCTCTCAAGCTGGGTTTGAATGCCCCTCCAGGCGTTTTTACACCGTCCTCTGGGTCTTCGGATGCGCGCACACCGCAATTTTCAGCACGCCCGAGTCTCAGTTCCAATGGATCACCTTATGAAAAGCAACAATTTCGTGCACGGCCACTTCCAAAAACGCATCTAACTCCTGATATATCTCCACGCACAACAAAAGCTGCCCTTCTCCGCCAAGGGCTGGCTGCAGACGGCTCAAAAGCGTCTCCACTCAAATCACGAATGTCTACAGCTAGTACTGGCCGCATCCCACTTCCTCGTAGGGAGAAAGAGAACGCAGCGGAGAAAGAGATAGAGAAGGAAAGGATCAAGAAGACGTTCGCAGGCGTTCCAGGCCACAAGCGCGCTGAGACGCTCATTGTTGCGTCTACTGCGCCACCCATCATTACCCCAAGGTTGACCAAGGCAGCTGCCCTACGGTTGGGCCTCGCCCAGCCCGCCTTACCTCCTGGGCGGAGGCGTGCATCGATGGCTGGCTCTGTCACAGATGGAAAAGTAGCAATCAGCGCCAATGGGCCTGCTGTCTCTTCGCAGACATCTTGTTCACCTAGTGATGCCGGGGGAGAAGGCGAAGACACAGAGACTGAGCGAAGACGCGAACGCAAAAATATTTTTGACGGTGTTCCTGGGCACAAGCGTCGCCAATCGATACCTGTCGCAAGTACAACTGAAGCTCCGTCCATAGTTCCCAGAACCAACAAGACTGCAGCTCTCAGAAAGCAGGGCGGACCTCCCCCGAGCAGTTTCATGTGTAAGTCCTTGGCAGCTTTTTTCTCTTCATTTCTCTTCACACGATGACACTTTACGGTTGATTGATTTTTTTTTAAAGTTCGTCACTGACGCAATAAACATTTTCAGTCCGTACTCCGTCCGCTCCCAAGGTGCCTGGCACTCAGTCGAGAAGCAGCTCTTCTCTTAGTGCTTATCCTGATAGTGCCGGACCAGACTCTACTCCTCGGACCCGTTCAGGTTCCACAGTGCCGTCTCGGGCATCTTCCCGTACCTCCCATGTCGCCCCGAGGGCAAGTTTAAACAACACAAATAGTTACTCCTCTCAAGCTTCTGAGAGTTCTGCAGTGAGCACTACGAGCACTGCCAGCATGGATGAGCTCGACAGAGCCGCATCATCGCAACGATCGGTGCGCCGTTTGAGCAGCCTTCAGGCTCCCTCCATCGTTCCCCGCGTCAACAAGAGCGCCATACTCAGGGCTCAAAAGCTGGCCGAAGAAGCAGCCAAACCGAAGAGTCCTTGGGCCAATGCATCTAAGCGGTAGGGGCGATGTACTGAAACGACAGTCAAGGCATTGAACATCCAGGTTGGACTGACATATGAGCGGTGTGTGGTTCTTATTTTATGCTTCATTTACGAGAAGGCACCCTGCCTTCTGGTCTTGATTTCAGGATATATCCTATGTACACTATTTCTCGTTTCATACCGTTGCAGTTGTTCTCCTTTGTATATGTGCCTATCTACGGCATCTTCACTTGCGTCTTTCACAGGTCTATATCTCCCTTTCCCTGCCGCTCCTTGATTGTTTCTTTGTTTTTATGGTTTCTGCAACAGTTGCATGTTGGCCATGTGGGCCCATATGTCAATATAAATAACGACAGTGTTTTTATACGATATGGAATGATCGATCTCCCGAAGTTCTTCCAGCGGATGGGCTTGGCTTACGAACAGGTATGTTATCCCGCTAAATATTGTTGAATTCAACTCAGACTTTATTCTACAGTTTTTGTCTTTCCTTTCGTCAGATCCCTCCAAGTTACCTTGTGTTGTTGTTAATGAAGAAAAACTCACTGTAGCGCTGGCGCAAGCGTGCTACGTTGCACGATAAGACATGCATGCTCGAGTCCCTTCTGAACCGGTGTGCCGTGCCTAAGTGAAAAATCACAGGTTCAGCTCCTGAGATCTAGGCTCAACTTAATTCGGGTAAGACTTGAATTTAGATTTGGCCTATATACGAATTTAGGGATACACTTAATTTCGCATCTGCAGCATTCATATATCATGACACAAGGCGGCTGTAGAGTGTCTCCAGTGATATTATTGAGGGCCGCCGCCACATAACGCGTGAGTTTTGTCTACACTACAATGACATAGTTCTGGTATGATGTTCTCTCTTTATCCAAATGGATCGTTCTTTTTCTCAAACGCGATGCTGGAACTTCGGCCAATCGCATGAGAGAAATGAGTAACGTGCCGTTTCGGTATACGCAGCAGCATATGGCGGGCCTCTGTTGGTTTGGTCCCAGACACCTATGCTATGCGTGCAAAGGCTGACACCTTGTCACTTGGACAGTTGTCAATGGCGGCAGAAATGTGCCGCTCAACATCTTTACAGATTTCTTCAACCCTGATGACTGATCTACCGACTGGAAGCAAGTACACCCTCAGAGAAGTTCGCAAACTCGTTGAAGATGATCCGGCGCTGCTACCCCGCGAGGAGAAAAAAAAGTATATATCGGAACTTGTGGAGCATAGGGCACTCAAAACGAGTGGCTCGCGTGCGAACAATATAGCAGCTGCGCGTGACGTGCTCGCAACGACAGAAAGATCAAGCAGGAAGTGAGTTCTCAATTTTTGGACGTTTATGCTCACTCACGAGACACAGCTCGATGGATTACGCGATCGATGTGGTACATATACAACATTCGTCATTGCAGGCGGTCACGTGAATGACCAGACACCTGCGACTTGGTATGCGACAGACAATGCCTCGGATTTCTGGGAGGATGCCTTAAATCTCGTCCTTCATCATGTCGCGCGTAAATTTGAGCAGTGGGCCTGCAGTCAGGGCAAAAGTAGAGCCCCACTGTTTATCTTATTATGTTGAAGTTTTATCTACAAGATATCGTGGAGCGCGATAGTCTCGAAAACATGCAAAAGCAAGCTGTGAGACTGATTCTCACTGGTCTAAGTACGGATGCAATGTACAGCGGTGGCGCCTAATTCAGCCCCAGCACCTTCTACTCCTATTTCAGTTCCGTCGTCGCCGCCGAACAAAGAGCCCGAGGCAGGGTTATACAAGGCAAAGTTTGCTTTCGAGGGTCAAGAAGGCGACATATCTTTGAAGAAGGATGATACCGTGGAACTGGTTTGAGAAGGATGAAAATGGGTGGTGGCCTGTAAGAAAGGTCGGGCAAGAGAGCTGGGCGCAAGAGCTTCCCCATGCCACAATAATAGCTGCCTTGTCCAGAGAAGACAAAGACGATTTGACCGAACTCTCCCTCGACATGAGGCACCTCAGCGCTTGCAAGATCCTGGACGAGTTGGTCCTCGCCCCCTACATCAATTGAAATTCCGAAAGGGTACAGCTGTCTTCTTGCGGTGGCAGTATATGCAATGTCGCTGATGGGGATCCAGCGATTTCTGGCGTCGTGAAGCCAGTCGAAGTAGCAAAGGCAGAGAGTTTCGAGAACCTCGAGAGTCTGGGCAGAGATACCAAAGACGTAAGATATACCGACTGAAGCAGTTCCAACGGCATTGCTCAATGATATGAGCAATACTAAGAGCAGTCACGGGCAAGAGATTACCTGACGGAAACTGATCGACAAACTGCAAGCAAACTCGAGTGATATCCTGGATCGCTGACAAGATTCACCTCAGGTTTCGATGATGAGCGGCACACAATGATGACAAAGACGCTAAAGAATGAATTGGTTCGGCATATGACTGTGAAGGTTCGGGTCACCCCCACCTAAAAATATTGAAGCTCCGTCCGTAAGGATGAGTAAAGCGGGGTGTTCGAAGAGGTTAGGGTTGTCACCTGAGAGTTCGCTGCAGGTTTTTGAGTATACGATTGACCAACCTGACTGTGACGAAGAACTACTCACTCGTACAAGTAGAATGAGAGAAAAAACTTCATGGTCAAGAAACGGCTGGTGTCAATTAAAGTCGGAGAGAAAGAGTAAAACGAGATAGCGGACAGCGGAGTACCTGAAATCCGAGTACCAGTGACTTTCAGCTTGAGAAAAACGGGGACACCAAGCACGAACGGGAAGGATGAATCTACAAGACGTTAGAATACGTATATGAACAAGGAGCGAACGACGAATTCAATTTACAGTACAGACTTCTGCGGGATCATAGAGGACGCACTGCGGCACGGAGACCTGATCTCTCTTTGGCTGTTTGTGTGTCTTGGAAGAGGAAACAACAGAGACAGGGTCCTGGAATTCCCGGAGGGCCGTTGTATGTCTTATGATATTTGGTTGGCTACTTCGTAGCCAAAGGCCACATAGATATTTGCAAGCCTTGATCCATACGGATGCGGGTCTTAATATTGCCGGACTACCGCATCAGCCGCAAAAACGTTCGTAGTCACGTGGTTTGGGTGCGATCGAGAGTGAACTTCAAGTTGAATCTAGCCAGTGTTCACATCTATCGCTGTCGTCGTGCAGTATGTTATCCACCACTCGCTTATCAGCTAGCCGGGCATCAGCTCATCATCTACAATGTCTTGCTCGCTCATTAACAACCGACTCCACCACTTCTCATACTGTCCTCACTCCACCACTCCACATCTCGAAGCCAGAGACAAACAAGCCTCGTCAGTCACAATTATATCCGCGCCCGCGTCCAGCCGTTCCCCGTCAACGACAAGCACTCCCAACTCTTCCTGCAAGCTTCGGGCGTAACCAAGTTCTACCGGTACCAGACTCCACTCGCGCCCTTCTAGAAGACATCGTAAGATCGTTCGAAGCGCCCATTCGATATGCGTTTGCCTATGGATCTGGTGTTTTTGAGCAGGCTGGGTATGAGAAGCAGAAGGATAAGGAAGATAGGCCGATGCTGGACTTCATATTCGCGGTCACGCATTCGGATCACTGGCACTCAATTAACATGCAACAGCATCCCGGTCATTATCCTCTGCATGCACGCGTACTAGGGTCATCATTTGTCTCCAAAACGCAAGAGCTCGGCCCTGGACTTTGGTTCAATACTTTTGTGCCGGTGAAGGGGGTCGTACGTCACTTTCGTTCATACCATTCCGCTATTCGCTTACTTTTACTGCCGTAGAATATCAAGTACGGAGTAACGACCGTCGACACGCTATGTGCTGACCTACTTAACTGGCGCACACTTTATCTTGCGGGGAGAATGCACAAGCCTCTACGGATCATCAAGGACGACGCACGCGTACGACTGACTCAACAAGTCAACCTCACTTCTGCGCTTCGCACCGCCCTTCTCATGCTCCCGGAATCCTTCACCCAACGCGAGCTATTCTCAGCTATAGCAGGAATAAGCTACTCTGGTGACCCCCGAATGGTGCTACCAGCCGAGAATCGAGGAAAGGTGGAGAATATGGTTTCTCGTCAGGAGGACCAATTTCGGGAGTTGTATTGGAGGCTTGCGCAGGGCCTTCCTGGGGTTCGGTGGGCGGCGGGTTCCAAGAGCGTGGAACAGGATACCAGTCCGCATGCGAGAGCAGCGCATCTTAAGAAATTGCCGGAAGAGCTCTTGAAGCACGTTCATCAGCGTGCCGAGGGGCGTGGTCCGCCTAGAGAGGCGGATGAAAGCGCCTATTGGCTCCGTATCGCAGGCGACAAGGAGCTTCCCTCGATTCTTGACTCTGGTATGTTCTTGCGTTCGTATCTCGAGACCTTCATGCTGATGTTCTTGCCAGAAATAACGAAGATCGTGCGGTACCCAGCAACTGTACAGTCACTAAAGGGCATAGTAAGCGCTGGCGTGGCTAAGAGTGCACGCTACTCTGTAGCCAAAGTCAGCAAGTGGTGGAAAGGAACCTCTTTTTCGAGTTCGTCATAGTGCGACGCACATGCTCAAGGTGACCCAGTGACTATAATAGTATTACCATATCTCCCAACTCCTACTCAACGATATAGACACTACCCCTCCTTCCATCCGTCGAAACAGGAAAATTGTAGCTTTACCCAGGATATTTAAATTAGAACGAGTTATTTGGCAAGGTGCAGATGGCTGGTTGTCAAGAAAGCGCTCCTACTTGAATGAAATCACTCTGGGGCTTGTCCCTTAAGCTTCATCGACATCTGCCAACGAGTGTTCCACAAGACATCCTGATCTCGACCGATCGAGCATCTCACCCAAGGCATCGACCAGCTACCGCTGTAGGCCCAGAAATGCATAAGCAACGGTCGATTCGCCTCCACCCATCTAACTCGTGTTTCATTTTCACCTGAACTCGACATGACCTTAGTATCGTCATGCGGGATGCATATTACCCGCATACGTTGTTCGATGCAATAGAATGTAAGGCCAGACGAGAAGACCATATAATTGATGAGCGCTGAGAAGAATGAATTCGGGGGCGCAAGTAGGTATCAAGGTGACGCACCGCAGTACTAAGTGTTCGCATCGGTGCTGATGAGCATCTCACAGTCGACGACTGCGATACATTGAAGCCCAGCTGTGCACTCGTCTCTGCAATGCACGCTGGTGTATCATGGAGCATAGGATCGCAAAAAATCGTGCGGGCCTGCTATGCAGTCGAAAAACTATTATGGTCGCTTAAGCAGAAGAGAAGACAGAGTAAGTTGAATGTCGTACCCAATATGAACCCTCCTCGCTATACTAAGTGCTGCTAGGCGACTTCGAACAATGTGGCGCGGAACTTGAGATTCTAGCGAGTATATCACTGCCACCGAAGACTCTTCTCCGGTGGACTGTTTCGCCGGTCGGATTGACCACACATACTTGGTACTTGTGTCCTGTCCGATGACCTTCCCCGACCTCCCGCTTGGAACAGTCTTGCCAATTTGATGTTCCACATTTCTGCCTTGTCATCCTCATCTTGTCGGTCGTGTCCTATCTGTATGGTGTGTACCGTTTGCTAGGTCCCATAGTCGGAGCGAGCCGTCATTCTAGGACCGGTGTAACGTTGAGACCTGGAGCGTCGACCATATCTTCTCTAAAAATAAATGTATGCCGACGATCACGCTATGAAAGATGATACGAAGCCAAGTGCCAGACTTGGTTTTCCATTAAAGTCGGGAACGATAAGCCGTCTTCCTTCTATATACACGGTCCGACGATGAGAAGCTACCATTGGTTCCACATCAAACGGACCTAGGGGACACACGTTGAAAAGCGGTACCGAGTATCTCCCGTTTATCCGGTCTTGTTGCTTGACGTGCTCCAGTAGCGCCAGCGCTAGCGTTGCACAATATTCTTCACCTCGGGCGCTGCACGGCATCAGATTGAATGATCGATGTCACGGTGTAGTCTACTGTCGTGATAATTTTGACCACAGTAGACATCTGAGCAAAGTTATCGATTTCACACCCGCCCCAGTTCACAACTCATCGAACTCGCATGCTCGTTGACTTTCGCGGACTGGTAATACGTAAGTTTATGTAAAATTAACTCAAGTCTATATCGAAACTAATAGCAATGCTAGCCTCGTTTTCTCAGCTATCACGCTGAATTCATCCTTCTCAATTCTGCAGCCTTCTTCCGACTCCGGCACTTTATGGACTCCCGGTACTGGTCCAGATAGGGGCTTAGGCTCACCAGATTTCAAGCCTGAGCCGTGAGCCCAAGCCGGCCCAAAGCCGGGGCTTAGGCCCATGCAAGCCGCGGCCCAAACCGATGTCCGAGCTCCACCATGCTGTTCCCAACACCACGAACACCATGCGCAAACGCCCAGCACACGTCAGCAACTGCTGACGTGGCTCAGACGAATACGGACGATGGACGAGAGCAGGTGAAGGGAAGAAGACAAGGAGGAGAACGTTCGGACAGGGATGGAAGGGTGTGTGGAGGAGTGGCGTAAGAAGTGATATAGGCCAGAAGACAGCTGTTGAACTCGGAAGGTTGTCCGACCCAGTCGAGGATGGTGATGTCTGTAGGTGGACATGGACACTGAAGATACCAAATAATGAATACGCGACGACTTCTTGCAATGTGGTGACGCGAGATGACGCCCATTGAAGTCTCCGTCGAGCGTCGCTCATCCCAGGACGAAAGGAGATCAGACGTGCGTATGTAGTTGAAGTTGAGAGGAATCGCTGTCGACGTCCAAACCCTCCGAGTCGAACGTTGCCGATGAGACCGAAGGCGAGGAACGACATGGTGAATAGATCGTCCGAGCGCAAGGGAAAAGAGGCGCAGGGACGAGAGATGTGACGTTGGGGTCGAAATCTTCCAAGTATCAATGTTTCATTTCAATATAGATTAGAAAAGGACTTACCGTATAAAAGGCAGCATCCAGCCACCCGAGCGTCTCAGTTCTGACCAAGATACTGAGACGTGAGTTAGCTTTTACTTTACACTTCGAGTAGCCGTACTGATGCGACGTAGGAGACTTACCTGTTAGGTACATACGTCGTCAATAAAGAGTTCTGACCAAGATACTGAGATGAGACTTACCTGTTAGATCCTGCTGCGCCTTTACGAGTTCTAGAATCGCGTCATAGTAAGAGTCAGTAATGAGAAAATGCCAAACACATACTTGTGGGGCGTGACCACTGACGTGACAAGGTGTCATATACTCTATGTACCAAAGCCGCGGCTTGGGCCGCCGGCTTAGGCTTTTCTAAATTCAAGCCCAGGCCTAAGCCCTGCTCAGGCCGTGACTTAGGCCTGGGCTAGGCCCGGCCTATTTGGGCCCGGCTTGGGCCGGCCCAGGGCTTCAAGTCGGGCCTTGCACATCACTAGACCCTACAAAGGGGCAGAAGTGATCTTCCGGCGATGGAGGACCTTCTAGCCTCTGTAAGGAGTCAGAATGGAAGCGAAGAAAAGTCGAAGCGAGGGAGGATGAAAAGTTGATCAAAGTAGTAATATGTATTGGATTGTTGTTGATACACTCGTCTTGGTAATTTACCTGTGGCGTTTTCATAAACCACGATATTGACAGGTCGGTGTATACCCATACCCGTGGAGGTGCGGTGCACCTATCGACCCTGCAAATGAGGACGGAGCTACACTCCAATGGGGAGCCTCGTCATTTGGTGTAACCCAAGATGGCGTTCGTAAACGCTGTTCTTGACACACTTCACTACAGATAAGTATGTTCAACCAATCAGGTTGCACCATCACCGATGCCTCAAGCTCACCGTAAGCATCAAACTTCTTTCTCGCCAGCGAAAATAATATCTGACAGCACAAGATCGTTGATCGGTCTGTTTCCTGGGGTTCTACACACAAACCCGTCCAGAAAGAAATGAAGCCTGTGCGCCGTAATGGCTTTAAGAAGTGACCGGTGACCTTCTGGCGATGGAGCACCTTCTAGCCTTTGCAAGGGTCAAAGACAGATATGAAGCGAAATCGAAGCTGAGGAGGATGAAAAGTAAGAATAGTAATATGTATTGATTATTGCCAATACACTCATCTTGGCAATGTACCCACGACCGCCACATCGACGAGTGTATACCCATACCCGTGGAGGTACGGTGCAACTCGTATGTTCACAAAATCCCCGCGAAAATGTGAAACACTATCATCAAAAATGGACCGCAACCGATAGTATTTAGGTGTCAGTAATATGCTAAGCTAGATCTGAGAGTTGTGGCAAAGTCCTAGGAGAAGATAACTCGATAGATTACACTGCGGTGGTAGAACAGACAAGAACAAGAAACAAAAGCACAAATGGTAACGGAATATCATGAATGATATCCTATGTCAGAATCAAGTGCTGGAAAATGAGATAAAGATGGACATAACCAACGAAGAGTATGAACAACAGGATCAGACTGCAAGATATGCAATGGACGTGAAGCTGTCTGTGCGATCCCGGGGTGTGATTGACACGTCCCAGTTTGATCGCAGCTGTATGCTTTGCCGGCGCCGTTATAGTGCACTGTGTAATTCAGTCACGAGTAGTATAGAGCTGCAATAAAGTGTAATATCAGAGAAAGAAGGACACAAATCAACAAATGCACACCTTGAACTCCTTGAAAGTGTCTCTGTACATGCCAGGAGTCTGACGGCTGTCAGCCGTCGTCGTTTTGAACCTTGTTCATGTCGACTTTCTACGGCAATGCAAAGGGCCTTGACATAGTTGCTGTCTAATAAAATGCAGAAGGTAGGAATGAAAGACATTGGGCACCATTACTACCCGTCGTACGTTGATGTTGAAGCATAAGGAGACAGAGTCGCCGCGGCTGTCCCTTGGTGAGCTCTAGTATCAGATTGAGATATTCGGCTCATCACAAAGCCTCAGAACTAGTGCTCATAGAAACAAGGTAAGTATGCAAAAGTATACGAGGGATCTGTGGCTGACTCGGAGTAGTGCCGCGCCGATGCAGGAAATTCACACATTCCTTATTTGTGCTTAAATGGAACTTATTTACACTTAACTGCCTTGGTGAAATGGGATCTACTTATCCGAAATTTCAACTTGAATGTATTCAAAAAAACATCATTGAGGTATATTAATATACATGGTCTATTATATTTCACACTCAAAAAATATAAGATATGCCAGGTGAATGATGCGAGAGAGAGCAAACAAATTTCGAGATAAGTGAGTTAAGCTGATTAAGGACATTAAGGAATGTGTGAATTTCCTGATGCGGCGAATCCCGAGATTATGTCAGCGGATATCGGTGTGAGTCACAGTAAGTGAGGTCACGCCATTGCAAACCAAGTGAATACTATGCCATAAAAAGGTTTAGATAAAACCAATCCTTCAACAGCACATACTAATACGCTGCACTAATACTGTTGTATACGGTGGACCCGGCTCTAGACCTGCGCTCGAGAGAGGATGAAGACCAAAGCTGTCTGAAGAGATGATGCTGCTACAACGTGTCGTGCTGTCTAATGTTTACGTGTGCTGAGACACCTGGCACTCCCACTTGCCTACCCCCTGCTCCTGTCCCACCGGCAACCCCCAGCACAACGGCATCAGAGAACCGATGAGAAGAAGATAAGGCTGACATGGCAGACATGCAGTGCGTTGCATATCGAAGATAATCAAACTGTCAAACTGGTGCAAGACTCATCAGCATTTCAAATTTTAGATTCTAGGATCCGAAGCGATCTTGACAATATGGCTCATTGCTTTATAGGAATTTTCAGAGCATTTCAGCTTACGAAATACGGGAATATCGATAGCTCAAGCGCTCACCGGTTGACTGATGCGCGGCCCGTCCTTGTGATAAGTGGCTCTTCGTCCAGTTATAAGGTCCCCTCTATGCGTTTGGTGTCTGCCCACACACCGCTCTAACCATGTTTCCTTCAGCTGATGGTCGCCTTGCCATCCTCGCCATCCTACCTGCTTCCTTTATTGTCATTACATCGCTCAAGCGGTTCATTAGGAACAGACAGAACAAACTTCCCCCTGGCCCCGTGCCGCTCCCACTGCTAGGAAATGTCTTGTCTGTTAACACCAAGGAACCTTGGTTGACTTATACCGAATGGGCTGCTGTTTATGGTACGTGGTCAGATGGTACTACTGTGCACATGTGCAGATCATTGTATTAGGAGACTTGTTTTTCGTGCGACTTCTAGGCCAGGAAATTGTGGTGATCAGTTCTCAACACGTTGCGGAAGCCTTGCTGGACAAGCGTTCTCACATTTACTCTGATAGACCATACATAGCCACGCTTGAGCCGTGCGTTCTTCTAACATTCATCCATTGAATCATTATGGAATACAGGCAGGTTTGGTTGGTCGGACGTATTTTTATTCACAGGCTATGGTGACGAATGGCGTCTTTGCCGACGACTCCTCCATCAAACTTATCGTCCTGACTCTGCGCTCAAGTTTCGTCCAATGCAAATCAAGCAGGCTCGTGAGATGATCGTCAACCTCATTGATGACCCTCAACCTTACTATTCTCACTTTGCAACGTCAGTCTATCTGTTTGCAAACATCGAATGATTATTGACCTGTTCATAGATTCTCGTCATCAGTTGCGATGTCAGTGATCTACGGCTATCAAACCATTTCTCGTGATGATCCACTGGTTCAACTCGTAGAAAATGCAGTGGCCATTGGCTTCCAGGTGAATAACCCAGAGAATGCAATCTTGCTCAAAACCTTCCCCTTCTGTGAGCCTACCTCTTTTCCTCGTGAAAATATCTGACATTATGTACTGTGCAGTACTGAAGTTACCTGACTGGTGCTGGGGATCCTCAATCAAACGCGATGCTCAAACTTCAGCCAATCGCATGAGAGAAATGGCTGACGTGCCGTTCCAATATGCGCAGGAGCATATGGTGGGCATCTTTCGTCTTCAAAAATTTTGATTCTGTCCTAGCTATCAATTACATGGTCGTCAGGCCGAAAACTCGGCCCTTGGTCAGTTGTCGATGGTGGCGGAAAATCTTCAACGAATCGAGAAGCAAGATCAGACATCCAGATCATTGTTTGAGGGTGCCTTAAAGAAAGTAGCCACTACTGCTATTATAGGTCCGTCATCTGTTCACCAGGGACGGTATACCTCTCATTGATATATATCTATTCAGGTTCATATGAGACAGTTAGCAGATGTCTGAACCATATCGTCAACTCCTGAATTTCTTTACAGACTACTTCAGTCTTGATGGTTTTTGCTCTCGCCATGGTGTCTCACCCAAATGTTCAAAAACGGGCACAAGCGGAGATCGACTCAGTGGTTGGCCGGAATCGCTTGCCTGCCTTTGAAGACAGAGCGTCACTACCATACGTTGAATCAGTTCTGCGGGAGACTTTGCGATGGCAGCCTGTCGGACCCATTGGTAGCCTTCTTCGATTAGGGATCAAGCCTACACTAAAGATGATGTTATAGTGCCACATGCCACCTCGAGTGATGATATATATGACGGTTACTTCATTCCAAAAGGTCTGCCGTTTTCGTCTAATAAGCAAATCATCGATAACATCATGCGTCAGGAGCGACTGTCCTATTAAACATGTGGTTAGATGCATTATCTTCAGGTTTCGAGATGCTGACATTATATTGCAGGGGCATCTCACAGGATGAAAAGCGGTACCCCAACGCATCTGTGTTTATGCCAGAGAGGTTCATGGACGCCAATGGTGCGCTGACGGACGATGACCCTGCTGAATATATCTTTGGCTTGGGCCGACGTAGATGTCCAGGTAGGTCGAGTTTTTACATTGCTGTATTGCATGCGATGAGTTAATACATTCTTTGATCAGGCCGGCATGCTGCTGATGCCTCTGTGTGGTCCGCCATTGTTACTATGTTGGCCACAGTGGAGTTTTCTTTTGCCAAAGATGACCAGGGCAAGGTGATTGAATTCACCCCCAAATTCACGACAGGACTCTCTCAGTACTTGTTTCTCTTGTGTCATTCCATCCCGTTATTAATATCTTCGCTTTAGCACCCCTATGGTCTTTCCCTGCAGTATTTTACCACGTTCTCATGTTCATCTAGGACTTGAGGATGCTTTACGGATGGGAGAATAATATGTGTATGGTGAAAGACTTGACATCATCCTTTTCTATGTTCTGACTTGAACCAACTACCAATCAGTCTCCTACTTGGTCTTTTCGCGCCGCAGTGACTTCAGTGTACCAATATTTGACACATCCTTTTTCCGGTTCGAGTTGCGCCGACACACCTCGTTTAAGTAGTTTTGATTTTGCTTTGTCTATCGTTAGGTTCATATTGCACGAGTAAAATACAAGAAAATGGTGCTGTAGCAGGTCCAGCCTGAGCCCAAATGAAGACCCTTCTTTGCAGACAAGAAGGGAATCGGTGCAAACTTTTGAGCAGATTTTGGCTTCATAGGCGGGAACTGCATCATGATTCACCCCAGCAACAGCGGCAAGGATGTCAAGGTAGATCGTCACGAGCTGTAAATGCCTCATATTATTTATCTATTAGTTTAACCATGCTTCAGTGATGGTGGCGAAGGTCGAAGTATTTACTGACGGATGACGGTCTGTCGTGTCCGGCACGGCAGTGGTCATACTGATTGTAACTTACAACTTGCTCCAGGCACTGTCACAAAATGTTATTTTGGTTTGCAATGGGCATGCCTTATATTAGGACATCGCAAGAATGTAGGGTAGTGTCTCTTTGACAGTATTTTGTCCTCTACATATGATGGATTTTAAACGCTGGGTGAGATAAGGATGCAGTGGGATCAAGAAAGAATGTGAACGCCGCACCAATACTAGTAGTAGCGGTAACTGACAAGGAGGAATGATAAGAGGTAACAAGGGAGGGGATGTCGACTGCAAGCGTGATGGGGATCTGACGCTGGATATTGGTGTAGACGTGCTGCCCGGTCAAGTTGATGCGTTGTTCTGAAAAAAATCAACCGGTGGCTGCATGTCTCAAGAAGGAGCGGGAGCGGGATTGGTGTCAAGGGTTATGGACAGGATGCAAGAAGATCCTGGACGGCGGTCGAGGGCACTAAAAAATTAGAGGATGCTGTGCGCAAAGAACGCGCGCTCGATGAGTAGGACAACGAAGACGATGGTACAAAACAGATGATTCGTACCGCAGTTTACGGTGTGCAACCTTTCTTATGTAAACAACATCCCGGAATCGGCGCAAATCTATTAGCGCCTGATCATCCTTCGAAACGTTTTCCGAGTCGTGACTACCTCATTACAAGAGCCATGCTCCTGATCCCTGCATCCAAGCCAGATGCTTCCAATTCTTTCAATATTTGCTGTCTCACACCCGCCACTTGTGCAACTTGGGGTTCATTCATCGCAGCAATCTCGCACCACCTTTCAACGTTTAACTCCAGTGGATGATCGACCCCGCAAACTACACTTAACTTTCACCAAAGAAATAAAAACGCGCAACGAAGATGTCATTCTGTGTCATCAACCAGCTCAGCTTTGGTCTCTCCACTTGATCAGGTCACTCATTCAGTGTTGATGGAACAATGGCATTTCTACTGTCAGGAGTCCCACCCTATGTCGTTCAAGGTATTGGATATTGGTCCTCCCACTGTTTCCTCCGCTACTGGCACTCTCGAACTTCTAACACGGTTGCATGCAGAATACTTCCCGTTGTTCAGGCTTGCTTTGCCTTATTTTCCAGTTTAGTCGTGCCTTTGTCTTGCCCACGGCTTTGGGCGGGAGTCCCTGGTACTCCCCTCTACATACACCTGATTTGCTTTTCTCTCTCTTATGATCAATCCGATAAGACTATTTGTAGCCTCCGCCCAACTTGGAGAAGACCCGTCTTCACATTACCTAAGCTTCACTCTGTTTCCTTTACAGAAGTTCACTTACCAACAGCGAGCTTGAAACAATGTATGACGGGTGCATACGGAAACAAGTAAAATGTTCTGACAATTTTTAGTGATGGGATTTTTTTGGCCTTGGACAAAGCCCACCTCCCACACTAGTGGGAGTTGAACCACGTACAAGCCACCCCAGGGTGTGGAAAACAGTTTTCCATGCAGTTATAAAGTCCCCTTTGTACGTTGGGTGTCTGCTCTACGCACCGTTCTGATCATGTTTCCTTCAGTTGATGGTCGCCTTGCTATCCTCGCCGTCTTACCTACTTCCTTTTTTGTCATCACATCCCTCAAGAGGTTCATCAGGAACAGACAGAACAAATTCCCCCCTGGCCCCGTGCCGCTCCCACTATTAGGAAACATCTTGTCTCTCGACACCAAGGCGGCATGGTTAACTTACACCGAATGGGCTGCTGCTTATGGTACGTGGTCAGATAGTATCATACATATATGGTGCAAATCATCATATCAGGAGACTTTTTTTTCGTGCGACTTCTAGGCCAGGAAGTCGTGGTAATCAATTCTCAGCACGTTGCAGAAGCCTTGTTGGACAAGCGTTCTCGCATTTACTCCGATCGACCATACTTAGCCACAGTCGAGCCGTGCGTTCTTCTAACATTCTTCCATTTGATCACTATGGAACACAGGCAGGTTTGGTTGGTCGGTCGTCTTTGCATTCGTAGGCTATGGTGACGAATGGCGTCTTTCCCGACGACTCTTCCATCAAACTTTCCGTTCCGACTCTGCGCTCAAGTTTCGTCCAATGCAGATCAAGCAGGCTCGTGAGATGATTGTCAATCTAATCGATGACCCTCAACATTACCATTCTCACTTTGCAACGTCAGTCTATGTGTTTGTAAACATCGAATGATTCTTAACCTGTCCATAGATTCTCCTCATCAGTTGCGATGTCAGCGACCTACGGCTACCAAACTAGTCCTCGTGATGATCCTCTGGTTCGAATCGTAGAAAATGCACTGGCTATTGGCCTCGAGGTGGTGACCCCAGAGAAAGCAATCTTGCTTAAAACCTTCCCTTTCTGTAAGCTCATCTCTTTTCCTCATGAAAATAGCTGACATTATGTACTGTGCAGTATTGAAGTTACCTGACTGGTGCTGGGGATCCTCAATCAAACGCGATGCTCGAACGTCGTCCGATCGTATGAGAGAAATGACCGACGTGCCGTTCCAATATGCGCAAGACCATATGGTGGGCATCTTTCGTTTTTAGAAATATTGGTTCTGTCCCAGCTATTAATCACATTATCGTCAAGGTTGAAAACTCGGCCCTTGGTCAGTTTTCGATGGTGGCAGAAAATCTTCAACGAATCGAGAAGCAAGATCAGACATCCCGATCATTGTTTGAGGGTGCCTTAAAGAAAGCAGCTACTACTGCTATTATCGGTTCGTCATCTTTTTACAAGGGGTGGTATGCCTCTCGTTAATACATATCTATTCAGGTTCATACGAGACGGTTAGCGGGTGTCCGGACCATATTGTCAACTCCTGAATTTCTTTGCAGACCACGTCGACCTTGATGACTTTTGCTCTCGCCATGGTATTGTATCCAGATGTTCAGAGACGCGCACAAGCGGAGATCGACTCAGTGGTTGGCCGGGATCGCTTACCTACCTTTGAAGACAGAACGTCACTACCATATATTGAATCAGTTCTGCGTGAGACTTTGCGATGGCAGCCTATCGTACCCCTTGGTAATCTTTCTTACTGTGTTATTTCGCCTTTGCTGAAGGTATTTTTGTAGGCATTGCACATGTCACCACGAGTGATGATACATATGATGGTTATTTCATACCGAAAGGTCTGTTATTCTTATTCATTGAGTCCATCGTTTGTAATATCGTACATCAGGAACAACCGTCATGTGCAACGTGTGGTCAGATAGATCCTCTCTAGCTTTCAAAATACTGATGTTACATTGCAGGGGCATTACACGAGATGAAAAGCGGTACCCTGATGCATCTCGTTTTGTGCCAGAAAGGTTCCTAGACGTCAACGGCGCGTTGACAGATGATAACCCTGCTAGATATGTTTTCGGCTTTGGCCGGCGTGCATGTCCAGGTGGGGTTGAGTTATTTCATCACAGTATAGAGCTGATTCATTCTTTGATCAGGCCGACATGCTGCTGATGCCTCTGTATGGTCCGCTATTGTTACTATGTTAGCCACGGTGGAGTTTTCTTCTGCCAAAGATGACCAGGGCAAAGTGATCGAATTCACCCCCCAATTCACGACAGGACTCAATCAGTACTTGCTTTTCTCATATCATTCCATCTTCCTGTCACTAACAATTTTATCACTTTAGCTCCCCTATGGTCTTCCCTTGCAATATCTCATCACGCTCTTGTGCCCATTCGGAACTTGTGAATGTTTTCCGAACAGAAGTATGAAATGTTATCAGGTGAATGGGCTGTATATGTATATCTTCCTTTCTTGGGCCCACACCGCCAATCTGTCCAACATCTTTTCGTTAGCTCCGTTTTCCGCACGTGGCATGTACGACTTGAAATATGTAGAATGTAGCATGAAATTCAACCACCCGCTTGCGCGCGCACGAGTCGCAACTGAGATTTATCAGGTATAGTCTTGTAGGGCAAACTCGATCAAATGATCCACTGATTAGTCGACGTCACGGTGTAGTGTGATCGGGGCTTATTCCAATCAGACTACGTCGCCTGCAAGGGAACTTGCCTCATCATTACTATCAATATCAGCACGATAACAACATAGTAAGTAACAAGCAAGTAACAAGCGCAAAACAGCAAAAGAAAATGACAAACAAAAAAGATAATGACAGTATGCAGATAAAAGTATATCCACCCCAGCCAAAGCAACGCGAGAAGTGTAGCACAACAACAAGGTAAATACACACAACAGCCTCGGAAGAAATAACGTATAAAAAGACGAACAAATGAAACAAAGGAGATAAACACGCCTCCCGGACGCGTCTAAAACCCTGTAAACGATCGTAACGCGCCAAACACCCTCCCCGCTAACCCCGCTCCCTGAGGTCCAGCACTAGGATCAGCAGGTGGAGGATCAATCTCGTACCCACCTTCTAATACCTCCATCATCCTATCCAAACCCATCTCACTCGCCTTCTTGTCCCCCCAAAACTGCACGAGAAATCGATGTCCAGCAGAAGACACCCGGTACTCAAGGACTTTACACAACACGAGTTTTCCGAGGGTGCTGCTTGGATCAGGGACGATGAGGAGGAAGGCTTTGTCGATGAGCTGTAGTGGGTTCGTGGCGAAATCGCGGAGACGATCGGGGGTGAGTTGTCTGTGGGGACGACGGGCGAGGGCGGGGGCGATGGGTTCTAGAGACGAAGGGATGTCGCTTTCTTTTGAGAAATCTGGGGCGAGGTCCGTCATCGTACAGGCGTCGCGGAAATCTCGGGTTTTGGTCAGTGGGAAGAGAGCAGGGGGCATGGTGACATCAAAGTCGAAGTTGTGGTGGCTATCGGGCTCGAAGTGTGGGTGGGTGGTACTCGCGCCGTCGCTGCTCCCGCTGTTGGGGTCGGCTTTGGTAAGAATTTCATGAAAGGTCGTGGAGTAGTAAGATCCCACTGGTGGATTCGTATCGGGGAGGCATAGTAAGAAGTCGCCAGGACCTGGGGCTGGGTCGACGGGTGATGGTTGGATGCGAGGAGCAAGAAGAGGACCAGGCTCGACACTTGACATGGAGCCATTGTCTTTAGCTGCTTCATTGCGCATCGCCAGCTTTCTTCGAGCACTACCAACATGATTGAATTGATGAAACAACGCAGCAGTCATGTTCGACTCACCGAGAATTACGGGCATTAATTCGCTTCCTCTCTTTCATTCTCTCGGCTTCTAGTTCATCACTAATGGGAATCAATACGTCAGTGAGTTAGATCGAAGCAGGGAGCACATACATCTCGCCATTTTTTATTCTTTCCTTCAACCGCTGCCTGTATTTTTTATTTGCCTCGCGATGTCTGTCTGATGTTTTTGGAGCTGTCTGGAAACAAGTTGAACGAATGAATAAGCCAGAATGACTGAGAGACACATACCGAGTTATTGCGACTATTCATCATCGCTGAAATGCCTTCTGTATCCACTTCCATTGCATCGCCTGCATAATCAGACTCGTTGTCTACGCCAGAAGCCGGAGAAGGTAAGGCTCCTGCTGAGGATGGAGTGGGATATTGTGCCCGAGGTGTCTGTCGGCTGACGATCTGCGACTCAGAAGCCATTGCTAGCGTGCGCTGAACAGGACGTAGAGTTGTTGATGTAGAGAGTGTCGTATGCGATGACGAGGAAGGAGGTGTAGGACAGCGTGGAGAAGCGGAAACTGAGGTATTTGCTAATGTTGCAGGTTGCGCAGATAGGGCTGATAGAGTTGCTGCATTAGCACTAGCTGTCACAGATGCGGGGAGTTGTATGGTCGATGAGACACGCGCTATATCTGCAGGGTCATCGACGTGATTTGGAGGTGGTGGGGGTGGTGGGAAAGTGTAAATAGGTGGAGCAGGTAAGCGGGTGGATGATACAGGTGTGGGTTTTGGTGCAGTTATAGCCGGTGACAGCGCAGATGAAGGAGGCCGCGGAGAGGTCGTGGATGTAGGTTGTGATACATTGGATGACGTCGGAGGTGGTGTAAGTACCCGCGGAGTAGGTGCAGGTATGGGGGTGCGTATGGATGAGGTGGGAATAGGAGCACCAGCACCGATATTAATACCAACAGCAGGTGCAGAAGCGGTAAGAGACGATGTAGAAACGTTATTTGCGATGGATAATGTCGTCCCATGTCCTACAAGCGATGCTCTTGGCAGGCGGATTGTCAGTGGTGTACGAACGCGAGGTTGAGCAGTACTAGTACTGCTAATCGGTTCTGCTGATGCCGCTGCGGGTCCCTTGGAACGCGTATACGGTGTAGCACGAGTTGGCGAAGAAGTAGTGGCCGGTGCAGGAGATGACGATGGAATGTCATGGGTAGGAACGGATGCTGTAGTTTTTGCACGCGTCTGTGGCCGCATGCCTGGAATAATAGCTATGAAATTTGAACTTGATGAAGCCTGAGAAGCCCGATTTTCGAGCAATGATAAAAGAGGAGGCAACAATATTTCGGTCGTTAAAATGCCTGCAAGTCAGAGTCAGCTCGATTCAAGGATTTTTGGGAACAACCAAGCACTGTGTCCCGCCCAGCTATCAAAGTTGAAAAAGAAAAAGACCGTGAACACTTCCGTTAAGCTCTTTCCATCTTTGGTGTTGAACTGGCCCATCACAAATTTAAACGTCGTAAGCTCATCGTGAGACTTGGGCAGCCAGAGGGTTTCTAATATCCAAACAAATACCAGGACTGTAGGACAGTCGAGAGTCTGGCAGCGACCGATCGGTTTGCGTGGGCATAAGGAACTCAGTCTCCATTCAATCATTGTCTTTTATACGATGGGTTCTACAAACTTAACAAAACACCATCATGATATTATTCTGATCATCCCCCTTGTCTGGAACCCAGGCGTGAACGAAAGAGCCCATCGGGTCTGTCGAGAACACCTATCAGTTCATCAACGAATTAATAGATAGACAAGATGGGACTGATCTACTTCCATTCACAGTTAGTAGTCCCTGCTACGTATCAGAGCAATCACCACTAATTTTTCTGCGAGAAGATGGTCCTCATGGTTCTTACGATCACGAACTTCGAAGGAGAGCCGCAGAGGATGGACCCGGAGGATAGGCACCTTTGAATGATATCAGATCCAAGTCGCTATACATCAGACTGCAGACACAGAGACCTTTACGAAGAATGATCTGCAACCAGAAGGGGAGGGGTATGTGAAAATAGTCTTTCCCTCGTCTGACGAAGCATTGCAGAAAACAGTTGGCTAATATGATCAAGCAAGACGTTTATCTGATTGTGGACTTTGTTTCTGCCTATACGTTGAACGTATGACCCTGATGAGTATATGATATATGATTTCAGTAGTGCTGTAGGACGGTCACACAAGCAATACCTGCCCAGGCTGACGCCTTCTCAATGAAAGGGTCGAGCCATTCAAAGGAGACCTGTCGTTTGCCGCATCGACATCAGCTTCGCAAGTCCCTGCACCTGGGGCTAAGATGCATCAAAGACTTCAAGACGCTGATTGAGAGAGCTAGGCTGTAGACAATTCGGTCAATCATAATCCGGTCCTTACCAGGTATCAGTTTGCGATCACTCGTTAGATGGGGTTAAATGCCACCTCCCAATGTCGATTGTATCAGCTACATCAGACTGCTTTCAAACAGGATGACTTACTCTTGGCACGACCTACTTTTGTTTGTCTTTCATCTATAACGCTGCATTACCATTGTAGTTGTGGGATTGGAGCGTCCTGGATTCTATATTTGCATGTACTGTGGTAGTATGGTGTTTGTGCTCTTCTTTTTGTAATCATGAGGATACACATACCACATAAAAAATACAAGGCATTTTGTAAACCTAGTCGAATCACTCCAGATGTTAATGTCGATTTCTTTCGCATGGCGCGAAGCGAGATCGTCCTGAGGTGGTCAACGACTGATTCGCGGGGTATTACATATAGTGCGGCCACAAATTTCGTATAAAGTGTGACAAGACAGGGGTCTACATCAGAATAACGAATATGGGTTGATGTCATCGAGTTAGAGATCGGCTGGAACAGAAATGGGAAGCGGAGAGAACATGTGCTTCATCGTCGAACGTCGTCGATACCATCAACATATCGCCGGTCGAAGATTTGAGTGATTCGTCTACACAGCACTTGAGCTGTGATGCAAACATGTGGACAACAATACACACCATAATACACAACTTAAACGAACGGATGGTCAACTTCTTCGGCTCCAAACCAAAGGTCTGCTGTCTCAGTGTACAGTTCGTCCTTTGCATTGGTGATTGGAGTATCACTATTTGTGTCAATTGGTTTGCAGAGTTTGTTGTGGGTGATACTCTAGGTTGTAAACCGACCACTCGGATACCATAGATATTTTCGCATTACACCACAGCAAGACCTACATACATAGGCCCTAAGCTGAATTCCTGTAAGCACACGTTCTAGTCAGCTTTGCCTCGTGCTTTTATTGACAGCAGTAGGCCTGTCGACTCACCATCCATGTTTGTCATTACCAGAGAACCCGTTCTCATTCAGATATTTCGGTGCGCTTCTCTCGTAGTCCACATGAGACATCGAGCGGCACCGTGTATTCTCTGACCGGTAATACACTAGCGATCACGCCCCGAAAGACAATGCGAGGCTATGATACTGACCAGGTATGAGGTGTTCTGCACTTGCCTGGCGGACGGCGCATCATCACATGTTCGGAAGATGGATCACTCCAACTATGGAGGACCTGGAGAGTGGTGCATAGATTGGCGACGGCTGGCAAGACGAGGAGGACAAGGAAGCAACATTCACCATAGAAAATGTTGTCTCCAAATTGCAACACCGTTACGAGCGGAAACAACGATGGGAAGGTGAGGTTGTGGGATGTCAAAACGGGGCAAATAGACAAGGCGCACTAATTGGATGTCGTCAGTATGCTCAGATGCTGCAGTACAGACGGTCGACGAGTGGTCGGCGGATCCAACGACGGGACTGCAAGGGTGTGAGATGTCAAGAGCGGAGAAACCATCCTAGTAATCAGACTAAGAGCCAGTGGGCGACGGCGATCCCCACCCAACTAAATAAAATTGCGACCGGTGTACACAACGAAAGCGCCGTAAAAATCTGGGACAGCGAGATGGGCGCTGCTGCTCGTTACACTCAAACTCAATTTTGGAGGTTGAGTCTCAGCGCGTCGTATAGCTCGATTAGGATATTCGACACTGCCACGTGGCGACGGATTCCCCGTCCAGGACCAAGTCACCACACTCACCTTCAAATACTCAGAAAGTCACTCGGAGATTTGGACACTGTGGGGTCCCAAATACTTGTATGATAGTATCGGAACAGCCGCCTCCTTGCGAGCGCATCGGATGATCAAACAGTGCACCTGTGGAATCTCAACAAGGAGTCGGTCCGAGGTCCACCTTTCCAGCATGAAGACAATGTGACTCTGAGATGCGGCAGCCCTTTCTGCTGATGGAAAGCTGGTAGCCTGGTAGTCACCGTTGCGACAGTCCTCGTGGCATCCTTAAACAAGCGGGTTTTGGAGACCTCAGGTCACTCATAATAGGTCGTCATGGTAGTTGGAAGCTCGTTAAGGAATTCAGTGCGTAACGTGTTTTTAACCTTTTCAATTATTCAAGGTCGATGTCATGGAGTAATGCAACGTGGCGTTGAACCCGGCTCAAAAATTGCCCATCGAGGATTGTCAGGCCTTTTCGATGACGCACCCTATGTGTCTTCAATGGTCTTGTCAACCATCTTTCGTTCTGACATGGCAGTCGTCCGCAACACGTAGTATACATAACCGCTCCTCTGCACGCGGCGGCGCTCTCTCAGTCTCTTTAAGAGTCTAGCTATGCTTTTCGGCCACCGAAGTTTCACTGCTCTTCCGTCATTCTCACCCCCGGTGAAGCAACCGAACTCCAACAACAACCAAGGCAAAACATCTTCTCTCGTCATAGTCCTCTTACCTGTCGAAGCTCCAGCAGTACACGATAGAAAGGTATAACTTTCTTCGCATACGTTTGAAATCGCCATGGTTAAATATCTTCTTCACAGCCGTCACTTCGCGACCAGGCCAACAAACACAACAAACAGGCTTGTCAGCAGGAGCACGGTCAACACAAGCCAAGGCATCGACATCACTGACTCAGCCTGCCGCTCCCTTGACGTCCAGTGACAACACCCGCTCCAGGTACCAACATCACCACACGAGGTGCAGCAACCCGTACAGACTGCAGTCCCAACCTATATCATTGTGGGCTCGTTTTGTGCTGTTCCTCTGTTATACATCTCATCCACACGCCAATGGTCATTGATACTGCACTTGTGGACAATTGTCTCATCTTTTCGTCGAGTTCTTTTGCACTCTCATCTCTTTCTCTACACTTCAAATTTCGCTACTACGTGAAATGTATTCGCGCCTTTTCATTTGCGGACCAGAATCCTTGTACACTGTCGGGTTATTTGCAGCGCTCTGCCATTGTCCTCACTCACAAGAGTTGTCAGTAAATTGGAATATCGATGTCGAACTTGAGGCCAACTCATTTAACACGTTTCTTCAGAGTGTTTGAGAGTTGGTACGTTCGAGGAATCGCATAGCCGGGTACAGCATATCGATATGGCCATCGGCACCTCAAATCAATCATACCACATACGGACGAGTATAACCGAATACATGATGCATAGTGTACACGTTGACTTCTTTTGAGCTTCAATTCATGAACTGAGCGTCCCGCAAACTGCACCTTGCGAGGCATGCTTATGTGTTACCCACTTTCTAATAGGCGAGTTTGTATACATTTTGGAACCCGGATCAGAGAAGATCCTCAAGTCCTGAATGGACATGAGAACGTGGTGAAATATTGCAAGGGAAGTGCATCAAGGAGCTAAGGCGATGCAACTGTTAGTGACAGAAGGACGAGATAATAAAACAAAGTACCGAACGAGTCCCGGGTTGAATTCAGGGATGAAGTCGATCACTTTGCCCTGGTCATCCTTGGCAAAAGAAAAGTCCATCGTGGCTAACATAGTCACGATACCAGACCACACAGAGGCATCACCGGCATACCGCCCTAATTAAAGAAGGTATCGGATCGCATGTTATATGGCCAGTGAGGTGGATCAGCTCACCTGGACATGCGCGCCGGCCTAGACCAAAAACGTATCCCGCGGGATCATCATCCGTTAACGCGCCGTTGACGTCTAGGAACCTCTCCGGCATAAAATGAGATGCATTAGGGTACCGTTTTTCGTCCCGTGAAATGGCCCTGCAATGAGACATCAGTATCTTGGAACCTGAGAAGTATCTATCTGACCAGATGTTACACATGACGGTCGTTCCTGATGCATGATATTACAAATGGTTTGTTCAGTACATAGAAACAACAGACCTTTCCGAATGAAATGACCATCGTATGTATCATCACTCGAGGTGGCATGTGGAACGCCTACAATATTGTCATTAGCAAAGGTAAAATAACACAGCGATGAAGATTACCGAGGGGTAGAATGGGATGCCATCGGAAAGTCTCCCGCACAATGGATTCAACATAGGGTAGTGATGCTCGGTCCTCGAACGTAGGTAAGCGATCTCTTCCGATCACCGAGTCGATTTCCGCTTGTGCGCGTCTCTGAAAATCTGGATGCAACACCATGGCGAGAACAAAAACCATCAAAGTCGAAGAAGTCTGTGAAGAGGTTAAGCAGCACACAATATGGTTCATGACATCTGCTGACCGTCTCATATGACTGCATAACACCAGCTGCAACTGTCCTCTTCAGGGCAATCTCGAACATCGGCTTGGACGCCTCGTCTTGCCTCTCCATCCGCTGCAAATTTTCTGTGACCATTGAAGACTGACCGAGGAACGAGTTTCCAGCCTTTGCAGACATGCAATCAACATGTAGCTCCGAACTATATTAAAGAAGCAAAGCCCACCATATGCTGCTGCGTAGGTTGAAACGGCAAGTCCCTCATTTCATTCATACGATTAGTCGATTTTTGAGCAGCACGTTTGATCGAGGATCCCCAGCACCAGTCAGGTAACTTCAGTACTGCATGAGGGTGTGAGATGTCAAATCTTTCTCATCAGCCAGAGTGAGCTCACAGAAGGGGAAGAGTTGAAGCAAGGTTGCATTCTTCGGAGTCGTCATCTCAAGGCCAACAGCCACTGTATCTTCCAACATTCGAACCAGGGGGTCATCACGTGCGCTGGGCTGGTAGTCATATATAACAGACATCCCGACTGATGACGAGAACCTGTGTATAAGTTGATAATTGCTTGATATTTACAAACGCATTGGCTGACGTTGCGAAGTGATTATGATAATGTTGAGGGTGATCGATTAGGTTGACGATCATCTCACGAGCTCGTCTGATCTGCATCGGGCGAAGCTTGAGTGCAGAGCTAGAACGAAAAGCTTGGTGGAAGAGTCGTCTGGAAAGACGCCATTCGTCACCATAGCCTGTAAATGCAAAGGTGATCGCGGACCAGCCAAATCTGACTGCACCTCAAACTGGTTGAATGAAGTAGATAATAGAAGAACGCACTGTTCGGCTGTGGGTAAGTATGGTCGATCAGAGTAAATATCAGAACGCTTGTCCAACAAGGCTTCTGCAACGTGCTGTGAATTGATCGATATGACTTCCTGGCCTAGAAGTCGCACGAAAACCAAGTCTCCTGATATAACGATTTGCACCACATATGCGTCATACTATCTCTACACGTACCATAGGCAGCACCCCATTCGGTATACGACAGCCAAGGCTCGTTGGTGTTAATAGATAAGATGTTTCCTAACAGTGGGAGCGGCACTGGGCCAGGAGGGCAAGGTTTGTTCTGTCGGTTGTTAGTAAACCGCCTGAGGGCTATGATGACAACAAGGGAAAGAGGTAAGATAGTAAGGATACCAGGGCGACCATCGACTGAAGGATAGTACATGTTTAGAGCAGTACACGGATTTATTATATCCAAAGAACGAAACTGACTTTATAAAGGATCCATGAAAAATCCATATGGAACCCAGGTCAGCGGAGGCCCCAACTTGTCGAGACAGGTTTCAAATTGTGATCTTTGTCGACATGTTGTCCTGGCCCAGGTTTTACCTCGAAGTAAAATTTTGCCGAGCCTAGCATATCAAATTCATCATGCCGTTACCATGCGTAATATTTATTCTGCCAGATTGTAATTAGACGAGTAATATAAATTTTGATCTCACGTGAGATTCGTCAGCGCACAAGTACCTCGACATGATAGGCACTCACTGTGTTATTATTTGTTCCTGCAACTTTGTAACGAGTGTCACCCACTGTGATGAGCCACACGCTTAGATATAGCAGCATGACCTTACAGGCTTACTTTCCGTATTAGTAGTGAATTAACACCTACTCGCTCATCATTCACTGTCGAACTCATTAACAGCTTTGTAACTTTCAGTCCGGGAAAGATTTTTGGTGCAGAATTAACACCAAATACGCCAGACTATGAAATCGCAGTATGATGTTAACTCCCGCAAAGTACACCCCTTCGACGTACCACCTCTGAAATACTTAGACTCACCTGTGCCATCCTAAATTGAAAGGCGAGCCCAAGGGAAGATAGCGGATGAGAAAGGTAGGCAAAGGGAGTAAACCAGGGGCGGGTCGCTGGCACATAAGGTAACAAAGTGACGAAGTTAACAGAGACCATGTTAAGCGAAGCTGACGTATAACTCGAGATTGTTGCATTGATTAGTTGATGCTGTTGTGGAGCCAGAGAGTAAGTGTGAACTGACGGAGGGGGGCGGCGAATCCGCGATGAGGACACATCACCTCCATTGAGCTTCGGACCGTCTGGTACAAATTTCGGTTGAACCCGGGGCACGATAGTAATTCGCTCACCTACAGACGCTGCAGTACCTTTCCAAATCATTTTTGATTTAGAGTAGGAAGAAGAGTAGACTACACCTGTTGTATCTTCAGATGCATTTTGAAGCAAAATAGTCTCCCAGCTAAGTGTGAAATTGCGATAGTCTGCCAGCATGGCTGACATGCACAATTTGCATTCACCGTCGGACAGCAGCGCGAGACTTGGAGAATTTGTTAATATCGATATCGTACATGCCATCGTTAGCATTTAGCTTCCACTGGCTAGTACTCCCTCCTGCGATGCTTTTGCAATCCTATGTTCCGTGCACCTGCGAGAGCTTCAACGGCAAGTACAACCCACACGGTAGCGGGCAGAAGCTTCAAAACGGCTCAAACGGCTATCAGGCACCAGCGTGCACTCGGTCCCTCGGACCTTCTCACGCATATGAAGTAGATGCTTTGGGTCAGGAGAATTGTCGGAAGACATTACCATTGCTGATAGTCTCGAGTATGGCACATGCAGGAAGTGGATATTGCCCCACAGATGATGCAGAGGCTGACTCCGATGACAATCCAGACTACGGCAACGATGGTGTGGGGGACGAAGATATCGATTTGCCGGAGGGTGAAGTTAGTGATAACCTCGGACTAGGAGCACAACAACATCATGAGGTGCCTCATTTTCCTGAGCTCGAAGACTTTTTTCAAAGATGGGACGAGCCTATCCTGCTGACGACAGTGACCCGGGTGCATTCAGCTGTAACCCCGATGCTGAGATTTTCGAACTGAACCTTGAAGATTCGGTGAACTCTGATGAAGAAATGCTGACTGAGGGCAACCGTGACGGCGATAATGAATTCTGCCATGAATCAATGATGACGAGCGATTGAATGACACGGCCCTTTTCGATTTCAAAAGTGTCGTTGGCATAATTAATTGTTTCAGTTGCCAGCAGTAGGTCGTCGAAGCCTGATTAATGATTCTTTGAAGGGTGATTCATATGTTGGGAAAATAGCAGGAACTACCAGCTCGGGAAAAAATGTAGACCTCCCCCTCCCGCTTCGCAGACCTCGAGGAGAACAATGGGGAGTTGAGTATAGTATGGCTGTCCGGATGAAAGCCCAAACCATTGTACTACGACGCTGCCGCCAAGGGCAATGACCGCCGCCAACTGCTTGTAGGCGATTGTGACGATGACAGTGCTTTCAGATAGGTTCAAGTTGGAACTCGATTATCTCGGGGCGCTTGGCGAAATCCGGTTATCAAAGTGGTGCAAGTGCCAGGCCGGTGGCATACATATCCAAAGCGCATTATAAGTTATAACTGCAAGTCTGCAACTATGTAGCAGCTGTGCCTGGCGTGCTGAAGGAGTTGAGAAGGATGAATTCAGTATGGCTGAGAAAGTTGAGATGGGCCTTACCTTTACGATACCATGTAATACCTTGAAGGGCCAACTTGGCACATGCCATTATTGTTGCATAAGTGATAATCGATAAGGGCCCTTTTGACAGTCATACTGCAGGCTGTCTGTAGTCCGGCATCTTTGACGGTTATTTCCAAACTCCGACGTGCATACGCGTCGTTCGAACATTTGCAGCAGTTTCGTAGCGTTTATAATGTCGGTCGACCTCACTAGTACTAGTGGTCGAACCATCCTTGCCTTCAAGGCTGGTCGTGCTTTTCGACGCGCTGGAACCAACTTCGTCGATGCCTCCCCCACCAAAGGCGCGATTGTCTTGACCAATGAGGAAGGTCTCATACACTTCATGTGGAAAGACCGAACGACAGGGGAAGTGGGCGAGGATTTAATATTGTTTCCTGGTGATGCAAAGTTGGAAAAGGTCCCCCAAAGTAGTTGGGGCAGGACCTATGTCCTTAAATTCGAGAGCTCCGATCAAAAACATTTCGTATGTATCTCACTGCAACTTTTTGGTGTTTCATTGACTAACTTCGCTTCCTCTATGTCAGTTCTGGTTACAGGTGTGTTTATTCCACCAAATTGGTTTGATATATATTTAATGGTCTTGCAGGATGCTTCGACACGCCGCGATGAAGAATTCGTGACGAATTTGAACAGAACGCTAGCTGATCCCAATATTATCGCTATCTGGGACGCGCGCAACGTTTATCCAACTTCGGAAGCATCTACATCTGCTACTGGTGCATCCATCTCTCCACCCTCAACTGTGTAGGTCATCCTTTCACTTGCAGCATAGTGGGCGATTCATATTTACATTTTGATATATAGACAGCCAGTCATTCCAGCGACTAGTAATCCCACGCCAGCGGGTACTACCCCAGAACAACTCGCGCAACTTCGTGGAATTGTTAGCTCTATGACTGGCTTCACGAGTGAAGATGGTATCCGCATTTTCTCGATCAGACTACATCATCGTTAACAAAATCCACAGAACTTTGGTTGACAGACGTCTTGTCCTCACAAAATTTGCTTCAACTTTTCCAATCACACCCTGAACTCCTCTCATCACTCTTCCCTCATCTTCCACCCGAACTTATCCCATCGTCAGACGCTACGCCGCAACAGGCAGTAGAAATATTACAGCGCACGACTAATTCTCCACCTTTCCGCTTGGCTGTGGCACAGCTTGATCGAGCGCTTCGCACGGGTGCCCTTGGTGAATTTGTGAGGAGCCTTGGTCTTCCGGAGAGTGCTGCGATGGGTGTTGGCGCGTTCCTAGCTGCTATAGCTGAACAAGCAAGACAGGAAGGCGGTACTGAAGAGCGGATGGAAGAGGATTAGGGAGTATGAGTGTCGATCGGACTGTTCTTTTAGTTACCGCTGTCATTCCAAGCGCACTGAGATTCCTCAGTATTGGTGTGCAAGCTTATACATTTGCCGTTTTGTTCGTTCCGTGTGACTTCTGTGCAGGAAACTACAATGCAGCGGAGTGTACATATGTCTTCACAAGTTGAATTCATACACGGGAGCTAAGTGTATTCTGCTACAACAGACAATTACCGAGAGTGACGATTGCTCTGGGGCAAGATATCCAGTCCCAGGGTACGTGGCGTGAAGCACGGGCCGATTCACTAGATAGCTTCTTCGATGTGTCTTTTCTCATCCAGTGACATACCGCTGAATGTGATCTACATGAGCGACATGCAGTTTCCTGTCAATTTTTTGCGTTGTTGTCCTTCAAACTGAAAACTGCAACTACTAGCTCTTCATCTACGCAGCCCTCTGCGCAGGTTATCTCCCCCCCATAGACGGGGACAGTCAAGATATTACTGAACTATTTGAACAAAGTCTAGAGAGCAAATTTGAGACTAACCAAGCTTGCCCCCCCCCCCCCCCCCCCATCGCGCATTCAGGAGTATGGACAAGTACCAGATCTGGCGTCACACATCCGAGATTACTTGCGTCAGACGCCGATATCATGCAGACTCGACAGCAGCACATATCATCAGGGCCGGATTCACCGGCCGTATGCGACACCGGAGCGGCTGGTATAGCTGTGTTCTGAACTATGTCAAATTCTTTGAGAAACCAATCACAACGACTCGGAGGGTCCGCCTCGACAGCACGCTCATGCCAACATTTGTCTTATAATCGTACTTGGGGTCACCAGCGAGGTCACTACGCCAGCATTTTCAAAATGAGCAATGTTGGTTTGCTTCATTTATAGCACCAGTCGAAGTGTACCGTTTCTTCTTAGTGACCTTATTTCTCGTACTTCGCACAAAATCGTTAATGGCGTGATCATGGATGACTCGGAATTTCAAGTCGTACATACCACGTGCAGAAAACGGGGCTAACGAAAAGGGTCAAACAAGGGGTTGTGAAATGTTGGACAGATTGGTGATGTGGGTCCAAGAAAGGAAAACATACATATACAACCCATTCACCTGACTAGTCCACACCCGTTCTGCCTTCGGCACAGGAAGCAAAAAAGAGTGCTTCGCACTCTTTTTTTAGCTTCCTGGCCTCAGCTTCATCCCAATAATTCTGAAGGCTCCTGATGAGCATTGTTCCTTCGTCACAGGAAGCCAAGGAGGGCTGCGCCCTCCTTTGGCTTCCTGGCCTCAGGCTGCATCCTAATAAATTGTGTATTTTGAATAAGATCATGCCCTGATAGTGGATTTTGAAAATACATTTATGAGCAGCATTTCAAAAAAACTAAAAGTAGTACAATCTATGTAAATGTATGTAGTACATAGGATCATTCAATTCTACATTCTTTGAGCAGGAGTTTGACAGAAGTAAAATTACAAAAAATATGTAACAGTATCATTAAATGTATTTATTTTCCCATTTTCCCTGCTTCCCATCTCTTATTGTCTCCCGTCTCCCGTCTATTGTCTCCCGTCTCCCGTCTCCCGTCTATTGTCTCCCGTCTCCCGTCTCCCGTCTCCCGTCTCCCGTCTCCCGTCTCCCGTCTCCCGTCTCCCGTCTCCCGTCTCCCAGTCCTCCCTGTTTCTTTAACTCCCATCTCCCATTCTCCCAGTTGTGCAGTTTCCCATTTTCCTGTCCTCTCATTCTCCAATTTTTGAGTATCTGTCTTTTGCTCCCTTTTTTGATGTTTCACAACTTTTTCTGTCATTTTCTCCTGATCTCTTTTATTTCCTTCACCACATATATTTGTTGTTCCATTTTAGTTTTATTATTTACTGTATGTATGTACCATAAACAATTACAATAGGGAAAATCCTGCGTAGTGTGCTGCTCCAATGGTTATGGGCAACGGAAATCGAGTCGGCGCTCGAAAACACGTGACAAAGCCACGCGAGTTTCCAAAAACAGGTTTAAGCGAGGTAAGCGAGGTAAGCGAAAACCATGTGGCCTTAAGCGTATCTAGGCGAAAACCACATGGCCCTACGCGAAAACCACGCGAGCGCCCGTGCGTTCCCGAAAACCGTTCTCCCTTTCTTCTTAAGATAACATTTCATACTTCTGTTCGGAAAACATTCACAAGTTCCGAATGGGCACGAGAGCGTGATGAGATATTGCAAGGGAAGATCATTGGGGAGCTAAAGCGATCAAACTGTTAGTGACAGGAAGATGGAATGATGCGAGAAAAACCAAGTACCGGAAGAGTCCCATCGTGAATTGGGGGGTGAATTCGATCACTTTGCCCTGATCGTCTTTGGCAGAAGAAAACTCTACCGTGGCCAACATAGTAACAATGGCGGACCATACAGAGGCATCAGCAGCATACCGGCCTGATCAAAGAATGTATTAGCTCTATACAGTAATGAAATGACTCAACCCACCTGGACATCCACGCCGGCCAAAGCCAAAAATATATCCAGCGGGGTTATCGTCTGTTAATGCGCCGTTGACGTCTAGGAACCTTTCCGGCATAAAACGAGATGCATCAGGGTACCGCTTTTCATCTCGTGTAATGCCCCTGCAATATAACATCAGTATTTTGAAAGCTAGAGAGGATTTATCTGACCATGTATTCCACATGATGGTTGTTCCTGATGTACGATATTACAAATGATGTACTCGATGAATAAGAACAGCAGACCTTTCGGAATGAAATAACCATTATATGTATCATCACTCATACTGGCATGTGCAACGCCTACAAATCAACCTTCAGCAAAGCTAAAATAGCATAGCAAGGGGGATTACCAAGGGGTCCGATAGGCTGCCATCGCAAAGTCTCCCGAAAAACTGATTCGATATATGGTAGTGACGGTCTGTCCTCAAAGGTGGGTAAGCGATCCAGCCCAACCACTGAGTCGATCTCTGCTTGTGCGCGTCTCTGAACATCTGGATACAATACCATGGCGAGAGAAAAAATCATCAAGATCGACGTGGTCTGTGAAAGGGGTTAAGCAGCAGACAATGTGAGTCCGACATCTGCTCACTGTCTCGTATGCACCTGCATGAATATCTATTAAAGAGCGCCGTATCCTCCATAAAAAGGTGACCAACCTATAATAGCAGTAGTCGCTGCTTTCTTTAAGGCAGTCTTGAACATGGGTTTTGATGCCTGATCTATCTTCTCCATTCGTTGCAAATTGTCTGATACCATTGAAACCTGGTCGAGGGACAAATTTTCAGCCTTAACGAGCACATGATCAACATCTAGGACCGGACTAGATTGAACAAGATATACACCATATGGTCCTGCGCATATTGGAACGGCACGTCGGTCATTTCTCTCATGCGATTGGCCGACGTTCGAGCATCGCGTTTGATTGAGGATCCCCAACACCAGTCAGGTAACTTCAGTACTGCGTGATGGTACAGAATGTCAACTCTTTCCACGAGAAAGAATGCTGAGCTTACAAAAGGAGAAAGCCTTGAGCAGAGCTGCTCTCTCCGGGGTCACCACTGCAATGCCAACAGCCAGTGCATTTTCTACGATTCGAACCAGAGGATCATCACGAGGACTGGTTTGGTAGCCGTAGGTCGTTGACATCGCAACAGATGACGAGAACCTATGGACAGGTTAATAAAAATTCGATGTTTACAGATACATCGACTGACGTTGCAAAGTGAGAATGGTAATGGTGAGGGTCATCGATTAGATTGACGATCATTTCACCAGCCTGCTTGATTTGCATTGGACGAAACTTGAGCGCAGAGTCGGGACGGAAAGTTTGGTGGATGAGTCGTCGACAAAGACGCCATTCGTCACCATAGCCTGTGAGTACAAAGAAGACCGACCAACCAAATCTGCCTGGACTCCATAATGACTGAATGGAAGAATTTTAGAAGAACGCACGGCTCGACTGTGGCTAAATATGGACGATCAGAGTAAATGCGACCACGCTTGTCCATTAAGGCTTCTGCAACGTGCTGAGAGCTGATCACTACGGCATCCTGGTCCAGAAGTCGCACGAGAAAGAAATCTCCTGATATAATGATCTGCACAACATATGCCCCGTAGTACTGTCTGACCACGTACCATAAGTAGCAGCCCATTCGGTATAAGTCAACCATGGCGCCTTGGCGTCGAGAGACAAGAAATTTCCTAACAGTGGGAGCGGCACGGGACCGGGGGGAAGTTTGTTCTGTCGGTTCCTAATGAACCTCCTGAGGGATGTGATGATAACAACAGAAGCAGGTAAGACGGCGAGGATAGTAAGGCGACCATCAACTGAAGGAAACATGGTTAGAGCGGTGCGTGGACAGACGCACAAAGGGGACTTTATAACTGCACGGAGAGCTGCTTACCACACCCTGTACGTGGTGTTCAACTCCCACGTTAGCGGGAGGAGGGCTTTGTCCAACGTAAAAAGGTGCTAGTGTGGAGTGAAGCTTAGGTGATGCGAAGATGGGCCTTCCCCAGGTTATGCGGAGGTTACAAATAGTCTTATCGGATTGACCACAAAAGAGATCAGGTATATGTCGAGGGGAGGACAAGGGACTCCCGCCCCAAGCCGTGTGCAAGACAAAGGCACAACTAAACTGGGAAGCAAGCCTGAAAATTCTGCATGCAACCTTGTTAGAAGTTCGAGAGTGCCAATAGTGGAGGACAGAATGGGAGGACTAATATCCAAGAGCTTGAAAGATATCGGGTGGAACTCCTGACAGTAGACATGCCATTGTTCCATCAATGCTAAATGAGTGACCCGGGTAAGTGGAGAGACCAAAACTGGTCTCGTTGATGACACAGGTGACAGAATGACATCTTCGTTGCGCGTTTTTATTACTTTGGTGGAAGTTAAGTGTAGTTTGCGCGATCCATTGAAGTTAAGAAGTAGCGAGATTGCGTCTGCAGGTAACATGTGTCAATATTGCGATGGATGAACTCTCCCACTGCAATAAAATTTCTCCCAAACAGAGTCGACCCTAAGTTGCAGAAGTGGCGAGCGTGGGACAGCAAATATTGCAAGGATTGGAAGCATCTAACTTGAATGCAAGGATCAGAGCATAGCTCTTGTAATGGGTGGTCACAAGTCGCGGGGAACGTTTCGAAGAAGCAGGCACTGATTTAGATTTACGTTGATCATGTAGTTACATAAGATATGTTGTTTACATAATGATGGTTGGACCCGGCATGAATTTTTTTTTATGTATTATCGTCTTCGTTGTCCTACTCGTCAGAGCTCGCGTTCTCATCCTCTAACCTTTTGTTCCAACCCTAGTGCCCATGAACGCCACCGATGATCTCTTTGCATCCTGTCCATATGCATAATCCTTGACACCAATACCGTTTCCACTCCTTGAGACCTGCAGGATAGTTATGCCACCGATATCGTCGCCAGTTTTTTTAACAGCGCATCAAGACCGGCCAGTACGTCCACACCAAGATCCAACGCTAGATCTTATCGCGCACGCAGTCGACATCCCCTCTCTTGTTAGCTCTCATCAACCCTCCTTGTTAGTTACCGGTACTGCTAGTATTGGTGCGGCCTTCACATTCTTTCCACTGCATCCCGAAGTTTTTCTTATTTCCCTAGCTTGCAGCTACACATTGTACATACTACCCTACCCGATATCTCAATATTCAGTGCCAGTCGAGGTGCAGTACTTCGCACTAAACTGTTAATGGGCGTGATCATGGATAACTAGTCGACTTCCTGCAGCCTGCAGGTAACGTTGTTCTATGTAAACCTAATTCTATGTTTGTGCCGACGTGCCGCTGTCAAATGTCAAGACCGCATGTCAAAAATACCGCGTCGTTCGATAAATACTACCGCTCCTGCTCTGAGAAACCAATTACCACTCGATCCGCTTCAACAGCACGTTCATGCGACCATGTGTCTTGTAATTGCACTTTGCATTGTGTACCTTACGGACAGACTCCACAAAAACTGAAGCCAATTGAAACTACAGGGTACTTGGAGTCATCACGCTAGGGTAGTACCCGGAGGTATATTCTTGTATTTTCGGAGCATTTGAAAAATGTGCAATTGGTGATCCCATAATATATCAAGTTGAGCAATGCGGTGCAGATGTCGGACTGCGCCAGGTGTCACAAATTCAATCCGTTCAAAGAATTACAGTACTCTGATGTGCTTCTTCCCCATGCCTGTTCAAGTCGTGGTAGGTTTCATAGCAGTATGTCTACATTAAATAATGCGCGCTATTAGATGCCTGAAAATGAATGATGTTGACTACGTCACATCAATCATGCGGTGAGTCGGCATAACACCTTACAGGTGCTAAGCCTAATGACTACGATCTGAGAGCCAGCGGAGAACTATGTCCCTACAAAGATGATCGTATAATTAGTCAAGAATTCAAGGTTCAAAGGAGTTCATGATAGAAAAGTGGAACGCACAAATTATGTTGGCTTTTCATCGAACACTGATAGAGAATTAGCGCACATGGTATCCAGTATGAGAAGGCTCACCGAGTAACACTAAAACGATATCTCATTAGTGTGTTGAAAGCTTACAATAATTCCGAGAGACGTACTGAGACTGGGCGGTCTTGTATCTTGTCCAGTTGACTTCCCTCAAGATGAGTGGGCATGCAGTACTAAAGACACTGTACTCACAGGTCGCGTATAAGATCCTTGACAGATGCATGCGATGGAATGTCATTCTTGTTTCCAAGCTGCTTCGATGTAAGCAATCCTGTAGATGCCCCGAGGTAGTAAACTCACCACCAAAAGAGGAACACCTGTTAGATTGGGCTGTGCCAATAGTTGGTGCAATTCGAAGCATGCCGTGTCAAACTTCTCTTGCTGTAAGTAGCCATCGGCGTTAGAACTAAGAACTGCCAATTACACAGCAAAGCCTACATCAGCTGAGTCAAGTACAAATCTGTAGCGAAAGAACATTCTGCAAATAAAACATGCTATCAAACGCAAAGAAACGGACGACGTACACTAAAGCATCGACTCCGTTGCAATAGCGCTCCCACATTGAGCGAAATTTGGGCTGTCCTGCGACATCCCATATCTTCAGAGTCACAGCGCCTTTGCGTACCTTGCGATAGTTGAATGCGATAGTTGGAACGACGTCTTCTGACCACTAAGTGAGGGTAAGCCGCTTGGGCGAAGGAAAAGCCATGAATGAAACAGTCGCACCTGCCCCGACCCGATGACATTCACAAACGAAGTCTTTCCAGAAGCCTTCGTGAATGAATTTGAGTACCATTTCCTGAACTTGGAATACGAATCCACGCACCTGCAGCCCAACCACAGATATTTCAGCGGCTTTGGAGAAGAATATGCTGCGGGATTTAATATGTAAGATCTTGTCCACTTCAAGAAAAGGCTGGCTTACCTACTGAACCATGAGAGTATCGAGGATATAAAGGTCATGGTGGACTGCTCGGTGCTCAGCGCTCGACGGCCGAGTCCTTGAAGGTTACAGTGCTAGTGATACTATTAATGACGAAGGTGAAATGACCCGCAGGAGCGTGGGAATTATATATTAATTATAGTAAAGCTCCCGTGGCCCAGGCCTGACGAGCTCGGAATCATTTTGCTTGAACGACTTTTATCGTCTTGGATTGGTTACCCATAGCTGGAAACCCCCACTAGTCAAGTTGCATGGTCACGGTAGGCTAGAAGTTCGAACTGGACAGTTCATGGGTGCCAACTTAAGGTATTTGACTGGTAGTGCAAATTTAAATAATATGATCTGACGAATCCATTTCAGTTCAACGTTGCTGGCCTCAAGCTGGCCCTCATCAGACGTAAATATACCACATATAGGCTTCCAGACGGGAATATTGCATATATGGGTATATAAAGCTCGTCGCGATATACTACCAGAGCGATGTACATGTGAGCTTTCAACGTTTCAACCCTGTCCAAGTCCCCTTTTGCTGTTAATATCAGTGTCACCCGGCACAAGGGAACTTCAATCGTGTTCGCAATAAAATTTCAGATGACATTATTTGGTGAACGTCAAGCGCAGCCAGCATGTTGTATGTAATATGCTGCAGAAAGTCTCATTTCCATCAGGACACGAGAACATGACTGCATGGAGGTTTCGCACACTTCTTCCATTTTGCTTTCGTCAAATAGGTGAATCGGGATCCTGTTCGAATGAAGCCTGGTTAAGTTCTAAACTTGTAAAGTGATCAGGCTGTCCAGACTCTACATCCTTCAAACTTCCTCGTCATGAATATTGTTCACTGCACATCGACACTACCACGACATCACATGCACTTTCCATAGCCAGTGCGATAGGTCAGTAGATTTTTTTCTACGAGTGTTCATCGTAGTCAAGATCTCAGATCTCAATAACAAGTTGAACGATGAGGAAGTTTTGAAAGCATACCACAGGAGATGTGTCACGTACACTAGCTAAGTAGTAGGGTTTACTCGTGACTACTTCATATTGGAGATTTGGGTACAATTCAGCCAAAGAATTTAGGACTGACATGCCTTGGGCTACGACGTTCAGTTCCAAATCAAGTAACCGACCTACTACGGTCCGGCGGTCCGTATAATGGCATGACTCTGGTAACGCCCCGGCACGGATCTACTATTGCAATCTTTCAGTCATTTACAAGAATCACAACTCATTCACTTCATCACTTCATTCAACATCATGTCCGGGTTGACTTACTTCGGTTAGTGCTTCCAATATGGACTTATCGACGAAGGGAGACTGACTCATTTGAACGCAGCGAGGTCGCACGTGCAGAGGACGTTCGAACAGCTTATGAATGTGCTTCCATCGCAGCTGAAGGAGAAGGTAGCTCGATATGATATCTCGAAGACCAACGTTAGCATTGATCAACGCGATTAGCCCCAAGTTATTCTTCTTGCAGGAGGAAACACACCCTTCCGAAACGACACAGATCGCGAGCTACCATTTCGCCAAGAGTCTAATTTCTACTACCTCACAGGATGCTCTGTGCCAGGATCATTCCTTCTTGCTCTGTATCATCCTGAACATACAAGTTCTTCCACAAGGCTGAACGTCAGACTATCCATCCCGGAAGTCGAGGCCGCAGACCTTATGTGGAGTGTTCCTCCACCCACGATCGAGGAAGCGAAGCAGTTGTTCGATGTGACCGACATTTCGTATAGCTCAGAGCTACAAGGTGCAATTACATTACTCCTCCAGTCACATCCCGAAGCTGTCTTCCATACCCTGCCGCGCAACTCGCCTCAATTTCCCACCTTACCCGAGGAGTACATGACGACTATTATCACATCAGAAACCCACACCGCGACAGATGCATACTTACTCTCTTCCTTACACAAAACACGATTGATCAAAGATGAGAACGAGATCACGATGCTTCGACGCGCAAATGACATCAGCTCCAGGGCGCATGAGACTGTCATGCGCGTTTTGGGCAACGCAGTACAGGGTAAGATTGCTCAGGGAGAAGGTGCAGGCATTGATCGTCCACTTCTTCCTGGGGAGTGGCTGATTGAGAAAGAGGCGGAGGCGGAGGCAATCTTTGTTGCGTCATGCCGGCGTGAAGGGTACGAACGCATCAAGTATTGATGCCCGATAACTCACCAATGACACCAGGGCCGTTCATCAGGCATATCTCCCTATTGTCGCGGCTTCCAGGAGAGCCGCTACGTTACACTACTGCTGTAATGACCGAGAGTTCACCTGGGGACCTGTAAAGCCACACGATCATCTGAACCACGGCGCCTTGGCACACGGTCCTGCACCCGAAAAGCAGTTAGAGCCTCAGCTGCTCCTTATCGACGCAGGATGTGAATGGGATTGCTATTCTGCGGACAGTAAGTTGTGGCGACTAAGTGCCAGACAGGTCTGAACTTCTATCTTCAAGTTACACGCACGATGCCTGTTGGCAACGGTGGAAGGTTTACTGAGAAAGGGAAGCAAATATACTCTCTTGTGTTGGAAATGCAGCAGGTAGGTTCAGCATGCATCCTTTGCACTGTCATGTGACACTCTGCATAGAAATCGATGAAAAATCTCAGACCTGGTGTCCACTGGGATAACATCCAGCTGCTCTGTCATCAGATTCTCGTGGAAGGGTTCCTCAACATCGGACTCTTCAAAGGCCCCAAAGACGAGATTCTGCGCTCTGGAATTAGCTCGGCCTTTTTCCCTCACGGAGTCGGGCATTCGCTCGGGATGGATGTACACGATGTCCCAAGTGCAAGCAAACCAACCAACAACACGACCATTCCACAAGATAAAGCCGGCCACCCCAGTTTTTACAGGTACCTGCGGCTCCGGTTGCCGCTCGCAGAAGGCATGGTTGTGGTATGTTCGAATCCCTTGTGTAGATTATTCACCTGCTTACTTCGATAGACCGTTGAGCCGGGGATCTACTTCCATGAACATCTACTCAAAGCTATAGAGGAGTCGGAGTATGTGAACCACAACTTATTGAAGGAGTACCGCGGAATGGGCGGCGTGCGTATTGAGGACGACATATTGATCACTTCAGATGGGTGCGAGAACCTCACCAAGGTTAGGAGTGATGTTGAATGGCTGGAGTCGGTGTGTTCTGGGGAGATTTAAATGTAGAAAACCGTTTGTAAGGTATTCGTGTGGATGATGGTTTCAATGAAAATCGGTGGAAACACACTAATGTTGGGTGTTTAACAGGAATTGAAATGGCATGCAGTCAATGAAAAAATGCACAACGTTGCAGTGTTGAGCTAGTAATACTTGTAACTAGCTCAACATCGCGATGGCTAGGCATGCCAACGAAATTTATTGGGTGACTTTTATCCAGCACAAGATTTCAGCAGCGACTTCTGATCAGGGATCATGTAGGACAAAAAACAATATTACTCTTTCTAGCCCCAGTAATTTCTCAAGGTGGTCGTAATATCCTGCTCTCGCCCATTGCTGCCGGATTCATATACTTATCCCTAGAATAACGCGAACATTTGAAGCACCAATCTATCAAATAACTATAGCTATTAACGGGTATCAGTCGGACGCTGAGTGATATCCACCTAGTGAGTCGCAGCAGATAAATTTGAACGCTTCCCGCTTGGGAGCGCCGTAGGGTGAGTATTAGTGCATAATGTTCAACAGCCGATCTCATCTATCTCGGTGCTGTAAGGACTACTGAGCGGTTGACGCCGGAATATAGCCGAAGTAACGCTCACCTCTACCATCACCATCGAAAACTTCAGCACGGACCTCGTCATCATCCTATCCTTGTTCGCCATCAATGCCTCATATAATCGACCCTTATTATTCTCGTCTCCGTTATCCTGCTCGCAGCCGAACCGCCGAAAACTGTCAAACCCATGCGCACTCTCGTTATCCTGTCAAACCACATCAGTGAACCGGTGAAGGTTTTAGAAAGGTATATATGACGATATATAGTACATAATCACAAGAACCAGCATAATTCTGCTATCGAGCATCACATTGTTATATTTGACCTTGTAGAGGAAAGGACATTTCCTGATTGTGTTACGAAGGATTATGATTGGGAAAAGGTCCTGGTGTCACTCACACTCAAACTTGGAGGAATTTGTGTCGTGCTTCCACTATTAGCACCACCTTCTTGAAATGGTTGACTGTCGTCTAGTGTATGCCAATCTTCCATGTAAGAACGAGCGCCTGTATCTTCTAGGCGACGCGAATGTGCTCATCGAGCGAGCGGGCCCAAATTTGCGTCCTGCTTCAGCTAGTATCAACTCTTTATTGGAACGGTTGATTTCCCTCAGGTGTGTGTCAATTTTTCATGCAAGAATGCCTTATTGGAACGGTTGATTTCCCTCAGGTGTGTGTCAATTTTTCATGCAAGAATGAAAGCTGGTATTTTCCAGACGACGGGAATGTATTTATCGAGCGAGCGAGCTGGAAATACGGACCACAATGGCGAAACTAAACATGAAAGTGAGCACCGTCCCAAAAACAACCATGTGTTAACCGATCAGCGACAATGCATGAATTTTCTGTAAATATAACGGTCAAGCCGGGTGAACCATAACCGTCATGTTGGAAGTGATTTCTGTAACTTGAAAGCTAAGCAGGAAAGCGAGCACCTTCCGAAGAACAACAATGCATTCATCAAGTGAGCGACAATAAATAGGTATCCCGCTTTGAATTTTGACGCCATCTGTTTGAAATGCTTGGTGTTCGTAAATCATAGGACAACTGTTCATGTAACACTGAAAAAAAGTGCCTTCCAGAGGGTGACAATATGTTCATCACGCAAGCAACAATTAACTCATATTCTCCTTGAAATTTTGAGCCACCGTCTTTAGACATCGAATTTTGGTTAGTCTTTTCTTAGATTATCTAATAACTGTCTGCTTTACATTGGTTAGCAATCCGTGGGAAGAAGTGTTTGCTTTGCGCACCAGCCGAGGTGTGTTCACAGAGCGGGCGATAATCAATTTATGTCCTCCTTCGACTTTCCACATGACCTTCCATGAGTTTCCAATGACTGACAGCTTTAAGTCCACTTGTCCTGCATCCCAAGAATCTGTAGCTCTGCACCAATGTTGCAACTTCATGATTCACCATCTTAGCTCAGGGCTTGATAATGGTGGGTCATGGCTTGCCTTGATATCTCACTTACCATTTGATAGACATCTTATATATTACATACGTATCACTGCAATTGGGTATCTCTGCACCGTGCTGCAGGATTTTTGCACGTGCGTATTCGTGACCCCGGTAACATAATTCCTCCGATGAACAACAAAGTCACCGTTTGGCGCAGTTATGTGTTTGTTACAGGCTGTTGGCACAAAGCTAAAAAATATAGAGACCGCGCAGCCTGCGCTCTTTCATCTAGATGCATCTTATCAAACTCAACCTGAAAGATCCGCGCACCAGGACTTGAATGATGGCTTGGGGATTGTTCCCATGCGTGACGGCCCGTTTGCACGAAACTGAAAAGTTATAGGGACAGCGCAGCCTGCGCTCTATGCATGCGATATTTATGCGTGGCAGAGATCACTCTAATTATTCAGTTGCACATAACATTAATTTTATCAACATCATTAAACCATCGCATTGATTAGCAAACAACAGATCTAATACGAAACACAGTAATATCTAGGGTGAATCAAACGCGGCGTCATCACGTTGTGCTCTCTGCCTTACGAGAGCGTTGACAGACATATTGGCCTTCATTGCGTCGCTAAGTTCGCCTCGGCGATTCCTCCCAAAAACTTTTCTGAAAATGGAATTCTAGCAAGGCTTGGTTTGGAGGGAAAATTACGCACCTAGTCCACCATTCGAGAAGTTGCTGTACCCTGCGCTGCGCTTCTCGACCAGGGGCCCTTTCGAAAAAGTCAACGATGGTCTGCCAGAATTGTTGGTAGTCGAAGTCGCCATCCATGGACCGCCAGGAGGTAACTGAAGAAAGTGCGAATCGCACCTGCGAGTATATAGTGAAGATATATCATAAAATAGACTGAACAATACAACTTACTTGACATGTGATATATGCGATCGAGCGAGGAGTGACTTTCTCCAAATGAATGATTTGTGCTACGTGTTTTTTGACCTTGATTCCAGATAAAGACTTCTTAGCCCGTCAGTTGTTGCTGATGACATCCGCGCCGTCGCCGTCGCCTTCGACGTCTTTTGCTGAGGAAGGAGACGTGAACACAGCCTTGTAGGCCTGAAACACCAGTCAGTTTGCTGTCAGGCTGCTCCGGTACGACAAACCTGAATGAGAATCTTGCCCTTGAAAAGGCCCTCCTCAAGATCGTCCGGATTGGAAGTGTACTTATCATACAAGTAAGTGGGAAAGGATAGATCTGTGACGATATACCCATCTGAGCGATTTCGGATGCCTGCCCTTACTCTGGTGAACTATGAGCGTCGTCTCTCAGGCTCGGGATACCGAAGCCACTACTTACTCTGGGTTATTCCAGTCAAGCTCTGCCGGACAGAGCAACCTGCCACACACATCATGGGTGAATCCACGGGAATGCTTATCGTCTTGGTCAACAGGAAAATCCGGCTTAAATTCACGGTTGATCCATTCCGAAACGAGAGTCTTCAGTTTCGAAGTGTCATCTCCTCGAGCGCCATCAGCCCCCTGTCGAAGCTAGACAAAGACTCAGCCGTGACATAACCATTAATATCATTAAACAAACCATCTTTAACATGTGCATGTACTCCTCGTACTCCATCTCTGAACCCTTCTTGTAGAACCACGGCAGCGTTTTGGTTAGGGTAGTATAACCTATTTGAAGTCGATCCTGTCTACGTAACCACGTTAATGAGTAATATACCCGATCCAAGAGCAAAATACTTACTCGATGGTAGTCTCCTGGTCTTCGATCTCATATCTTCTGTCGTTTTCGGCGACGAGGTCCTCGATACTATCGAACAGGGCGACAACACGCCTGATTGCTCCTCCTTTAGCAACATACCAGATTGTTTGCCTAACAGATGGTGAGCAATGCAACTGAATACTGCGTGCGATAGCAGCCACACCTTTGCTTGACTGCGCGGCCCGACTCCAGGGCCTCCAGCTTCTCCTCCAATTGAGCGATTTTCCGTCTCTGCAGAGCTTGCACATGTGCCGCTACTGCTTGAGATTGTTGCGGCTGAGTGTCACCTCGGTCCTGCTGATTCTCAGCGTGCGGGGTGCTGCCTTCGCCGTCGACGTACGACGTGTCGTCCTCGTCCTGCTGGCCCTCGACATGCAACATAATGGCAGGAACTCGAATAGGTTAGCGAACGACTGAAACAGTCCCTGAGGGATGAAGATAAAGTGAGAGCGAGGAATAAAACTAACCCGAGCCAGCTCACATTTTATATGTTAGCCAAGGCCAGTCCTAGTTGCCTAATAAGAATACTGGGAACTAGTAAATCACGCTAGCACAAGCGATTAAGTCGCTTGAACAATTTGATACCTGTTTAGGAAAATGGTTAACATTAGCAAAATAAAGTTGGATGAAAAGTCACTAACGGCGTGGCAAATATGTACAGCGCTTGCGCTGCAACTGGAGCGACTTCAAGAGACTGAGCATTACGCGGCGCTCCGAGACCAATAGAGTCGGCCTTGGCAGCAAAAGCATTATCTGCACGTTGAGGAAGAGATGATAATGATGTAGTGGATGCAGTCAGACCAAGTTTTGCAGACGGAACGGCGAACTGAATATCGCCTGTGGCGTTCTCTCCAGACTCAGACTTTTCAATCTTATGACGTTTCGCCTCTTGGTCTTGGCATTGCTCAGCTGAGATATGGTAAGTTTCTAAGGCGTGGACGGATCACATCATAGATACTCACTCTCTTGTCGCTTACGGAAAATCAATAGCCTGTTCCAAATCAAAAGGGAAGGGCGTATTGTTCACATTCAACTCGGATTCCAGATACTCGCGCAGAATGGCGATATCGAGGAAAATGAACGGTTTTTTTTCCGGTGGAGGAGGCTTTTTAATATCTGATTTCAGTGCTGTACATTGAGCGGCATAGTGACCTTCTTGTCCTCACATTCGGCACCCGGAACCTTTGTCCTGCGCAAACACATCTTCCCGAAGCACTCGGAAATATGGTTCATGGGTCGCGAGGGCGAGCATGATGAAATCAGCATCCTGAACATACGGTCAATAACATAGAACACGATAGCGGGAAATCAACCCACCAAGCCATAAATTACGTGTCGAGTATTAGGCTCATGACCGGGATTTGTGCGTTGTCTGCGTATGAAGTCCATAATCTTATGCTCTCCTTCTCCAGGCACACTTGCATCCGAGATAATGACTGGCAGCTATACCAGAAATGAGTCAGAAGGATCCCTAGGAAACGTTCACTACGTACATCTTTCCACCCTGGATCGGTATTCATCTTCTCCACAACCCAGTATCGTGACGATGCTGTTAAAAGGTTCATAAACGGCGTACCGGGTGTGATAGCGTTAGAGTCCCAAGATTCCTTGTTTTTCTCGTCATCAGTAATAATTTTACCCATAGCTGCAATGATGAAATCGGTCAGAAATCCAGCATAGATTGGCTCTGAGAACGACGTACCTTCCCACTCAGCGACAGCAAGTTTATGAGCTTCCACCTTGTCTTTTGCTACTTGAGCAGTCCTGAACCGTCTACCTCGCTGTTCATTCATCTTGGCACGAGGTGCAACGCCGTCTAATTCCACTCTGCAGTAAGTTCGTGGTATGAGACAACATAAATGTAAAGCGCACCAATGGCCATGAAAAGAAGTTTGCGCGGCCGCACCATGTTAACCACTCTGTTAGTGTATTTGAAGATTTCAAGCATCATTTCCTCCTCCGTTTCTGGAGCCGGCTGCGGAAGACGAGTCAGGGAGTAAAGCAAATTTATAGAACGAAGTATACGTACTTTGCCCTCGGGATGAGTACAAGGATGAACCTTTGTGCGTATGGATGGTCAGCACGAAAAACGTATTTACTACGATCACTCACGATACCGTTCATATCCAGGTATAAGTTGTCGAATTCCTCGCCATTGGGGTTAGGTTGTGTGATGTCAACGGGAAGTTTGATAGGATCTCCAGCTGCGTCGAGAATTTCCTCCTCCTCAGCTTCAACGACAGATGATACTGGTAGTTGTTAGCCAAGCAAATACCAGTTAAGCACCGGTTGCTCACCAATCTTCGGATATTTCTTGCTCAACCAACGGAACAGTGCGGGAATGCCCTATAAACAAGGTCAATGAAAGCCCGATTCACATTTTTTAGGATTCGCGTTCACACGGCCTTACACCATGGAGGTTGAAATCACAATGAAGAGTAGTCGGTCGTGCTGAAGACGTGCCTTGGAAGAGCCACATCAAGCCATAAGAAAAAACGTCCAGTGCGCCGCGGTCCCTCCATGCCATCAACAGCGAAAGCATCAAGTATCAAGCTCAAGGGTCAGTCCGCCGTGTTGAAGACGTGACTCGAAGACTTCGCGCTTTGTTAAGACGTCACCGACGAAGAATGCGTTTCGTAGGGATGGGATCTGACGTGTCGCTTGTGCGGAGAGTAACTGACCCATAGCAGGGGTTAGGTGCGTGACAGCAACTTTGCTGTCGTCCATTCATTCTGCAAGACGGCCGGGTGTGCCGATGTCTTCTGCGGTGGGTACATGAAGCTCTGCACCCAAGAAGAGGTGCGTGAAAACTGTAACGTTATCCCCATCGACAGTAGGGAGGTCGTGTGACGAAGATGTTGTGATCGGAAGTTAAGCTAGTTGTTCACATAAAATTATCTTGTGGCTGATTATGGTCAATTTGATTATATACAGGTACAAAAATCAAACATCAGTGAGTATTATGGTTAGCGTTGTATATATCTATCAATCTATCATGAGTGCGCAGCTTGTACTGCTGCCACTGCGTCGATAATTCTGGGTTGGGTAGAATGAAGTCGTGAATGTATTTCTGTAGCAATGTATGCTTAGCTTTGAAATTAGTTACCCCAAAATCAATGGTCACTGCAAACTGCCCGCCCGCTAGCTCCATTAGAACACACTCCACGGCCGCTGTAGCTGTGCAATACAAGCTGTCAAGTTCTGTGACGAAAGGCACATAGCCGAGTTTCAGAATCGCGTTGAGAAGAACGGTTTCTATCACGGGATGTTCGAATGCGAACAATTTGTCGCGTTGGAGGTCAGATGAATTCCCGAATATGTACTTTAAGGGGAATGAAGGGTCGTCAATGAGGTCTTTTATCCCATCGATCTGATACTGTGGTTCGGACTCTTCTGACCAGATTGAGGGGCGCAGTTTGTACCCGAATTGAACAACGTCACGGGCGGCTTTCTTGCAGGCTGATGTGATATCAGCGGACGGCGGCACCGTGAAGGTCTTATAGAACGCAGGTAGGTTTTCTTTCGCCCATCCGTTCCCATGCTCTGGTGGAAGTATCAGACACCGTCAATTTTAAGGTACTGCGGCTTACTTTTATCATGTACCTCTGCTGTTGAAACCAGTGCTTGAAGAGCTGCCTCCTTTCTTTCTTGTTCGGTCAAGAAGGGACAATTTACGAGTGCGGATCGAATGAGCGCTACACGTGCCTCTTCGAAAATTCTTCGGTGGATTCGGATCTTGTCGCTGTATTGTAAAGGCGCGATGGCAGATGTCCGTGGGAGGACCATAGGCGGGGCAACACCCGAAGAGCCCTGATAAGTCATCAGTAATTGACGATTTGTAAATCATGATTGCTCACCTTAGTGCTACTGAGGCCCCTCAGCTTTGATCGGGCATGCGGATAGGGCCAAAATTTAATCTCAATCGGTTTTTGCGGCGGTTGGTGACTGCGTGATCCAGATGGACCAGGAACGGGAGGCGGAGGCTCACCGACAGTGAACGAATCTCCAAGAGGTAGTGGCCCGTCGAGGTGCAGCGGTGGCTCTCCAATTTGAAGAGGCTGAATATCTTCTGCTTCTGGTGTCAAAGTAGATATCCCGTCAACGGACACGATGGGAGGAGGAAATGCGGAAAGGTACTGAGGAGGATACAAATGTGGTGGCCCGGAGTCCGCGTAAGGAGCAGAAGAGTTGTAAATCGGATGATACCCTGCCTGTGAATTACTAGGGGCGAAATGAAACGGGTCATGGAGGAGTGACGCTGACGGATTGACGACGTTGAGGTTTGGAAGTGAGTTCGAAGATTGAGAGTCTGCGAGAAAAATCTGATGGCTCGCTTGCGCATTCACAACATCGCCACGGTAGTAGAAGTCCGAGTCATGATGGGAAAACGAAACAGCCTGAGTGTCATTGGATAAGGACTGCTGGTAGCCCAAGTCAGCCTGAGAGCTAGCAGCGAGGGGATAGGTGAAATGGCTGCTCTGGCGGACATTATCATTAGACGTGTCAATAAAAGTGTCAAGGGGCTGTTCATCGTACGAGCCTGAGTGCATTGGAATCTAGTGGCAGTTTCGATGCAACGACAGGTGGCAGCATATAAGTTTTATTGCAGCCGCTAGGCCGAACCATGAGGTACGGGCGCTATTTGGGAGATTCCTGATTTGGCTTTCAGCATCGGCACGATTTAATAATAGATTCAATTCACCTTGAAATTACGCTGCGGTAGCCAGCCCAGAGGGTTTGGGGCGACTTTTAAATTACCTTCTACCACTATTGATAATGGGGTTGCTGCATTGAAAAATTGAGGTAAGAGTCGTAATAAGACATGTTGGGCCGCTAACAACTCGAAATTCCATGGCGATGCGCATCGGACCGAACAAGAACCCCCTTCGCAAGGTTCATCGATTAGCGAACATCGTCACTCGAAGGCTCAAAGATTCTAAGTTTCGAGTCGGAGTAGCTTGATATTCGTCCAAGCTATCATCCATCCTATGGGATGCGGCATACTGGATTGAACATAATATACGCCAAATAGGCAACTAAGGTTATCTTTAACAAGGCGTTGATCCGGAAGATTCAAACAAGTGACTGACGGCATATGTGAGGCTCTGATCTACAGCGTTAATGTTACCGTGATAAATCGTGACCGAGCACGCACTTACCTGCAGAATCCAACATCAAGACTCGCAGACGACCAGTAGCACCACTTGAACAGTACGATAGTCATGAAAACTCAGGGACGGGCTGGCTTGGCCGTCTGGTTTGGGGCAATTTTAAGTTCGAGTTGGTTCGAAATCTGCTGCAACAGGTTAATGCAAGTACTAATGTGATGAAACGCGTAAGAACTTCCCTAATATACGAACGGCTTTGAGCGAGCCCCACAAGATCGATGATCTCCGCTCCAAGTCTATGAAATCATGATGTGCACAGGGCTGTACATATTCAATTATCCGAGTCACTGTGACATTGGTGTCGGAGAGGAGCGGGGAAAAAGAAGACAACGCACGTAAAATAGCAGACACATTGGCAAGACCCTTGTTCTCAAGCTCAGCTCGAAGCCGATTGCTAGCCAATTTCCGGGTGTGCACGTTGTCGTATACTAGTACTCCCGGGCCTCGAGTCATACGGCAGCATTGAAGCTATTCAATGATCTGACGATGCTTGACCCTCGCCAACTCATTCCGGTTATCTGTGTGGTGATCGTACATGCAGTGAATTTTCCAGAAGAGTCCACACATATAATTGCGTAAGTGAATCCCCAAGTGATGCCTGCCGCAAAGGTTCATCAATGCGAGTTATGATTGGCAGGACTGACCGTTGTCAAGCAATCCAAGGTTAGTATTTAAGCCAGAGAGTGCGAAGTACTGTGAAGATATTAGTCTCATACACGTGGCAATTCAAATACCATACCAGAGGCAAAACATGATCGTCACCATATATTCGAGCTTCTCCGTTAGTGCGATAGCAAAGACCGCTTTCGTGGGGAACAACGAATTCTGCCAGGAATCCCCCTACATCCTAGATAAGTATTGAACGTCTGGAATAGGTGACATCACTCACCGAAGAGTCGCATTGGCGATGACCACGGCTAGTGCCAGCAGACTCCAGCCGACTGTGTCTTCAACGTGGGTCCCGATATCCCATGTATCCGACTGATGTAAGACTGTCATCGTATGAACACGTTTTACCTCCTCACTTATCCCACGCGCCAATGAGGGCACGGCAAGACAGTGCTTCTGCAATCGAGACACGTTTCTTTTCGCCTCCTGAAACACCACGAATGGCAGCATCACCGACAACAGTGTTTCGCGCATGACGAAGACCGAAGATGCGCACGAGGATATCAACTACATCACGATTAAACTGTTCACGGGTTTGGTCTATGAACCGAGCATGTGGAGTACGCGTTTTGATGGCGAAAGACAAGGTTTGCTCTACAGTCAAGGTCGGAAAGTGGACATCATCGTCAGGACAGTAGATCACATCTCCACGATACTGTCTTGCAATATCTTTGGGGGTGAAGAAGTCATAGCATACTTCGCTCTGTATAGCATGGTATTCCCCACACTGGTTTGCAATAGGAACGTGCTGCAACCGGAACCAGGTCGTCCGAGAGCTACTGTCGCGAACACGTGATTAGCGCGAAAATTTAACTTCACGTTAGTTCATTAAAACGACTAACGGAGCATTTCACCAGGCGCAACGATACCCTCGAATCCTGAGAAAATATCTCTGACAGGCTGGTTGCACATCGCCGAAGTGTTCCTCAAGATGGCAGCAGGATTAAGCATAGAACCGATGGTGAGCTGTAAAGAGGCACGTGCACTGACACCGACGATACGGAGATCCTTGAACATAACACTAAGCTCGCGGCCCTTAATGGACTCTTCGCCACGACTAGTAATATATCGACAAACGCAACTAATTTCTTTATGGCGGAACTCATCATCTGACGAGGTCTTTGAGCGTGACTTCAAAATCGAAAGCATCATCATCGTATGCTGGAATCACAGAGGATGAACTTGGAGTGTCGATGCCCTTTGCTGAGGCAGGCATAGGAGGCTTGGGTGAACTTCCGCGACGAGAGCTTTCCCGATGATTAACTTGAGAACGTGTGGAACGTGATGTCATTGTGCGTTTAAGTTCGCTAACACCAACTGGGTCAAAAAAATTGACTGGAACGCGAGAGGGAGATGAGTGAACACCTTTGTAGGCCTCATCTTGGTGTGGCTCATCCTGAGGAATATTAATTTCCAGCTGAGAGTCGGGAAGACTCGTGATGAGGTTGAACGTAAAGGAAGGGGAAATGTTTATGCCCAAACGAGGAGCAAGCCATGGCAGATGATGATATAGTTATTATAGTACTTCTGCGAGGTCATAGAGCTCGCACGGAGACCTCCAGCCGTAGCAGGACTCTCACCCACAGAAGTTGAGAAAAAAAATTGAGCCTGAGTCCTCGCGCGAGATCCTACTAACTGAAAATACCATCACGCCGTGACAATTCACGCGCACGTGCATGTCTCCCACGAGACGGGTGGCAAGCCGCATCATCTTTGTAAAATACATCGTCTGGCTTGCCTCATAGACGGGCTGGTGTACTTGCTTGTATACCAGCGTGACTTTCAATTGGTGTTGTTGATGAAACCTATGTAAGAAAGAAGATGATTGAAGCAGTATTTACAGTGTACACTCCGATTTTGCCAACTGCCAGGTACGTGACTAGTACTGACTACCGTGACGTCGGGCCGCCGTGACAGACTAGTAGACTCATCGGATGTCTAATCCAATGGGTTGCATGCTAGACCCGTGCCTACATCTTCTCAGAAGACCTAGTCAAAGTGAGCACGCGTATCTACGAATCCATTGTGTGTCATCGGGTGATGTCTAATCCATTCTCTCGCATATTCTGCACCACCGTGGCAACGTGTACCTTCCAATAGAAACTGTTCTCTCTTCGTCTATTCACTTGTTCACGCATATGGACTTCTGGCAACATGCACTGGTCAAGAGTCCCAACGATTCCTGGTTGTGCGACCACGGCCTGCTGGCCAGAAGGAGTTCTTGGGTTACCATACTCGTGAGTCGTGATTACTATCTCGAATATGTCATGAATCAATCAAGCGATGTGCAGAACCTGCTAGAAGTTTCAGAGTGTGGGCTTGAAGACGTGCGTATACCAAACAGATTGTGTCGTTTCGCGACCTGTCAATGTATCATTATGTAGGACTGCCCCATGTTTCATGGAATCAAAGACTACATCACACTAGTCGCTGGAGTTACCTTGACCGGGGCGGCTGCGACTAGAAACGATATCTCGGACATAGCCATTTGTTGGGATGGCGGAAGGTAAGTGCTCGCTTAGTTTATGGCGAACTTTCCTTGGAATCTCAGTGTCATCATATGCAGACATCACGCCAAAAAAGCATGGGCTTCAGCTTTTTGTTACATAGCTGATTGCGTTCTCGCCATTCTTTTCCTCAAACGAACAATACCGAAACCACGTGTGACTCGATGTATCTCGACCTCGACCTTCATTTTCCAGATGCAGCGTCACAAGCTTTTCACAAACCCGGTTCCACGGCTGCTGCTCAAGTTCTTGTGCGTGCACCTCGAATCATTGACAATATATGACCCAAAGAATTCTTTTTAGACACTATCTATTCATCACGCAGCTCCAGGATTTTTCCCTTGTTCCCCCTCGCTTCCCTTCCGGACGTCGATGATCCGGCCTTCGATCCTTTCACTTTATCAGTGCCACTCAAAGCTCGTGCACCCAACAAAACATTCCTCCGCATTTGGCCTATCATCGAACATGTCAAGGACATCTTTCGACCTGATTTCATTATAGTTCAGTGTGGCTTAGATGGCCTAGCGGGTGATCCCATGGCAACCCTCAACTGGTCCTTAAGGCTCGCTCGGCTGGTGCATGCATCGCATCATCCGCGAATGGCAAGGGAAAAAATGTTACTTGGCGGAGGTATGATGCTACTTACTAGAATATCTTCCCGCATACCATCATCTAGGCTTTAGGTGGTTATGACACGCCCAATGCCGCGCAAGCTTGGACATATCTCACCTCTGTGGCAGTATGTTTGAATCTCAGGTTCTGGTTCGTCATATATTGATACATTGTGTCTAACAGGGAGGAATTCCGCCGTCTCACCAGTCTGTCACGTGCATTGGTGCTCCAACCAAACACTGACTCATG